TGTGTGTGTGTGTGTGTGTGTGTGTGTGTCCCATTTCCTTTTGGATGTTCAATCAAGAATTTTCCAACCTGACAGATTGTATGCATGTGTATTTTGCATTTCCCCGTGAATGAAAAGATTCATCTGGTTAAGAACAGCATTTGGCTTAAAATATCCCTCCATAGCTCTGTGCTACATTAATACATTGGGGGCGGCATTTTCCAGACTCAAAGATGTTCTAAGGGTTGGTTGACACATGTGGTGAAACTAGTTGCCTGTTTGGTGAGGTGAAGCTGCAGAGCCACCTGACTTCCTGACTCCAGCATCTCTGCAGTTTACCTGGAGTGGCCAAGACGGCTACAAGGTTAGGTTGTGCAGGTGCACTGACAGAGACAATTCGGTCCTGTCTCTAGTGCAGTCGTTCAGCCCTGATCTTGCCACTAGTTTGCCCCAGCCACAGGCAGGTGAGTTGCAGAACACCACTTGTTTAGAGGGTGGTTCTGTCGGGCCACATGGTCTACCAGTGCACTAGTATTGTGATGGCTTATACGTGTGAATGAGCCATCTCCAATGAATAATCATGAATGGGCTTGGGCTGGTAGGTGCGGCAGTCCAAAAGACTTTGGCGAAGACTGGAAGATAGCTTTCCTTTCGACACAGGCAAGTACGCTTCCAAGCACAATTCTAAGTGTTGGTGCTTTAAAGCCCTAAACAGCCTTGGCCCAGTATATCTGAAGGAGCCTCTCCACCCCCATCATTCACCCCTGACACTGAGGTCCAGCTCCGAGGGTCTTCTGATGGTTCCTTCACTGCAAAAAGTAAGGTTACAGGGAACCAGACAGAGGGCCTTCTCGGTAGTGGCGCCCGCCCCGTGGAATGCTCACCTATCAAGGAGATAAAGAACTACACAACTTTTAGAAGACAGCTGAAGGCAGCCTTGTACAGTGGAACCTCGGAAGCTGAACGCCTTTGAACTTGAATGTTTCGGCTCCCGAACGATAGAAAACCGGAAGTGATTGTTCCAGTTTTCGAATGATTTTCGGAAGCTGAACATCAGGTGCGGCTTCCGTGGCTTCCGATTGGTTGCAGGATGCTCCTGCAGCCAATCGGAAGTCGCACCTTGGTTTTCAAACTGTTCTGGGAGTCAAACGGACTCCCAGAAAGGATTAAATTTGAAAACCAAGGTACAACTGTATTGGGAGGTTTTTAATGTTTGATGTTTTATCATGTTTTTATTTTGTGTTGGAAATCACCCAGATGAGTGAGGTATTATTATTAATATTTCAGCAACTGAAAACTCTCACATTGAAGGATTTGTAATTTGTGCTCATAATTACATTTTGCAATATAGCAATTGTTCCTATTAAATTGTTTGTGTGTGTAGGGGTGGAGTGTGTGTGTGTGTGTGTGTGTGTGTGTTTTTTAAAAAAAAACTAGCTGGCAAACAAGCTTGCTCCAATTAATTCTGTTATCGTTATAATTCCTGAAGCTAGGCTCCGAGGTAAACAAGGAGAAACCTGACAGCTGGGACTTTAAGCTCCAGGTAAAATGGAGGGCTTTTACAAGCTCACATGGCACAAATCTCTATTGTTTTTCATGGAATAAGGAAAGCAAAGGAATAAAGGGGAATCTAATCTCCCTGGAGACTGTCTTTCTCTGCTTCACCTCTAATAAATCCTCAGCAATACCCGTTTCTTGCAGTGTCTGCCAAGTATATGCAATGTGCAGAAGCAGGGGGGAATAGAAATGAGAATAAGATAAAGGTTCAGAACTGGGATCCAGCCAATGTCTTCCAACAGGAATTCTGCTGCTATTCCGCCTCTGATTTGGGATAATTGGCTTCTTGCCATTGAGAGTGGAGGGGTTTCAGAGGTAGTACTTGTTCTTAGGTGCCCCCCCAAATGCACCTACCCACCTCCTTTCTGCTTTAAATATGATGTGGTGGTGGAAAGGCTTTCGAATGCCAATACTGAAAGATAAAAGAACTCAACACCAATGCCTACACTATAGGATTGTTTTGTTTTATTTATGTATGTAGATTATCATTCGAAAATGATTGCTCATAACACCGCTATGAACACTTGAAAAACGGTTCTCCTGAATTGTAGAGGATGTAGGGAAAAAAATATTATGAGCAGCTTTAAACTGCCTAAATGGATGAGCCCTAAATATATTTTCACATAACCCTTTTTCAGGGCCAATCTGAGCAATCTGTTTTGGGTGCATCTCAGTAGTGGGTTGGGCTGGAGTCAAAGATGAGTGAGTCCACCCCACATTTCTCTCCTGCTTAGTCATAGCCCCATCATAGATTTAAAGTGCATTTAAAGTACACAGAAAGGGACGCGGGTGGTGCTGTGGGTTAAACCACAGAGCCTAGGGCTTGTCGATCAGAAAGTTGGCAGTTCGAATCCCCATGACGGGGTGAGCTCCCATTGCTTGGTCCCTGCTCCTGCCAACCTAGCAGTTCGAAAGCACATCAAAGTGCAAGTAGATAAATAGGTACCACTCCAGCGGGAAGGTAAACGGTATTTTCGTGCGCTGCTCTGGTTCGCCAGACGCGGCTTAGTCATACTGGCCACCTAACCTGGAAGCTGTACGCCGGCTCCCTCGGCCAATAAAGCGAGATGAGCGCCTCAACCCCAGAGTTGGCCACGACTGGACCTAATGGTGAGGGGTCAACTTTACCTAAAGTACACACACAGGAATTCTGGGTAGTTTAAATTGTAGTTTACTCCTTACAGAGCCACAGTGCCAAGCACCCTTAACAAACTACAGTTCCCAGGATTCTTTGGGGCTTTAAATGTGTAGGGTCGACCTTTTTTCCAACCTCTGTTTTTCACCTCCTGCCACTTTCCTGAAATTAGGTCAAGGAACAGTTCCCTACTCCTGGGCTGGATGTACACCCAGGGGAGGGGGGAACCCCCACTATAAATAAGTCATAAATTTAATTGTTATAACATAAGAAAAAGAACCTCTATGTAAAATCGCATAGAAAAGTTTTGTGCTCTACAGCGCCAACTGCTGTTGCATGTTTATAATGCATTCAAAACACTGTGGTTTTATTTTGTTTTGTTTTTGACAAATGTAGCTGAGTCCCTGGTTTGACATTTCCTTAATCCTTTCTTTTCCATCTTACAAATGCCTTTAGCATGTGTTAAGGTGAATGCATCTAGAACTACAGTGGTACCTCGGGTTACATATGCTTCAGGTCACATACGCTTCAGGTTACAGACTCCGTTAACCCAGAAATTGTACCTCGGGTTAAGATCTTTGCTTCAGGATGAGAACAGAAATTGTGCTCCGGCGGCACAGCAGCAGCAGGAGGCCCTATTAGCTAAAGTGGTGCTTCAAGTTAAGAACAGTTTCAGGTTAAGAATGGACCTCCGGAATGAATTAAGTACTTAACCCGAGGTACCACTGTACTAGGTATAATTGAGCAAACACCAGGACAACAGTACTGTCTGAGATAAAAAGAGAGAAAAGACCCTCTGAGTCTAGAATGGAAGCCAGTTATCTCTGGACCATTCATAAAAACAATTCTGGCAATTGAAGATGACTTGGGAAATATTTGTCAGTGCGCTCTTAGTTCCTGTGGATCATTCCTCTTCAGGAATGCATCGTTTCTTGTGAAAGATTCAAATAATGGGGGCGTTTCATTTATACAATGACAGCTGCTGCCTGAACGCCGTGCCCTTTGACCTTGAAGTCTCAGCCTCAAGTGCCCTCATCCCACGCATGAAGGAATCGGTTGTAAATTGTCATCAAACGGTGAAAGGGAAAAAAGCCACATGCTCAAACTCATCATTTGCATTGCATCATTTGGTAACTCATTGCAATATGTAATACATCAAGTGCTCTGAGGCTGTGGCTTATAATAGTAGATTTACTATTGCAATCCTGTACATGTCTGCTCAGAAGGAGTGTGTGTGTTTGCGTGTATGGATAGATACTGTAAATGATGATAGATAGATGATAGATGATAGATAGATGATAGATAGATAGATAGATAGATAGATGATAGATAGATAGATAGTTAGATAGATAGATGATAGATGATAGATAGATAGATGATATATAGATGATAGATAGATGATAGATAGATAGATAGATATAGATAGATAGATATAGATAGATAGATAGATAGATAGATAGATAGATAGATAGATAGAGATAGATAGAGATAGATAGATCTTCCCATGAAGCCCCCTGAAACAATTTAACAATTTAAACACCAGCAATAAAAACATACATGGGAAGCAATTTCAATTCCAATATAAATGCAGATGGAGATAAAAATCTCCGCGGAAAGGTATTGTTGGAAAAGGAAGGCTTTCAACAGGCACCCTGGTTGATAGATTATGGGAGGTGAAATACATTGGTTCTTTCTTTCTCTCTGTTCCTAGTCCACAAAAAAATATTCTGTGTGCCTCAAAGGAATCCTATCCTCGCCACCAGTGAAAAGCATCGTGATGAGGATGTGAAATGCTAACTTCTTTAATATAAAACTCCTAGAGAGTGCAGTGATCCGGGTGAGATGGTCTTTTAGGTCTACTGATCCCAAGCTGTATAGGCCAGCACCATGGGCATGGCTTGTGCGAACTGACCAATCGCATCGCGGGTAGCTCAGTTCTGTCCTGCTCCAGAACTGAGCTACCTGTGATGCGATTGGTCAGCTCACACAAGCCACGCCTATCGCTCAGGTGGGTTGCCAGTTGTGTCGCCACAAAATCATCCAAGTGAACGCAACAGCATTTCAGTTTCAAATATTCTGATTTTTTTCTACTTTTAACACAGTCCTTTTATTTATTTACTTGATTGGGGGGGCAACTACCCCCTCCCCCTGTTTCCTCAGCTATGCCCATGGCCAGCACGTTGTTCAATGGATCTTGCTGCCAGGAAAGTGGGCTTAAGATTGCAGACTTAGGTGAACCGTTGTCACAAAATTAGCCCTTGTTACGTTGCACCCTGCCCTGCGTCAGTAACAATGAAGAACAGACTAGAAATCTTCTTGTAAAGAAATAAATAAGGTAAAGGGACCCCTGACCATTAGGTCCAGTCGTGACCGACTCTGGGGTTGCGGCGCTCATCTCGCTTTATTGGCCGAGGGAGCCGGCGTACAGCTTCCGGGTCATGTGGCCAGCATGACTAAGCTGCTTCTGGCGAACCAGAGCAGTGCACGGAAATGCCGTTTACCTTCCCGCCGGAGTGGTACCTATTTATCTACTTGCACTTTGATGTGCTTTCGAACTGCTAGGTTGGCAGGAGCAGGGACCGAGCAACGGGAGCTCACCCTGTCGCGGGGATTCGAACTGCCAACCTTCTGATTGGCAAGTCCTAAGCTCTGTGGTTTAACCCACAGCGCCACCCGCGTCCCTGTAAATAAATAAATATGGAGTAGGAAATGGGTGCAGAATCTGCCCCACTCCCATTAACTTCCTTTCCTTCCTTCAGCTGGCTAGAACTTCATGGAAATGCAGAACTGCAGCATCAGGGGCTGGACGGAGGAGGAATGGTGAACTTTCCTGAGAGCAGGAGGACAGTATAGATTTAGAACAGTGGTTTGCAGAAGGTTCAGAGGCTGCAGAGCGGAGAAGCTGGGAAGTATTGGGAGAGGAGCAACAGGAAGAAGAACCAGGGGAAAGACAGCTGACAAACTCAGTGTCTTTGGAAAGCATTCCTGATCCCCCCTCTCAGGACTAGATGGGCATTGAGGGTAGTAGAACAGAGAGCTCAGTGGCAGAAAGCTCAGATTAGCTGACGTACGAGTGACGTAGAATAGGAGACACGTAGGGGGTGGGACTTTGCTTGGAGCAGTGCCATTATCTGAAAGGCGGCATCATGCATCTCTCTCTGTGAATATTGAATAAAATACCATGGTAAGAATGCATTGTTTTCCCAGCCATGTGGGAGGGGGATTGGATTCCCAGAAGCCTGACAGTCAGTGGGTTTTCCATGAAGAAGTGTGCATGTACACGAAAGCTTATACCCAGAACAAACTTAGTTGGTCTCTAAGGTGCTACTGGACAATTTTTAAAATTTATTTCAGCAGTGGGCATCTACCATGGACTCTCTCTCTCTCTCTGTGTGTGTGTGTCTGGATCTAGACACATCAAAAAACATGTTTCAGAAAAACACATTGTAAACCTCAAAGTGGGAAATCAGATTGGCGAAAGAGGAACTCCATACCGCCATCTGATGTCACAGTGTTATAACGCATATAAAACACTTTTTCTTTACTAATGTTGCTGTGTGTGTGTGTGTGTGTGTGTGTGTGTAAAAGGGAGCAGGGGACATTGGGGGTCCTCAGGCACAGCATTCTTAGTGGGTCCCCTGAACTTGGAAGAGGTAGGAGATGCAAGCTGACCATTTCACACAATGGCCTGCACCTGAATTTCTTGGACGTTCTGTACAAACTGACAGTGGGACCACTGATAGGGCAGTGGGTTCTCTGCTGGTCTTGGGGCCCTGGCAAATGCCGAGTGTTGCCACCCTCTAGAACCAACCCTGAAAGACAGGAGGAGAATCCATCCTTGTCAATTCGCTTTAGTCTGGAAGTCAATTTTTTTTAATTATTATTTTTGCCTTAAATAGGAATGGCTTGATAAAGGTTTCTGGTGTTTGCCAACAAGCGCATACCGGGCCATCTTGAGAAGGCATTCTTGCAAACCAAACTGGAGAATTATGTGCGCAGTATATAAGACAAAGAGCAGCAAAGCATTTAATGGGAAATGTTAGAAACCTGCATATTGTTAGCAAGAGAAGTGCGCGATGAGGTTAAGGCAGACAATATATCTGTTTTACTGACTGTGAAGTAGCAAGAGACAGAAAATAAAAGTGAAATTGCCCGCTTCTCCCTTTGCAAATGTGAGCAATGCCGAGACCACTAAATCTTGACAAAGTGTTGGCAATTTGAACTCTGATGGCAACAGTCTGTCAACTGAAATGTGAATGATTTTACAAGCACTTCCCCTGTCTTATGGTGCTCTTGGTCTATTGAAATAAACAGGGCATTTATAATAATAATAATAATAATAATAATAATAATAATTTATTACGGCCGTAGGCCCATACAGATAAAAACAAGACATAAATAACAGCCTGTGCACATGGGAAAAAAACAGCCGCTAAAACAATACTATAACAATAAGCTACTATAAGATGGAATGGCATACTACGCCTTAATTAGCTTGTGGTGCTCCTTGGCGACGCTTTGGGTAAGGACAGCGACCAGGAACCTAGCCACTTTCAGGGTCGTATGGGCATCCTTATCCTGCAAGATTTGGGCAAGGTGGAATTTTGGTGGAGTACCCTCTAATTTCTGTATGATTGATCCCAACAAGTTTGCCCGTGGCACCTTAAATAAGGGGCAAGTGAACATAATGTGCTGAAGCGACTCCGGCATCTCCTTATCACATTCGCACATGGCGGAGGTTTGGCCCTTTGAGAATCTATGTCTCAGGACATTGGAGGGAAAAACATTAAACCTCGCTTTGGTGAAGGCCAGCCTATGGGCAACAGTCGAAAGGGAGGAGAGGTATGATGGAACGCAATAAGTTAAAGTGATACCAATGTTCTGGGGCGAACAAACACCTCCCCCCAGCATATAATTTTGCTGTAAATCGATGTCATCCAGTCTTTGGCGGATCAGTCTTTGAGCAGTGATTTGATCTAGTTTTAGGGAATCTAAGGGAGAGATTCCATAGCTCAGGAGTTTGGCATGAATTCTACTGGTCCAAAGGCTGGGGAATTCATCTCGCCATAAGCATTGGGCAAGGTAATGGTCTGGTAATCTATGCCACAATGATAACCAATAATTGAAGACTTGCTTCCACAGGCAGGTTTCTAAGGATGCGATCCTCAATTCTAAACGCATGGCTGCGTTGCTTACGCACAGGGGTGCATTAGGAGCCGACGTAGGAATTGGTTTTGCAAAGTCTCAAGAGGAGCAAGGTCTGTCATCACGACCCAGAGCGGGGCAGCATAAGCAAGCACGGGAACCACTTTTGCCTTGAACACCTTTAGGGCCGAGGGAACATGCAAAGCTCCATCCGAAAAGAAAAATCGGAGGAGCGCATATGACAGAGTTTTGGCCTTATTAAGTAGGTGTTGAATATGTGCTTTCCACCCCAAATTGTATTGAAAAATAACTCCTAGGTATTGAAATTTTAGGACTTGCTCTATTTTTGCTCCACCAAGCTTCCATTCGTATAATCTCCGACTTCTGGCGAAAATCAGAATCTTAGATTTAGCATGATTGATGGTTAATTGGTTGAGTTGACAATACGTGGCAAAGATCTTCAGAGCTCTGGTTAGTCCAACACGTGTATAAGATAGAATTACCGCGTCGTCCGCATATAAAAGGAGTGGACAGCGGTAATCCGCTAGTCTAGGCGCATGTGTACTTGGAGATGAGTTGACTAGGGGTGCTCGCATGTCGCTGATGAATAGATTGAATAGGCAGGGGCCAATATACATCCTTGGCGCACTCCCTTGTTTATTGGTATCGAATTTGTGAGGTCGCCCGCAGGAGTAAGTCTCACTCTGGCAAGGGTACCTTCGTGGAGCTGACTTATAAGCCATAAGAGCCTTCTATCGATGCCCTGTTTCGCAAGTTTCTCCCAAAGAATATTTCTAGGAACGCTGTCGAAGGCTGCCTTAAGATCTAAGAAGGCAGCACACAGATAGCCCAGGGAGGGAGGAGTACTTCCGTGCCAGATGGTAAAGAACTATCGCATGATCAGTTGTAGAGCGTTTAATTCTGAACCCTGCTTGTTCAGTGGCCAATCTGGTTAGTCTCATCTACCCCTCGCGATAGTTTCGTCAGCAAAAAGCTGGCATAAATTTTCCCTATGATCGAAAGGAGGCTGATGTTACGGTAATTTTCCGGCTCCATTGGAGAACCTTTTTATGAATTGGAACTATAATGGCCTCCTTCCATATTTTGGGGATGATACCAGAAGCGTTGATTGCGTCGAAGGTTTTGGCCAAGATGCCAGCCCACCATTTTGGGTGTAGTTTGATGGCTTCAGCAGGGATCAGGTCGGGCCCTGGGGCTTTGCCCAATTTCAGCTGGGCTATTAGCTTGGCTATTTCATCAGGATCGGTGGGAGGCCAAATAGGTAGGTGGGAGAACAGATGCATCCGATGGTCGGAGGGAGCATCTGCCTGTGAGAAACATTTCTTCAGGAACAATTCCCATGTCGGTGCAGGGATGACTGCCCTTGGGTATTTCCTCACCCTTCTGTTAATCAGAGACCAGAATTCCCTGGATCTATGTGATTTTGAAGCAGTAATCAAGGCCTGCCAGCGATTATGTTGCCACTCACGTTTGGCAATTTTCTGCGTGCGTTTATAAACTTGCTTGGCTTGTGCATAACTAGCTGGCAGAGTAGATGCATCGGAGGTCTTATATACATTATATATAGCACGAAGGCGCTGTCTTGCTTGTTTGCACTGAGAGTTATACCAGGGGCACCGTAAGTATACTCGTTTCGATTTAATATTTTGGGTGGTAACCTGAAGAAGGACGTAAGGTCCGTCGTATGATGGTGGAAGCGTTTCAACACTATGCTATGCTCATCTGAGGCAGGGCCTATGTAGGGATGGGGCCCGAGGATTTCTTTTTGAAAGAATTCCTGATACCTTTGAGCCTGGGTCTCCGACCATTTGATTCCTCTTACTTGAAGAGATACGTTGGTTGCCATCTGGGTCGCATGTCTATAGGTCTCCAACTGCCAATTCAGGGAAAGCTTGGCTACAAGGGAAGATGATCACTAGATTGTACATTCTCGATCTTAAAGGAGGAAATACACTTAAGTAGATCACTGGAGACCAGCAGGTAATCGAGGGACGCTGTTTGATTTAACACTCAGGTGAGTGAAATCCCCTGGAATATCAGGGAGGCATGTGCCATTTAGGGGACCAGATTTAAACGGATGGCCATTTGGTAGAGGAATACTCCAGCCTCATTAACTCGTTGGTCTTTAGAAGTTCTCCTCATGATATGTTCCAGATCATAATTATCAAGGTTTGGGGTAACCCACCATTTGGCTTTGGTCAGCGAGTCCCAATTTGCTGCTGTGCGGGCATTAAAATCGCCACCTATTATGGCCGGGGTGTTAGGAAACTTGACATAGCATGAGAGCAAATGCTCTTCTAGCGAGCCCCATTTAGAGCCCAGTTCAGAGGAAGAACCCCGGGTGGCAAGTAAACATTTGTAACTAGAAGTGAGATCTTTTCCCCATAATCAGCCCGGTAAGAGCGTAAGGAGGCAAGGCCTGTACTAGAGTAAATTTAGAATGTAAGTTGAGGGAGATGCCTATTGTTGAGGCCCCTTTAGGGCGGCCTCCTTTCAGGGAGGGGCAGGCAGGGAGTTCTAGAAGCTCAAAGCCATTTAGATCAATTCTCTCTACTTCCCACGATTCTTGGAACAAGATGATATGAAACAGGTTAATATACTCCAAGAATTCTGGGTCAAGTTTTTTCCCCCTCCAGCCCGCAATGTTCCAACTGAGGACTGATAGGGGAGTTCCTGTTGTAACCAGTTCGTTGTCATTTCGGGGAGGGATGGGAGTCCTTTGGAGGGAAGGCAGACCCCACAAAAAGTCAGTTATTTTACTTTGCATAGCAGGCCCCTGCTGAAGGTACCTAGTCTTGAAGCTGGTAGTGAGGTATTCTGACTGGGGCGCCAAACCGGGTCTCCCACTGGCTAACCCAAGAGCGGACACTTCAGTGGGAAACTCCATAGGATTTGCTGGGACTGCCCCATCGCAAGGTCTAAAGATCGCCGATGAAACCATTTGGTTTATATGTCCGGTCGGGTCTTCAATCAAATCCGGGCCATTTTTGATGTAGGTGGGACACCCCCTGACCTAATGCTGGCAAAGGTACAGGGGATGTTCGGCGTACTGGTACCGTATGTATGTCGGGTCTATGCTGCTCAGGGGAGTATGAGGACTCCAGTTCCGGCATTGATGGATTAGATGGTAAGGAGTTGTTTTGGTGGAAGGAACTCTGGGTTACACTCCTCAGCGGGGGACTCTTGGAGGGCGAGTCAAAATTTATCAAGAGTTGGGATGAGGGGCCAGCTTGAGGGGCAAAACCTGGTTCTACCAAGCATCGGTGGGTTTTGCCCACGAGTGGGGGAGGCATGGGTTTAGGAGCTGGACAGAGGGCATTTTATTTTGATTACATCTTGCATTTTTCTCGGGTACTTTTGGGTAGAAAACATAAATCTATCTATTACTGGGAGGAAAGCACAACATCCTGCATAAAGGAAGCCTGAAAAACGATGTGGCAAAGTAATCAGGGCTGAGACTATCCAGCATTTAGCCCCTGAATGGGCAACAAGGTTGCAGTGTGTGACTCCCAGTTCCCTAAGACAGGGGTTGCGTGTTCAGACCTTTAAACCTCCCCCTTAAATAAATTCAGACAAGACTCAAATTTTGGTTTGGTTTTTGGCAGAATTTAGGCCACAACTTTATTGATTACAGCAAGTGAGTGGTTGCATAGGCTCTGGTTCGACTAGCTCCCTGCCATGCAGGTAGCGCTGACCCAGGGCACCAGCATAGGTCAGCCAAGGGTGAACACCTGAGGTAGGTGAAAAGCCCAGGAACAGACTCTGTTCACTCCCCAGATGCTCCCCTTGACTCAGGCATGGGCACAACCCCCTCTCAGGGTTGACCAAACCATCGAGTCCCTGGATTCCTTTAATGGAATACCCTTCACATAGGGATGGCGAGAGCATTCTCCCATCCCTATCACCTGAACCAGAGCCTATCCGCAACCTTACAAGTTGTGACGATTTGCTACGCGGCAGGTGAAACCCAAATGGCAACAGCCAATCAGCCAAGTGGGGGAAATTCCTGCCGTGCCCCTGTCCCAATGACAGACGACACACGACAGCATAGCAAGGTCAAGCGCAAAGCCCTAAAAGTAGGGAGAGGTGGGTGGGAGAGGATCTAGCTGGAGCATGACCCTATGTTTTAGCAAACCAGGATCACAGTGCCCAACAGATGCCTTGTTTTGCTTTCTCATTGCTGGCTCTAGAAAGAATTTTAAAAAGAAATACCATGGCAGCTGGTCCCTTATGGCAAATGGAGCCCTGCTCCACCAACCTCAATCTGTCTTCAGCCAACCTCCTGCCTGTCTTTCTGCATACAGCCAGTCTAGGGTGTGGCACGGGCTGCCAGGTCCCTCCTCCTCCTAAGTCTCCAAGTTGTCTTTGTCGAATGCAGCAAGGAGGAGGAGGAGGAGGAGGAGCCAGAATTCGTGGGCTCTGCCTATCCTATTCTTGCCTCTGGCTCCACCTACTGTTGACCTCCCTGCTCACAAACTCTCATTTTGCACTTGTCGAAAGCTTTTCAGACAAAACAGGAGTAGGTTTGATCTCTAGCAAATTTCAGAAAAGTACCAAACTAATTTCTATGAAGGTTAACAAAACCAACATATCTGATATTAACGCAGCAGAATCCGGACGGAAGATAATGACTTATACCGATGAAGCCAACTGTAGCAATAGGCTTTATTTCAGAGGTGAGGTCTGTTCTGTTTTGTGCTCCTGCATGTCTTGTTCCTTACTGGATAAATGTGCAAAACGGAGAGGTCGTCTTTACATTTTCCCTATCTGCACATGCAAGGATGCGAGTGCTGCGTGAATTAAAGTTCATGCTTATCTGGTTTAGAATGGGAATTAGTCCAGCTGGAAATGCTCACCTGCCTAATGAACAGAGCACCTTTGTAGGAATGTGCATGAAATGTTCAACACCTTGCGTGAGCAGAAACCCTCTTTGTCCATTGTTAGGCATATGCGGGAGATGTGATTTGGTGTGAAACCTCTGAGTCACCCTGAAACTCCCTTTGATCGCTGTGAGAGACTCCGTGAACTACAAAGTCCATGGCTTTGTAGAGCAACGATGTTCTTTCATGTTTACCCTCTTCTCTTAATGCAGCTTGCCTTGGCTGTTGTGAACTAAGTGACCAGACTATGACCTCGCTAATTGGCCATTTGTTTGGTTTCTCTCTGTTTGGGAGAGTTCTTTTGATTGCTTCAGGCAAATGCTTTTTCTTTTTCTTTGCAGAGGCTTATTACCTCCTTCCAGATCTAACTCTCAGATCTAACTATGGACTAGTATGGGTGTTTTGGGAGAAAGGTGGGGGTGGCTCTGATTCCCAAGCTGCTCACTGATATAGCAATGACAATTTCAAGGGGACTAATCAAGGAAGTGTCCCGCCCCACCCCCACCCCTTGGCTACACCTATCTTGAGAGGAGTATGTCCACCATTAAGGCACACAGAAAATACTTAGAGATTGGCCTTTCTCTGGCTTTCTCCTGAAACCTGCCTTGTTTGACTTTTATGGCAAACATTCTACGTTGATAGTAGTCTTGGATATTGAAGTGCAAGCATGGTGAGTTCCAACTGCCCCTCTTTCAGCAGGTTCGAGGAACCCTAAATACTTGGCATGATGGAAAAACGAACTGTAGACACCATCACCAAAAATACCACACCATACATTTAAAGCACATTTACAGCACTTTAATATACAGTGGTACCTCGGGTTAAGTACCTAATTCATTCCGGAGGTCTGTTCTTAACCTGAAACTGTTCTTAACCTGAAGCACCACTTTAGCTAATGGGGCCTCCCACTGCCGCCGCGCTGCTGGAGCACAATTTCTGTTCTCATCCTGAAGCAAAGTTCTTAACCTGAGGTACTATTTCTGGGTTAGCGGAGTCCGTAACCTGAAGCGTATGTAACCCGAGGTACCACTGTACATGGCCTCCCCTAAAGAACCCTGGAAAGTGCAGTTAACCCCTCACAGCGCTATAATTCCCATCACTCTTAACAAATAACAGATCCCAGGATTTTTTGAGGGAAAGCATGACTGATTTGGGGCACATGCATGATGATGATGATGATTGGTTCAGGCAACAAAACACCCTGGGCTGGCTGTGCTTTGTCTTATTTGGACTTCTGCAATCACCTTCTGAGTCCTCACTTCACAGCCATGGGCAGGCCAAAGTTTTCCCTCTTGGAATAGCTGCCCCTCTTCTCACCCAGCCCCACACGATAAATTTCCCCTCCCCCCTTGAATCAGCCTGCATGCTGAGCTTTCTGTTACCTGACCCCGTTTCCCATCCCTTTCTTCTCCTCTTCTCACAGGCCTATCAATCTATGCAAATGACTTTCCTTCAACGTGAATCTTGAGAGCAAATCCTTTTTAAGACGTCTTGGAAATGGAGGCTTGAAAATGCTTTGGCGATACTTTCAGATGGCTGATTTGCATATTCATAAGCCAAGCAGATTACTCTGGCTGGAGCACTAACATCCGTTTAATGCAGATCTCAGGCTAGAGAGTCCCTGATAAATAAATCACCTGCTTGCATATAGGACAGCTTTATTCACACACACCCCTTCCCTATATTTGACGCAGCGCCTTTTCCCACACCAGCTGTCCCAGTCTCTGCAGTTGGGTTGTGGGGTGCAAAGAGGCTCTTTTTATTTTATTATTTTTATTTTTTTTTAAAATAATATTTGTTACTTTTCCAAAAAAATTAAACACTGAAAACAACAACAACAAACAATACAATACAATACATTAAACTAGCAAAACAAAACAAAAACAATAAAATAAATCAAACAATTTCATTATCCCATCTTTCATTCACTTATTTCCACGACCTCCTCACACCTCCCTTTTTGTCTTCCACTTCTGTTAATTATTTCAGCAATTCCTTTCCATCTTCCTCTGTTTTCTATCCCATAATTATCTTAACTCATTCTAACCTTATTTTTCCCTTTGATACTCTATTAATCTATTTATATTTAATTCCTTATAACATTTCTACGAAAGCCATGTAGCTTCATTCCAACATTTTTCTAACATTCATTAATTTTACAGTATTTCTGTAAATAATCTTTAATTTTTTTCCAATTTTCTTCCACCAACTCTTCTCCCTGGTCTCGGATTCTGCCAGTCATTTCTGCCAATTCCATATAGTCCATCAACTTCATCTGCCATTCTTCCCAGTTGGGTAAATCTTGTGTCTTCCAATATTTTGCAATGAGTATCCTTGCTGCTGTTGTTGCATACATAAAGAAAGTTCTATCCTTCTTTAACACTTTTTATTACTTCACCAGTGGGATTGGCCCACTGAGAGGTGCCATGAGAGAGGGTCTTCTCTGTTGTGATCCCCTAACTGTGAATGTCCTTCCGCTGGAAGTACAGATGGTGGAAACACTGATCAGATTCTACCATCAAGTAAAAGCAATCTCATTTGGAGTAAATAATAATAATCACTCATTGTTTTTGATACAACTATTTTGCTTTAATGCCTGCTTTAATTTTATTGCAGACCCTCCAAGTGTCCCTATTTTCCAGGGACAGTCCCGGATTTACAAAAGCCGTCTCAGTTTCTGATGTGATCCTGGGTTGTCCCGCTTTTTCTTAGGATGTCCCTATTGTCATCAGAAAAATATTAGTATGGTAGGACGTCCCTATTTTCATCAGAGAAATGTTGGAGGATGTGGAATAGGACATTCCTATTTTCATCAGAGAAATGTTGGAGGATATGGAGTAGAACATCCCTATTTTCATCGGAGAAATGTTGGAGGATGTGAAGTAGCTCCCTATGCTTTGGCAGCTGGGAAGATTAGGGCAAAAGAACTAGATAAACTAGTGGTCAACTGCAATGGGGATTCAAAGATTTAATTTGTACATTTTATATCAGAACTACCTTTTATTCTACGTAACAAATAATTTTAGTAGTTTGGCTGTGGTTTTACTGTGTGTTTAGTGACTGTTGATGTTTTGGATGATATGGCCTTTGGCTAGGGCAATGAAAGTTTACAATGATGTAATTTTATTATATGTTTTGTGCTTGGGATATGTCTGGAAACTGCCCTGGGATCACTTTCAAGGGGACCCATTAGCAATAAAAAGGTACACACACACACACACACACACACACACACACACACACATATATATATATACCTTTTAAGGTCCTGAACTGAGCTCAGAATGAAGAAAGAAAAGTTTGCAGCATGCAAGGGACGAATCAGCAGTGCGATGGATGCCTCAAAAATGTAACCCTCCTAGACGTTGATTTATTTGGGGTAAAGGGACAAAAGAACACAGATGTATATACATGCTGCTTTTCTATATTTTAAAAAGCAACATAGCACCTAAAGCAGGAAGCAAAGGCAAAACCCAGGACAGGCACAGTACATGTTCGATGTGCAAGGCAAAATGTGAAGCCGTGCGTGCAGGTGAAGAATGTGCCGTCGCTGCTGCTAAGGAGGTCTTTTATCGTCTCGGGCTTTGCGCCTCTGAAAATGTGCCCTTAGCGCCATTTCATAAACGCGAAGGAAATTAATAGGCAGCTTATTTGCAGAAAGGGAAACTGGAATAATCCCATCGACAATAAGGCTAACGGCTGCCGTGAAGGGAACATCATCCTTTGAAGAGGATAGAGGTGGGGTCAAAACTGGGCAAAGTTAGGCATCTGTTGAGGGCTCACATCTCAGCAGGGTGCTTCATGAAAAGAACTCCCTGGACCCGCTGCACCGAGGAGGCCGATTCAATTCCCTTAGGGCCCTCCAAAACCTAGTGTTGACATTGAGAGAGAGAAAAATCTTCTCATGCAGAATATTTATTAGTCAGTCTGGCTTTTGCAAGTACAGTAGGCATATGCTTAGCAGATGGAGACATGGTGACCTTTCACTGTTTACCTGGAAGACAGATTTCTTTCTCTTTTTTTCTACAGGAACCTTGGTGCCACACGCCTACAGAAATAGTTGCACAGGTGCTGGAAATATATATTTTTTAAAAATCAAAACTTTGGCATCCGAGAATTCATTTCTGCAGGAACACAAAGAGCACACAGCTATACAAGAATGCAAGAAGACAGCATGGTGCAGTGGTTAGAGTTTTCGACTATGACCTGGGAGACAGGGGTCTCAATCCCCACTCAGCCATGATGCTTACTGTGTGAGCTCCTCAGTTGTTCGGAGGATAAAATGGGCCAGGGGAGAACCCTGCATGCCACCTTGAATGCCATTGAGGAAAGGTGGGGGATAAATGTGATAATGAAGAAATGTACTGAAAAAACAAAGCTACTCTCACATGATGAGCCATTGAGTATATCTTAAAACTATTTGTGCAATACAGTACATGAATGGTGTTCCTACACTATAGGAAGTGGGGGGGGGGGCCTTGAAATCCAGTGTACATTTTGTCCAAGGCAGGTTTTATGTTCACTGAAAACCAACTGAAACCAAAACAAATTCCAGCCTTTTGTGCAAAGTCGATCCTGTTCAGGTGCATGATTCTTCCAGGCAGTGTTTTCCAAGATGCAAGCATGTGATTCGTGCAAGGCTGTAAATATTGGTGTGTGTGGAGACAAATGTTTCATATTGAGTCTAGACGTGGCTCAGAGTTGAGATATACCATAACTATAGTCCAGCAACTGCCCTCATGCACATCTAATAGCACCAAAACAAAAACAAAACTGAAGCAATAAAAATGATTTCCTTAAAGGGTGAGGGGTTTTTTTGGGGGGGGGCGTGTTTTGCAAATCATATATTAGGAAAAGGGTGTCTGTTTCTACTCTCTCTATCGCCCATCCCAAACTTTAGAGATGGTGAAAACTCATGCCCAAACTACATGTTGCAAACAAATGCACATAGCAGTAGCCCAGCGGCCTCCTTAAATGAGAAGAAGAGGTTCCCTGAGCAACTATGAAGCTGACAGAGCAAATGTTGCCATCACAATGCCTCCCTTTGTTCAAAGTTAGCTGTACAATATAGACCACAGCAGCTGCATTGGCCTGACAGGATAAGAATATGGGCAAAGAGAAGATAACTGTGTTTGGCAAAGGATTTGGAAAGTTAGAAAAAGGGCATTTAGCCAAGTAGACTCCTTTAACAGATTTAGATGTTTAGAAGAGCTATATTTTTAAACAACAACAACAACAACATGGGGTTATTCAAAAAGTGGGTCATACACTGTGTGGGAGATTAAGAATCAAAGCCATTGACTGTATAGCATTCCCCCCCCTTTGAATAGTATATTTTCAGTAACAATTATGAATAAACGTTAAGGTTACAGAGGCATGGAAGTTGATGTCAACCAGCCAGAAGGAACAATAGATTAATCTTTTGGTTAGATAATTTTTTATTATTATTAGAGAATCAAGGTACAGACAGTGAAGCAGAATATGTAAACACACATTTAAACGCATCACTTCTTCCAAACAATCCTGGGACCTGTCCTTCCTTGCCCCCCTCACAGATCTGCAATTGCCAACATCCTTCAGAAACTACAGTTTCCAGCATCTTTTGGGGGGTGGGGGGAAACAGGTGCATTGGACGTGCTAGAAAGGTATTTGATTGCAAAAGCAATAAAAAATTGTGTCACTCCTTCAAAGTGTACCGAAGCACAAATTGATGTGGACTGCAGGAGTCCATTTTATCACTTCATAAAACTTTACAGATCTGATGAAATGAATTCTAGCCTACAGAGGCTGTGCCATAATAAACTGGTTAGACTTTAAATATACTTTTGGCCATTCTTAACTCCTCTTCCTCTCCCCCTTTACTTTGTCTCCCTTCTCCATCTCCTGTCCTTTTGTTCCCTAATGCAGAGCTTTTCAACCTTTTTGAGCCCACAGCTGCCTTGACCAACTAGATTCTTTCTGCGGCATCCCTGTTGGGCTCAGGAGCCCAGTTATGTCACCCCTTGCCTGCAGAGCCGGTAGCCTCTCACCCTTTTTCTTTTTCAAAAAAATGTTTTTATTAACCATTTCAACATAACAAATTATCAAAACATATTCATTATTTTCCTCCCTTCCCCCCTTCAAACCCTCCCCCCCGAGACTTCCCTTAGCTCCTCTCTCTGATATTATTATTGGAATATTATTATTATTATTATTATTATTATTATTATCATCATCATCATCATCTCTCACATATTATTCTCTGCATGTTATAAAATTATACATATCCTTACATTATCTAACTACCATGCTATCAAGTAATAAATTTGTGTATGTTTATTCAAAACCTGCCAAGGAGTCCAATTCATTTTGTTGTCTTTTTAGATAAATTGTAAAAAGCTCCCGTTCTTCCTTGAAGTCACAGTTGTTCTTGTCCCGCAATTTGTATGTCAATTTAGCCAGCTCTGCGTAGCTCATCAATTTTTCTTGCCACTGTTCTTTCATTGGGATTTCCTCATTCTCCCATCCTTGTGCTATCAAGACTCTTGCCGCTGTTATAGCCTCTCACCCTTTTTTGAACACCCTCCCTTCTGGAGTGTTCCCTCAGCCTCCTCCCCTCTCCTTGGGAGTCCTACAGGCAGCCATGGCTGCTGCCCCTGGTCTCTGAGCTCTCCCCACTGCCCCGAAGAGAGATGCCTCCTCACGCTGTCCCACAGGGGCCTGGGAAGAGGATGCTCCCAGCCTTAGTGGCCCAACAGAGACTGGCCAAAGGTGAATGTGAGGCCAGTACCTTACCTTGGGAGGCAGCAATGGCAGCAGCGGGGGTTGCCAGGCCTGCAAGGCGGGAAGGCTCCCCTTCAGTACCTGCTCCCAGGCAGGCCTTGCAGACAGCAAGCACAAGAAAGGTCAGCGCAACACCTGTCTGCCTACCTGCCAGCCTGCCTGGCCTCCCTCACCCACTTTCTTGCTTACTCCGAGGATGCCTCAGCTCCTGGCAACCAACCCCCTCTGGCCAGCCCCAGAGGCACAATTTGCCTGCGGAGCTTGTAGCCAGGGTTGCTGCAACAAACAGTTGTGCAAGCCTTTGGGAGGTGGAGATGTGAATGGGCATCAGAGGAGGGAGGAAAGGAAAGCGAGGCCAGAGGCCAGTGTTGCTTGTGACACTTCTGTCCATCCTTCAAGGCCCCCTCAGGGTGCCACGGCACACTGGTCGAAAACCACTGGACTAATGATTCCTGTTACTTAAAGTAAGCTTCCAATGTTAATTCTATAATTTATATTCAGCCATATCTATCTACCGTATCTATCTATCATCTATCTATATCTATCTATCTATCTATCTATCTATCATCTATCTATCTATCTATCTATCTATCTATCTATCTATCTATCTATCTATCTATCTATCTATCTATCATCTATCTATCTATCTATCTATCTATCTATCTATATCTATCTATCTATCATCTATCTATCTATCTATCATCTATCTATCTATCTATCTATCTATCTATCTATCTATCATCTATCTATCTATCATCTATCTATCTATTTGTTGAAGAACAGTATTGTGCCTAACAAAAAAAAAATCCTTCCAGTAGCACCTTAAAGGTAAAGGGACCCCTGACCATTAGGTCTAGTCATGACCAACTCTGGGGTTGCGGCGCTCATCTCGCTTTATTGGCCGAGGGAGCCAGCGTACAGCTTCCGGGTCATGTGACCAGCATGACTAAGCTGCTTCTGGCGAACCAGAGCAGCGCACGGAAATGCTGTTTACCTTCCTGCCGGAGCGGTACCTATTTATCTACTTGCACTTTGACGTGCTTTCGAACTGCTAGGTTGGCAGGAGCAGGGACCGAGCAACGGGAGCTCACCCCATCACGGGGATTCAAACCGCCGACCTTCTGATCAGCAAGTCCTAGGCTTTAACCCACAGCACCACCTGCATCCCCCAGTAGTACCTTAGAGACCAGCTAAGTTAGTTATTGGTATGAGCTTTCGTGTGCATGCACACTTCTTCAGTATTGTGCCTGTTCATCATTTTCTTAACACTTTTCTGTCCTGGAAAGGTTTGTCTCTCTTACACTTGAAAGGAACTTCAAATGTAAATTGGAATGGAATGAAGTAACCTTGGAACCCCAACCTTAAAGTAATCCAATGCCCTAAGTTACTAAGTCCTTGTTAAACGAAATTTGAAAGGCAAATGAAAGCACGGTCTCTGGGGCTTCCATTACATTCTGCATTTGCTCTCAAACACCAGCAATCATTTTACTGTGGTGCAATTGAGACATCCTTAATAATGAGTTGTTTAAGGAAAGCATGAATAACAACAGCAGCACCGTTGGCACAAGGGATGGCCTTTGCTCTGCTTCTTTAGAATAATCCTCCAGGCGCAAGCTTCAAATACATGAACACTGTGATTTCCCCCTTTTCATGCTTATCACAGTGCTGCCTTTTACTGTCTTCTTATAAGTACCCATCCCCTTGCTTCTATCTACTGAAGATAAAATCCTGCATATTCCCTCAGTTATAGAGACCAGTCCAATTTGCATATATTAATATCACCTTAAGAACATAAGAAGAGTCCTGCTGTGGTCAAGCCAAGGGCCCATCATGTCTGACATCATGTTCTCAGAGTTGCCAATCAGAGGGACAGCCTGGATAGCTCAGCTGGTTACAGTGTGGTGCTGATAATGCCAAGGTTGCAGGTTTGATCCCCATATGGAACACCTGCATATTCCTGCATTGCTGGGGATTGGATTAGATGATCCTCAGGGTCTCTTCCAGCTCTACAAATCTACGATTCTATGCCCGTAGGAAGCCAAGACACGAATACAAGAGCAATCACCCCTGTTGCAATTCCCAGCAACAGGCATTCAGAGGCTGCCTCCAACAATTAAACTCTGATTGGATTTAGAATCTTGAAACATGTAAGACCGGTCTTACATCTTCAGTACTTATCTCTTTGGTAAAAGTCGTCCTGTTTATTAGTCGACATTGGATCGTATAATTAGACCATGGAAAGTCTAATTGTGACAAAAAAAAATGGGCAAGTGCAGGTAACAATTATCCAAGGGGCAATTTACCAAAATAGCTATCTGGTATGCACAAGTGCTACTGAGCTTAATGGGGCCTACCCTCAGGCAAGTGAGCATAGGATTGCAGCCTCACATTGTACTAAGTTTAATGAGACACTAGGTTCAGCCCACTGGAGTTGTGCTTCCTGAGAGGAACTGAGAACTAGTTAAGGGCGACACTCACTTCCTCTGGTCCAAGGAAAGAGGCCACAGACTGAGAAAGCTCTGGGAAACCTTCATCTGCTTATGGTTGTGCTTTGGCTCCTCATCTGTGAATACAGCTCTTAAATCCAGTTGTTTGACAGAGTCAGTTTAAGGCACCATGATTCCACTCATTGCTTCCCCCAAGGAATTCTGGGAGCTGGAGCTTGTTAAAGGTGCTGAGAATTGTGACAGACCCTCCAAGTGTCCCTATTTTCCAAGGACATTCCCAATTTACAGAAGCCGTCTGGTTTCTGGTTTGACCCCAGAATGTCCCGCTGTTCCTTAGGATGTCCCTGTTTTCATCAGAGAAATGTTAGAAGGTATGGTAGGATGTCTCTACTTTCATCAGAGAAATGTTGGAGGGTATGGAGTTATCCGACCCCTGAGCCATCTGAAGACAGCCCTGTATAGGGAAGGGTTGGGTTTTTTTTAATGTTTAATGTTTCATTATGTTTTATATGCATTGGAAGCCACCCCAAGTGTTAACCTAGTCCGGTGGGTGGGGTATAAATAGTAAAGTTCCTGTTGTTGTTGTTATGGAATAGGATTTTCCCTATTTTCATCAGAGAAATGTTGGAGGTTATGTTGGGAGGACGTCCTATTCCCTTTCACAGAGCTGCAAGTCTTAGAGTTCCTTGTGAAGAGGTATTGATGGTTAAACCACTCGGAAAACTGTAGCTCTGTCAGGGGACGATGGGGTCTCCTCACAACTCTCAGCACCCTTTACAAACCACATCTCCCAGAATTCTTTGGGGGAAGCCATGGCCATTTAAAGTGGTTTCACAGTGCTTCAAATGTAGGGTATGAATGTGGCTACAGTTTGCACACTGATTGGCTCTTTCACAAATCTACACCACAGACCCATAAGGGTTGGAAGAGGGGTCACCAGGAGCATATTCTTTGGACACTCATATATGGTCCTTCCCACTGAATTCTGAGATGGTAAACCTTTCTGAATATGGCTCTAATTGGGTGTATAAATATATTTCTTCAATTCATCTGCTCTTCATTGGAGCAGCAAGAAGCAACTCAGCTTTTGACAGGAAAGGAGTTGTTTAAATGGATAGTTCAATTCTACGAATTGTGGCCTGAATCGAAATAACTGGATTTCCCCCAACTCCCACTACAGGCATTAAAATTAGACAGGACGTTGCTTTATCATCAACTCTGCTTTATGAATGTTTACTGTAATCATTTTAAATGCATTTCAGCCTTAATACAATGACCAAAGTCTGTCTTTAATGCATTTCCTTTTGCTCTCTAGGGTTGCCATATTTTGAAGAGCAAAAAAAAGAGGACGCTATGATGACTCTCTTTTTAAGTACCCCTATTATATATCGGCTATAGAAGCTGTGATATATTGTGGGGATGGGGAGAAGAGAAGAGGAAAGCATGTCTTCAGCCGCCAGTTATGTCTACGTCTCATCCAGAAAGTATAGCCAGAGACATTTTGGCAAATTTAAGATATCTAGCCGGACAGAAATTTTACCCCTGAAAATGAGGACGTGTCCTGGAAAAAGAGGATACGTGGCAACCCTACTGCCATTTTCCTCCTTCTACAGACACCTCCCAGCACAGGATTTCAGAGCAGTTGTTGTCATCCATCTGTCTCAGCAGACAATGGAAGAGTGCGCCTTTGGTGGTGAAGTCAAACCACCGAAGACATGTTTTGTTGCAGCTGGGGCAGATGAAGGCGTCCGGTTGTGCTGCTGCTGCTGCTGCACCATGATGTTTTTCTCTCTAAGCTCCTCCCATGGTCATTTCTCCTCTGGACACTGCTATGAGTGCATGACTTGACTGCAGTCTCCACGCACTGCAGTCATCTGCAAGGCAGTTTTGTTGTCACCAGCCTTCATGTCTCGTTTGCAGACATCTTTGTAAGGCAGAGTTGGTCTGCCAATGGGCTTGGTGCCAGGATCCTGCCACTTTCCATTCTGTGGACATGGCCAAGGCAGTGTAGACGTCACTGGGACAGAAATGAGGACATGCTGGGAATGAGGGCTTGGGAGAGCATATCCTGTATCAGATGAACCTGATTCCAGTGCATGAAAATGTGCCATAATAAAATTGCTATAAGGCAGCAGCAAGGCTCTTGGTTGCTTGTGCTGCAACAGACTAACATAGCTTCCCCTCTGGAAATCAAATAACCATACAGTGGTACCGCGGGTTACGTACTTAATTCGTTCCGGAGGTCCGTTCTTAACCTGAAACTGTTCTTAACCTGAAGTACCACTTTAGCTAATGGGGCCTCCTGCTGCCGCCGTGCCGCCGGAGCACGATTTCTGTTCTCATCCTGAAGCAAAGTTCTTAACCCGAGGTACTATTTCTGGGTTAACAGAGTCTGTAACCTGAAGCGTATGTAACTTGAAGTGTATGTAACCCGAGGTACCACTGTACAAGCCAGAAATCAGGGGCTGCATTTTCTCTTCCATAAATTTCAAAAGAAAGAAAATTGTTAACAGTCAAAATGGACAACCCCAACACAACCTTACAGACAAGGACACAAAGTACTCTAACATTGTTTTATTCTTTCTTTCTGCCTTCCATCTGCCATTTAAGCCATCATAAAGTTTGACTTAAGTAATACATGTGCTTGTTGTTCTCCACAATATTAGCACAGACTTTTCATCCCCTCTATGGAAGGTTTGGTAAAATCCCAGCTGTTGCTGTTTATTCAAGCCAAAGATCAGAAAGAAAAGATTTAGGGAAAGTGGATTTGCAGAAAAGAGAAGTGCCTTTACATTGGGGAACACAGCTATATTCCTAAGTGTTCCTTTTCTTTGTTTGTTTTGCTAAGCAGAGATGAGTCATTCATTGTAGCCAAATAACCTTTAAGTTGGCAAATTTTGCTTCTTTTAAGTTAGCTTTCTTAACGCAGGCTTTTCATCCGAGGACTGTTGGAAGCTGTGCAAATTGTTGGAACCCATCCTGTGACTTGCTGCTGAAAGGCAGGTACCTTAATAATAACAGTAAGAGTAATAATGGCACTTCACCACGCTCTCCAGAAACAAGTAGTTGAGCAAGGCACGTTATCCAGCCTGCGAAATGTTCCTTTTTTTCCTTACCACTTGCACCGTCATGGCTTGCCCCAGAGAATCCTCGTTTTTGTGGTTTGGCAAAGTGCTAAGACTTCTCTAGAAAAGAGACTTAGTCCCTCCTCACCAACTATAATCTCACGGTTCCTAAAGGGGAAGGAGTGACTGTTAAAACTCGCATAAGTCTGTGGTGCAGACACGTACCAGAGCCCTTGAGGCCTTGTTTAATGCATCTCAACTAGCGTTACCCAGCCTGTTACAACAGGCTTTGGGGTATTTGGCTAAGGGTTTCTATGAAAGGAAGGAAAAGACAGTAAATCTCTGCGATTTAGGTGATCTCCAGGTTGCAAAATGATTTGCGGGCGCTGCACCTGAACCCCCATCAAGAAAATGCCTGTCTATAGACCCTGCCTTCCCGGATCTTGCAAAGCCAGCCTCGTTCCTATTGGCATGCAATTAGCAGCTGGAGGAGAGCATTATGGATTTATCAACTTGGACCATCTGCTGTTTTGGAACATTGCCTGCTTCTTCCAGACGTGTTTGTCTTTGGGCTTGCCCCCTGAACAGTCACTCCTGGGTCTTTGAGGATATTAAGTGTTCTTTCCTTTTCTTCTGTGTGTCAAAACAATAACATTCCAGAGGAAATGTCAGCATGACCAAATTATTCAAACTGATTTGTTTTGCAGGTGAGTCTTTGTCTTCTTTTAAAAAATGAAAAAAAAATAAAACAAAAACAAAAGCCAGATACTGTATTCATTCAGGGTGGGCAGGCGGTAAAGGGACATATAGTTGCAATCAAAATTATTCAGCCCCCATTGCAAATCAGGTTTATTGTCAGCATTTACAGGCTTTTGGCTGTTTGCAATGAGCAAATCAAACAAAAGCAACAGGAATAGCTCAACACAATGGATGCTTCAAATGGTTTCCCCCAAATTCAGCTGAAATTGCAACTTATACTGCAACTTATATACTGCATATGAAAATGAGCCGTTATTACCAGTGTGTTGAATAACTGCTGCCAGTCAGTGCTGGGTGGAGCCATGATCTGACTCAGTATAAAGCAGCTTCCTATGTCCATATGTACAAAATTAAAATATTCCGCACCTTTTCCAAAGTTACACACAGGCAGCCCTTTATTTTTTTGGGAAAATTATTCATCGCTTTATAGTCAAATGAGTTTAAAAGTGATGTGCAAAATAGAAATCAAATACAGGATCATATGTTAATAATAAAACAGAAACCTATCAACAAAGGTTTGGGCTGGGTGTTCATCAGTATGCAGATGATACCCAGCTCTACCTCTCTCCTCAATCGGAACCAGTGAGGGCAGTGAAGGTCCTGTGGGAGTGTCTGGAGGCAGTTGGAGGATGGATGGCAGCTAACAGATTGAGGTTGAATCCTGACAAGACAGAAGTACTGTTTTGGGGGGACAGGCAGGTGTGGAAGACTCCCTGGTCCTGAATGGGGTAACTGTGCCCCTGAAGGACCAGGTGCGCAGCCTGGGAGTCATTCTGGACTCACAGCTGTCCATGGAGGCACAGGTCAATTCTGTGTCCAGGGCAGCTGTCTACCAGCTCCACCTGATACGCAGGCTGAGACCCTACGTGCCCGCGGACTGTCTCACCAGAGTGGTGCATGCTCTAGTTATCTCCCACTTGGACTACTGCAATGTGCTCTACATGGGGCTACCTTTGAAGGTGACTCGGAAACTGCAATTAATCCAGAATGCGGCAGCTAGACTAGTGACTGGGAGTGGCCGCCGGGACCACATAACAACGGTCCTGAGAGACCTGCATTGGCTTCCAGTACGTTTCTGAGCACAATTCAAAGTGTTGGTGCTGACCTTTAAAGCCCTAAATGACCTCAGTCCTGAATACTTAAAGGAGTATCTCCACCCCATCATTCAGCCTGGACACTGAGATCCAGGGCCGAGGGCCTTCTGGCGGTTCCCTCACTGTGAGAAGTGAGGTTACGGGGAACCAGGCAGAGGGCCTTCTCGGTAGTACAGGGAAGTTTTATTAATGCTTACTGTTTCGTCATGTTTTTATATGTGGTGGAAGCTGCCCAGAGTGCTGGGGCAACCCAGTAAGATGTGTGGGGTATAAATAGTAAAATTATAATTATGAAATAAAAGGTAAAGAGACCCCTGACTGTTCAGTCTAGTCATGACTGACTCTGGGGTTGTGGCGCTCATCTCTCTTTACTGCTGAGGGAGCCAGCGTACAGCTTCCGGGTCATGTGGCCAGCATGACTAAGCTGCTTCTGGTGAACCAGAGCAGCGCACGGAAACACCGTTTACCTTCCCACTGGAGCGGTACCTATTTATCTACTTGCACTTTGACGTCCTTTTGAACTGCTAGGTTGGCAGGAGCTGGGACCGAGCAATGGGAGCTCACCCCGTCGTGGGGATTCAAACTGCTGACTTTCTGATCAGCAAGCCCTAGGCTCTGTGGTGTAGACCACAGCGCCACCAGCGTCCCTGGAATAGGATGACCCTATTTCCATCAGATAAATGTTGGAGGGTATGTTATACAGTGCCATCCTTTATACAGCTACTTGGAAGCAAGTCCCATTAAGTTCAATGGGGCTCACTCCCAGAGAGGTGGCTATATGTTTACAATCTTTGAGAGTGAAGTACAAGGGCTGCTCTCACCTTGCAAAAATCTGAAGCCCTGATTCAGTGTTCAAGTGCACATCTGGCATAGTCTCCCACGCATCTGTGCCATCTCAGAATGGAAAGTCGTGTGCACAGCCAAGTCAACGCTTCCCAGCCCATGAATCCCTGACTGAACACGAGAAAATGTGTTTTTCTCCCTGGTATTTAAAATGTTGGAACAGAGGGCTGTGCTCATTATGCATTCAGCACTGACAGTCTGTTTGTCAAAGAACGCTTTTAAGAGAGAGGAAGAAGTGTGTAGAAATAATCCTTCTATAGGATTTCCTTTATTTCCGCCTCCTCCAAAAGCTGCTTTCGACAATGAACCTCTTGAGAATTTCAACTATCTCTGGCATGCAAGGAAAGCAACCCCGACTCCAATTAACGTGAGGTCTGGAAAAGTCGGAATGGAAGCTTAGAAGCCTTGACCCCGCCAAAGAATAAGCAAACATTCTGCACAGTTTTGGTCTTGATGGACGAGGGGTTCCCCAACAGATAGCCCTGATGAGATCATTTGCTTGTTTAAGCACCCCCTCCCCAAGCCCCCTGGCTAGATTTTGAGAAACGGGAGTAAAGCACACCGAAAATTATCCTGCATGAGTCATTGTCGCTAGAGATGAATGTGGGGGGTTCCTTCCTGTGTTTGAGAAAGGAAACCAGACATGTCATCATCACTGATTTGGACAGCTCGGAACAGAGTGACATGAACTAAATAGAGCCTGCTGATGTAATTTCGGGAGCCGCCATCGTGCACTTTGTCAGCTGTGAGGTTCAGCTAAGCAGAAAGCTCAAGCCCAGCAGCTATAATTGCTTCCTTACACTTCAGCACACAAACAGAATCACAAAATCGCAGCTCTCAACAACACATTTCCAGCAAACAACGTGGCTTCTGAAATGCAGTTGTTTTTTTTAAAAAAAAACTTTTAAATTTTCAATTATACATTTCCCACCATTAAATATCCACCATTATTATTATATATTCATCAAATTCCCTTCTTCCCCTTCCGTGGTTCTTTTAGTTTTCCCATTGTTTCTGCATATTCTGTTACAACCATTTAATTTCCCCCTTTTTATATTTCCTCATTTTACTTTATATTGTTATAACTGCTAGTGTTTTCACTTGTTTACAATTATTTTCCAAATATTGCACTCCTCTTTTTAAGCTCAAACTTCTTGCTCTCTTATTCTGCTGGTTAGGCCTGCTAACTCTGCATATTCTATCATTTTAAGTCGCCATTCCTCCTTCTTAGGGACCTCTCCCACTTTCCATTTTTGGGCTAACAAAATCCAAGCTGCTGTAGTTGCATACATAAATCATTTTTTTCTGAAATGCAGAAGTTTAAAAATCTCCCAAGGCATTGTACACATCACTTCATGTTGTGAGCCTGAACATTTCTCCTTAAGGGTTTTTAGCCAGTGCTCCTGATTCTTCACTGGCGTGAAGTTGGTATGAGAGCCAGTGTGGTGTAGTGGTTAAGAGCGGTAGTCTCGTAATCTGGGGAACCGGGTTCGCGTCTCCGCTCCTCCACATGCAGCTGCTGGGTGACCTTGGGCCAGTCATACTTCTTTGAAGTCTCTCAGCCCCACTCACCTCACAGGGTGTTTGTTGTGGGGGAGGAAGGGAAAGGAGAATGTGTTGGACAATGGCAGACGAAGTTAATGGACTATTGGTGGAAATGACTGGCAAGATCCAAGACCAGGGTGAAGAGTCGGTGGAAGAAGATTGGAAAAAGTTTAAAGACTATTTATAGAAATATTTTAAAATTAAGGAATGTTAGAAAAATGTTGGAATGAAATTACATGGCTTTAGTAGAAATGTCATAAGGAATTAAGTATAAATAGATTAATAGAAAATTAAAGGAAAAGTATGGCAAGAATGTGTTTAAATAATTATAGAACAGAAAACAGAGTAAGATGGAAAGGAATTGCTGAAACAAATAATAGAAGTGGAATACAAAAAGGGAGGTGTGAGGAAGTCGCTGGAAATAAGTGAATGAAATATAAGATATTGAATGAAATTTGATTTATTTTATTGTTGTTGCATTGTTTTGTTAGTTTAATGTATTGTATTGTATGTGTTTTTTCTTTTCTTTTAGTGTTTAAATTTTTTGGAAAAGTAATAAATATTATTTTTTTTTAAAAAAAAAAAGGAAGGGAAAGGAGAATGTTAGCCGCTTTGAGACTCCTTAAAGGGAGTGAAAGGCGGGATATCAAATCCAAACTCTTCTTCTTCTTCCTCTTCTTCTTCTTCTTCTTCTTCTTCTTCTTCTTCTCCTCCACTGCCCTATTGAGACTTGACGGTTCACTGGTTGGCTTTATACAAACTGGCATTGTTCTCCCATCCCTCCCCATCCCTACTGCTTAGGGTCACCAGTTAAGAAGGGCAGAGGGAGAGGCAACCCCTTTTGCATCTCTTGTGATCATTCAGCAAGTACACCCCTGCCTGTGATCAATTCACTAGGGGTGGATCTACACACAGAGAAAAACAACACTAAAAATAGGTCAGAAATTAGATCATTATAACAAAAGGTGGGGAGAAACCCTACGGAAAATCACGCTTAAATATTTCCTGCTCTCTGGCACCACCTGGTGTTGCATGTTTATAGCACATTCAAATTGTTTCTCTACTAACGTAGCTGAGTCCTCAGTCTACACAGCGAGTGAAAAATAGGCTACATTTTTAATCAGGGAGGAGTGCTAAGGGTAAATCAATGGGAAACAACAACCTAAATAGAAGTAGTCAAATACTATCTTGTCATAAGGACATCTAGTTCAGTATTTTGTTCTCACAGTGGCCAACCAGATTTCTATGGAAAGTCCCTAGAAGGACCTTATCACCCATGAATTTGTCTAAACCCCTTTTCATGCCATCCATGTTGGCAGCCAACACTGCCATTGTCATGACAAGAGAACAAGTGAGGCATTCATGGTGGGTTCCGGTTCCAACACATCTTTTTCGAGAAAAATAGCACTAGGGATAACTGATTTTTATGTGTTCATTGTATTGTATTGTATTGTATTGTATTGTATTGTATTGTATTGTATTGCATCGCATTGACTGTGGGATGTGGGTGGTGCTGTGGTCTAAACCACTGAGCCTCTTGGACTTGCCAATTGGAAGGTCGGCAGTTTGAATCCCCATGACGGAATGAGCTCCCGTTGCTCTGTCCCAGCTCCTGCCAACCCAGAAGTTCGAAAGCACACCAGTGCAAGTAGATAAATAAGTCCCACTGCAGTGGGAAGGCAAACGGCGTTTCCGTGCACTCTGGTTTTCATCACAGTATTCTGTTGCCCCAGAAGCGGTTTAGTCATGCTGGCCACATGAACCTGGAAAGCTGTCTGTGGACAAACGCCAGCTCCCTCGGCCTGAAAAGCAAGATGAGCGCTGCAACCTCATAGTCTCCTTCGAGAGGACTTAACCTTCCAGGGGTCCTTTACCTTTACCTATTGTATGAACTGTTGATGTGTGGCTGGGTTTTTTGTTTTTGCTTTGTTTTTTACTGCTTCAACTGTATTTTTTATATTCTGTAACCCACCCTGACACCTTCTGGCAAAGAATACAATTATCAACCACCACCATAGAACAACAACAGCACACCCTATTTAAATGTTTATTCTTGGAAGGAGAAGGGATGCTAGGAAGCCTTTTTCTTCCTGTGACATTGGCTGGTGACGCTGGTGTGGTTTTACACACCATGATAAATCTACTTGACAGACTGCAGATCTCGAAAGCATTTCAAGAACCATGTATTAAAATCTATTTTACCACAGTTGGATCTTAAGAGTCAGAACCCCTGCAATGCAGCAAATGGAAAAGATGAACATGACTGAATGAATGTGAAACAGAAGAAAATGCATCCAGGTATTTTAAAGATCACTCCAGATTTTTTTCCAAAAGAGAATGAGAGGCAAGTGCCATTGGGGCTGGGGAAAGATACAAGGGTCCCTGTCCAATAATAAAACACTTTGGTAGGTAAAAGGTAAAAGACCCCTGGATGGTTAAGAGCCAGTGTGGTGTAGTGGTTAAGAGTGATAGACTCGTAATCTGGTGAACCGGGTTTGCTTCCCCGCTCCTCCACATGCAGCTGCTGGGTGACCTTGGGCTAGTCACGCTTCTCTGAAGTTTCTCAGCCTCACTCACCTCACAGAGTGTTTGTTGTGGGGGAGGAAGGGAAAGGAGAATGTTTGAGACTCCTTTGGGTAGTGATAAAGCGGGATATCAAATCCAAACTCTTCTTCTTAAGTCCTGTCAAAGGCGACTATGAGGCGACCAGAGCAGTGCACAGAAATGCTGTTTACCTTCCCGCCGGAGCGGTACCTATTTATCTACTTGCACTTTGACGTGCTTTCGAACTGCTAGGTTGGCAGGAGCAGGGACCGAGCAATGGGAGCTCACTCCATCGCGGGGATTCGAACCCCCAACCTTCTGATCGGCAAGTCCTACGCTCTGTGGTTTAACCCACAGCGCTACCCACATCCCTGAATGCACATTAGTACTCTTCCATTTGCCTCCCACCCACCCCCTGGGCTCTGGCAACCCATGCTACACCAATGCCTCCTCCTCAGCTGTTCTGCAGGAATCAGTCCCTCTTGTTTCCCTGCAAAACTCTGTATTGCTTCCATACAATTGCTCCCTTCCCTCGGAGTTCCCACCTAATTGACCTATCTGAATATTTGCTCTGTCTGCAGGCTTCACTGCAAGGTAAACAGATTATTTGTTAATTGAAGAGGATAAACTTTCATCTATGCCTTGCTCTCTTCTTCTTCTAAACTGAGGGAAAATATCCTTATTATGGATTAGATGTTTCCTCTTGAATGAAACTCAGTCCCAGTTTGAAGATGGCTAAATCATTTAATCTCTACTAAAAGGCCGTGTCTGGGAATTTAGTAGTGATTAACTGGTCCACATTAGATTTACCGTCCTAATTAAAGTGGATTAGGGCTACAAACTATGCCCACATCCTGGGAAGAAGCCTCACTGAACTCAGTGGAACTTCATTCTGTACAGGTATGCATAGATCATACTGTTAGGTATATATTTTGTATTTTTGTGTAGTCAAGCCTGACTTACCTCTACAGAACAAATCTCACTAGGTAGTTTCGGAACCCCCAACTGATGTACTAGTTATCAGAGATTATAGTGCAAATAAGTAGACTGAAATGTAGAGACCTTCAACCAGAGTTAGGTACATAAAATAAAAGCGTCTTATCAGCAGAAGCACTGAGAACTTAATCCAATGGAAAAACCCACTGGATTTTTCAGGAGGGATCGACTTAGGCTTTCTATAAATATTTAGCTGATTTCTATAAAAATTAATCTGAAAGCCTATAGACTTTGGGGATTTGAGTGTTGTTTCTTCTTCTAGAATTCTGTGTCAATAGAACACATCATTACTCAGAAGTTATACATGACTACCAAGGAAACTCTGAAGAGTTTTGCCATTGGTACATGCATACAAAACAAAACAAATAAAGCTCTCCAAAAGATGCATAACAGACAGGTCCATAAATATTAAAGAGCACAGAAATATGGTAACAATAAAATGCAAAAAGTACAGCACATCGTAAATGTATATAGCATCAGATCTGACATATAAGTGCAATTGATATTAAATATTTTAATGTGAAATGCCTGAGAATTTAATGTGAGGGTGGTTAAGTCATTTCTGTGTCTCTTGCCACTTAGCCAACCATAGCATGCAATACATATAAGCATCAGACAGTGAAGGGAACACTTACCTGAGTCACCCAAAGCCCAATAAGCTGACTTATTGCTCTGCACTTTTGTTTCAGCCCAGGAGCCTTCAATGAAGCATAGCCAGACCTGTCCTCTTCTTCCTGTCTTTTATTCTGGAGTGACTGAATCCACAGGGCTTCTGTACTTTTCCAGAGATACATATAACAGCAAAATCTCCTGTCCTTCAGAAGTAGGAAAAGCATCCTTTGCAAGAATTCCTCCTCTGATATGAGACAAATGCCATATCCGCTTTTGTACGTGGTATAGAAATAGCCTGTCTTGGTTGAGAATATCTCTCACACCCTCTCACACATTTAACTGGATGCCTGAGAGTTCAACCCTAAACACACTTACTTGGGTGTAAGCTCCACTCAGAGGCACCAGCTTGCAAGGGCGATTGGGGGGGGGGGGCAATGTCTCACATGTGATGCCACATATGACATCAACGTCCCAGTACGTTTCCGAGCACAATTCAAAGTGTTGGTGCTGACCTTTAAAGCCCTAAACGACCTCTGCCCAGTATATCTGAAGGAGCATCTCCACCCCCACCATTCAGCCCGGACACTGAGGTCCAGCTCTGAGAGCCTTCTGGCGGTTCCCTCGCTGTGAGAAGCAAGGTTAGAGGGAACCAGGCAGAGGGCCTTCTCGGTAGTGGCACCTGCCTTGTGGAATGCCCTCCCATCAGATGTCAAGGAAATAAACAGCTATCTGACTTTTAGAAGACATCTGAAGGCAGCCCTGTTTAGGGAAGTTTTAAATGTTTGATGTTTTACCGTGTTTTAATATTCTGTTGGGAGCCACCCAGAGTTGCTGTTGTTGTTGTTGTCCCAACATCTCACCTCCTTCTGATGCTTCGACCCTCAATCACCTCCACAGCAGGGGGAGGAGGAGGAGGAAGGGGAGGAGAAGGAGCCAGCTCCATGCTTTGCCTCCACGCTTTTTAAAAATTGAGGGTGAGGCAGACCCTACCCCAAAAGTATTTGGGGGACCCAAAAGGGCTCAGCCCTCAGGAACTGGCACCTCTGGCTGCACTGAACACAGTGAGGCTGACCTCTGAGTAAAATTGTAGAGAGCTTCATTAATTTGTTTATTTCAAAATATATTGGGAATGGCTTGCTATTTACAACTTCTAAGCAGTATGCAAGAATGCAGCGTAAAAACAGGTGGACATTGTGAACCCAGTAAAGCTGGTTGCGCTGCCAGTCAGTGAAATAAATGGGCTGCATCCACATGGCCATTTATTCCATTTTTATGTCTGTTCTGTAAATAGAAAGCTCTATATTATATTTGCGCTTTGACACGACACGAAAGCTACTTCTAGAACTATAGTGGAATTATAGTGCAAGCTTAGTGCTCACTTCTGTGTTGTTTGCTTCCAGGAGGGAAAAAAAAATCCGTTGGCAAATAATATGGGAATGAGTTCTAAACTTGTGCTATATACTACGGTGTTTTAATTGGGTCATTGGTGCCCTCTTGCTGAAACTTGTAGCCATGGTTAACCATTTACATACATAATCACATAGTTGCCACAGTTTGCAAGACATGCAACCAATACTTCTACTTTATTCGACTCAAGTCAGATATCATCATGCAGTGTCCAATTCCGGGAATCGCACTTCAAGAGCTGAATGCAGGCAAACTGGAACAGATTCAGAACAGGGCAGTGAAGCTGAAAAGGGTTATGGAAGAAAACAAGTCATCATACGAGGAAAGGTTGAAGGAAGGAAGTGGTTTTGTTTAGTCTGGAGAAGGCGGAAGGAAGACGTGATAGCACGAGGGGCCATTTGCCTTTTTCATTGTGTTTAGCTGTGTCTAACTGCTTCTGTTCACTGGTGTTTTTAAGAACAGGCTTTCGTCCTACTGATGGTTGTTTTTAATTCATTTTAATGTTATAACTAGTGCTTTTTTCTGGGGGGACGCAGGGGTACACATACCCCTAAACATCTAGTGAATCTAAGTTTGGCCTCTTTGAGGGGCAGTATTTCAATATGAGTAGGAAAATGGGAGTAGCCCTAAACATTTTTTTTTTAAGAAAAAAAAGCACTGGTTATATCCCTGTCCTGGTACAATGGACTTTGAAATAACATTAAAAATAGTATTCTTCATATACCCAAAGTGCTGAAAAGGGCAATGACTTATCCTCTGCTACTCCAGGAGCCAGGACTCGATCTAATGGGCTTTGGATGCAGGAGAGTAGATTTCAGTTGGATCTTTAAGAGAAACCTTATTAGGAAGAGCACTTTGACAATGGGACCAATTGCCTTGGGGAATGGAGTGGTTCTTGCATGACCAATGGAACCAGGTGCTTGGAGAGTGGGGATCCATCAGTGTCAATGAACCTATTCTGAGTATGGCATCAAGTCAGGTTATTGGTCCATTGAGCTCAGTATTGCCTCCACTGACTGGAAGTGCTCTCCAGGGTAAAAAAGGGAGAATTCCTACCTGGAGATGACAAGAATGGGACCGGAGATGTCCCACAAGTCAAAGTGTTGGTGCTGACCTTGAAAGCTGACCTCGGCCCTGCATCTCCACCCCTGTCGTTCTGCCCGGACACTGAGGTCCAGCTCGGAGGACTTTCTGGCAGTTCCCTCATTCCAACAACAGAAGTTACAGGGAACCAGGCAGACGGCCTTCTCGATAGTGGCACCCGCCCTGTGGAGTGCCCTCCCATCAAATGTCAAGGACATAAAGAACTATTCAACTTCTAGAAGACATCTGAAGGCAGCCTTGTATAAGGAAGTTTTTTTATGTTTGATGTTTTATTATGCTTTTATATTTGTTGGAAGCTGCCCAAAGTGGCTGAGGCAACGCATTTAGATGGGTGAGGCACAAATATTCTGTTGTTGTTGTTGTTGTTGCTACATGCAAAGCAGATTCTCTACCACTAAGCTACCAGCAAAGCTTGCCAATTATCTCTCCTTAGGAATAACTGCTTATTGTTCCTCCCCAGCTTTGTTGACTGGTTTGCAGAGTGTTAGTTTGGAGGGGAGCGCTGTGGCGATTTGTGAGGAGGAAAAAGTCCTGCATCTGTCTGTCTTTGCCAACGGCATGAGGCGGCAATTACAGCTCTGCCAGACAGCGTGGAGCCCCTGTTTTTAACACAATTAATTATGTCATGGCTTAATAAATTCATTGCGGTGTAGAGCAGCGAAAAATATGGTTGCACAATTGCAGCGGTGAGGGAGATTGAAAAACAGGGAAACGTTTCCTCACTCAACCGCTTTGTTTCTGAAAAACAGCAGATAAGAGGCAGCTTTGAGCTTATACAGTGTTGTGCTGTAAAGATATATGTGACTGCATTTTGAACACCTCCCATACCTAGTTTAGAGTGGCCCATGCTTGAGGCAGAGCTAGAAGCCAGAGTGAAAAAGCAATTCTTCAATAATAATAATAATAATAATAATAATAATAATAATAATAATTTTATTATTTGTACCCCACCCTACCCAGCCACTCTGGGGAGAGGAAACCTGTTATATATAGATCTTTAGTAAAATTGTTTCTTGTTTAACTTCTCTGACCTGCTCATCATTAAACAGAGAACATTACAAATGTTATATGTTCTCTTGGAACATACAGACCCTGTCCCAAAGACATTCCCATTTGTGTCACAAATACTATTTGTTGTGGGATTTGCAGGAAGTTGCCATCACTATATTCTTAGCCTCATTAAACTTGATCCGTATAAAAATAATAATAATCATAAAAAACACCTTACAACACAATTCTGTAGCTTTTGCATGGGAGCAAGCCCCACTGACAGCGGTGAGATTTTCTTCTGAGTAAGCAGGCATACGGTTGCACTTCAGAAAAACAAAAAACTCAAAGATGTGGCCTGAAGTGTTTTGAAATAAACAGACAAGAGGCTGTGCTGGCTGAAGGAAGCAATATGAAGGGGGAAAATCAGAACACTGCATGGTATTCAACTAGGTTTTACTTAGAGTAGACCCATTGAAATTAATGGACCTAACATAGTCATGTGACATGTCTATGATTTCAATGGTTTGGTCTGGGTGCAGCTTGCCCAATTTGTCAAGTTCATATAGCAAAAAATGGAAGTTTAATGAAAAATATAACTCTATATATACCATGGAGAACAGACATAGAGCAAAAGAGTTAATTCCCCACCCCCACCCCAAATTCACTGTCCGGATTGATGGAAGTGGGGGGTGGCAGCTGCTTTTAACTTTTTAAAAACTTTAACCATCTTGGGGTTTTCTTCTTGTTTGCTACCAAGCTAAGTTTTCTGTGAATGTGCAGCAGTACTTCAGAGCAGTATAAGTCATAAAAACAAACAGGAACTTTGTAACCGGGGATGTTGGTGGGAGAATTTAAGAAGAGACCAAGGCACTATTTGTGACCAACATATCAGCAGAATTTCATGATAGGCAGTTCCCAGAATCTCTGTTTGTAAACCTAAGTGGAATGACGAGAGTACTGATATTGGAACTGTATGTTTTCACTGACTCTTTGAAAACACAACTGTACAGAGGCTATAAAGTGCTGTGTCTCTGCTAGGTTTCAGAGGGTGGGAAACTTATTAGCTGGTTTGCTTGTTTGGTTCATTAAATTTATATAGTAAAGGTAAAGGTAAAGGGACTCCTGACCATTAGGTCCAGTCATGGCCAACTCTGGGGTTGCGGCGCTCATCTCACTTTATTGGCCGAGGAAGCAGGCGTACAGCTTCTGGGTCATGTGGCCAGCATGACTAAGCCGCTTCTGATTAACCAGAGCAGTGCACAGAAACGCCGTTTACCTTCCCGCCAGAGCGGTACCTATTTATCTACTTGCACTTTGACGTGCTTTCGAACTGCTAGGTTGGCAGGAGCAGGGACCGAGCAACAGGAGCTCACCCCATTGCGGGGATTCGAACCGCAAACCTTCTGATCGGCAAGTCCTAGGCTCTGAGGTTTAACCCACAGTGCCACCCGTGTCCCACAATTTATATAGTGCTTGATAACAAATAACAAAAAACCTCGAAGCAATTTGAAAGCTGATTTGTCCAGCCAGGTTTTAGCAGTCCCCAGAAATAGGTAATTTTCATTTGGCAAACCAGAATTCCTTTCCCCTTATTTTCAAGCCTAAGGTTTTTGTCAAATAGCTTTTTAAAAAATCTGTAGACTTGTCCACCCTGAAGCTCCTCTCCCCATCTCAGTGTTGTCCTGGGCCGTCCCCTATTTAAATATGGTTGGTTCCCCCCACCTCCCCAATCCGAGCCATTTTTCGGAGCCATACATATTTGGGTAAGGGAATAGAAGAGCCATGAAACTCCTGAAAAAAATAAAACCAAACAGCTGAGGAGCAGCTATAAGCTTTGTTCCCCTGAGGGCATTACAGAGGCGAAGGAGAGCTAATCTTTTGACTTATGTGAAAACAACCACCTCCAGTGCTTTATTAAAAAAAACACAACCAAAAAAACCAAACCCTCTAAGTGCAAGTCAGTGATTCATAGCCTTCTTGATGTGGAAAGGCATGCAAAAATTTGAAGGTCAATGGCAGGACCTCCCCTAGATACAAACTTGAAACAAATGCCACTCCATTTTTTTCTGAAAATGTATTTTCCTTCCCTACTTAGGGAGAACACACCCCTAGGGTGCATTTTATTTAGATGTGTCATGCTTTGATCAGATGCCTGACCTGGGGATTTTCTAAAGAAGAGATCAGACAACCTTTTCTAAAAGGCTGCCTCTTCTGTTGACGTATATGCGATGGCACCTTGGAATGCACATACCTGCTTTTATGTAAGGAAGGAAGGCCAACGAGACAAAACAAACACAGCTCATTTTATTCTTTCCTCTGTAAAATAAATCAAGAGCCTCGGAGATTCGTTTATCTTGCAGGAAATGGGATGAAGTTAGCAGCAGTTGCTGGCCTACTCAGCTGGATAACATCAGAGAAAGCCAACAGTTGTTTGAGTGTTCTATTTTCAACACCATCTGGGATCAGTGCTCCAACTGCAATGGAAGCATGTGCCTATGTGTCTGTAATAAACAAAAATCTGCCCTTATTCCCTTATGGGGGGACAAAAGAGCCCTTATAGAGTCCTTTGTAGATTCTCCATCGGTTGGAGAAAAGAACAGAGGCCAACCAGAGAATATTGAGAAGCAAAGCAGCTCTTGGCCTGATCTTTACTGAACTGTTGCAACAGGGTGCCCCCTTCACACGCAGGAGAAGGAGGACCCAGAACCCAGGTGTGCCCGCCCTTATATAGACATTTTAAATTGCCTGCCTTGGAGTCCAAGACCACCCCCAGATACATCATACCTACATCACAGAAAGGGCGGTCTACGGCAGAAATCTGAGTGGGTTGTTTGTCTCCTGTCTGGCAAGTTACCTGTTAATGCTTACTTGATTGGATACCCTGGGGAGCCTGGCCAGTTTTTTTTAATGATAAATACTTAGTTCCTGAGCCAGGTCACAGGCTCACCCTATTCATACCCAGACATACCCTTAAGACAGGATTTGTGAAGGAAAAGACAATGGGGAGGCTTTTCCATTTTCATTTGACTTTGCAGAGAAAATATTTGGTCAGTTTGGGAGTCAAAAATGGTTCCAGGGCTGTTTTTTTCCTGTGCTGCTTCAGACATGTGGTATATATATTTATGTACGTGTTTGCTTGGTACATTTATGAACATTTATTATATATATAAGGCCTTAATTTTTTTATTTCATGTCCAAGGATCACATGAGCCAAGCAGAATATGCTGAGTTAACTAACATGGATGCTCTGAGATACCTCCAACATTTCTCTGATGAAAATAGGGCCATCTCAACATTTCTCTGATGAAAACAGGGATGTTCTATACCCTCGAACATTTCTCAGATGAAAATAGCGATGCCCTACCATATTCTCCACTATTTCTCTGATGAAAATAGGGGCATCCTAGCACTTCTCTGAGGAAAATAGGGACATCCTATTCCACATCCTCCAATATTTCTCTGATGAAAATAGGGAGGTCCTGCCTTACCCTCCAACTTTTCTCCAATGAAAATAGAGACATCCTAACATTTCTCTGATGAAATTAGGGACATCCTTCCACACCCTCCAACATTTCTCCAAAGAAAATAGGGACATCCTAAGGAAAAGGAGGAAATCCTCACAGTGTTTTTCTCTTTTTTTTTAGGAGGGGGAGAGACCTTTAGCAAGCTTGTAGTTTGTGTAGAAAAGAGATTAACACATCACCACTGCCACCTCCTTTTAAATATCAGCAGACACCTCAAGTATAAGGATGGGGAAGGACATTGTCTTTCAGAGGCACTTTGTATTTTATATTTCAGTTTTTAAAAATGGGGTGTTATACTAAAGCCATTCACGCAGAACGTCTCTTTTGACAGCCCAGATGGATGGCGTACCGGGACGGAACATCATTGTGCAGAGAGACAGCAGAATAGAATGTTCTAGCCAAGCAGAAGGCAGTGGGGTGAGGAGGAGAAGCAAGAGAGAGACCATCTACGGCGTGAACAACCCAACAAGCCATAGCACTTCTTTTCAAACTTGAGAGAGGTTGACTTTGCGTACTGATATGACAGATGTACAATTTAGCTGTTTTTTGTTTTGTTTTTAAGATCAAAGCTTTTGAAAGCTTCCAACTATGGTTCACACGTGTTCACATCACTTGGAACTCAAAGGGGAGACTATCTCTGGTCATTGGATTGGCGTATGTTTTTAACCTATCATGCTTTCGTAGTCATGCTCTGCTTCTGGACATCCCATTGAGAAACCTGGTTGGCCACTGTGGGAATAGGATACTGGACAAGGCGGGCCCTTGGCCTAATCTAGCAGGCTCTTCTGATATTCACAGTGATTTGCTGGGACATTGAGCTTGTAATTCGTCACTGTCATTTGATGACCCACACTTTGCAATTTGTATTTTAAATCCAAGCTGTTTATGCTGTCTGTGTTGCAACGAATGCTTTTTGGCTTCATGGTCTCTTATTGTTTCATTCTTGATTTTCATCTGGCTGCATTGTATATATTTATAGCATCGGTCAGTTTGTGAGCCACCCAGGGAATATTTACTGATGGAAAACCAATTGTCCTTCTAAAATAGAATGACTTACAGATGAATGTGTGAACTCTTTGGAAAAGGCCTGGAATCCTAGCGTTGGCAGGGAGAGTAAAGTCAACAGGGAACCGGAGCCAATCCAAATTCCTGACTTGGATAACAGCACTATAGGTGCTTTTGCAGACACATACATTGCATTTTTAAGTGTGCTTCAGAATAAGGGGTGGGGGAGAGAAACCAAACACATTGAGCTGGTTTGCATGTAGGTAATACTAAGCCAAGCTATAACTTGGCATACGGATGCTCCAAACCACAGTTCTAGAGGCTCATTACAGGCAAGGAGGCTGCTTCTTCCCAGTTCTAGCCTGGTCATTCCTGACAATGAGTGAATTTCAGTAGCGTGTCACTTTTCTCAGCCCTATATAGGAAGCAACAAAAGCCCCTCTTTTGCACCATCATTACAGACCAGGCATCCCCAAACTCGGCCCTCCAGATGTTTTGGGACTGCAACTCCCATCATTCCTAGCTAACAGGACAAGTGGTCAGGGATGATGGGAACTGTAGTCCTAAAACATCTGGACAGCCGAGTTTGGGGATGCCTGTTACAGACTTACAAATGCACTACATGCATCTCTGAAAGCTTTTGGAATAATAAATGTGTTAGTCTTTAAGTTGCTACCACACTCTTTTTTGGGGGGGGGGGTCATTGAGGCAGCAAGTTACGCCAACCTATCCTAGAAGCATAGAATTGTAGAGTTGGAAGGGACCCTGAGGGTCATCTAGTCCAACTCCCTGCAATGCAGGAATCCCAACTAAAGCATCCAAGACAGATGATCATCCAACCTGTGCCCAAAAACCTCCAAGGAAGGAGAGTCCCCCACCTTCCAAGAGAGACCATTTCCACTGTCAAACAGCTCTTATGGTCAGAAAGTTCTTCCTGATGTTTAGTCAAAATGTCCTTTCTTGTAACTTGAATCCACTGTTTTGGGTCCTACCCTCCAGAGCAGGAGAAAACAACCTCTTGAGATATTTGAACATTGCTGTCATATCTCTTCTCAGTCTTCTCTTTCCCAGACCAAACATACCCAGCTCCCTCAACTGTTCCTTGGCTTGGTTTCCAGACCCTTGATCATCTTGGTTGCCTTCCTTCTGCAAAATACAGTCATACCTCGGGTTACAGATGCTTCGGGTTGCGCGATTTCAGGTTGCGCACCGTGCCGAACCCAGAAGTACTGGAAGGGGTTACTTCCAGGTTTTGGCAGTTGCTCATGCGCAGAAGAGCTAAATTGTGCTTTGCACATGTGCAGAAGACCAAATCACAACCCATGCGTGCACAGATGCAGAGCTGTGGGTTGTGGATGCTGCGGGTTGTGGACGTGCATCCTGCATGGATTCGTTCGCAATCCGAGGGTCCACTGTAGTAAAAATCTGGAGGCCAGCCCTGTGAGAGAAAAGTGGTTTTTGATTGTTTCAGGACATTCTGGCTCCTGCTTCTCTGCCCCTAATGCCTATGTTTGTATACCGTATATGTCTCCCACGGTCTCTCCCATAGACTGCCCTTATAGAGGCTGCTGAGAGCTTCCCATCACCTGGAAAAGAAATAAAGTGAAACAATGCAATAGGATGGCCTTCTGTGAACATTCAGCCAGTCTGCATGTGCCTTTTTATCCCAGAGATAAATACTAACCACTTCCCTTTAGTGTGGCAGGAGAGGAGCAGCAGCAATAGGCGGCTGAGCTGTGGAGTCTGAAATCAAAAGTGTGTCCTCCTAAAAGCAGATTGAGTGTGGCACATGCATGAAGCACCGTTGTATTAAAGCGACTATAAACCACCACGCCGTGTCCCTGGAGTCTGGGCAACCTCGATGCCGCAGTGCAGAATCAGGCGGATAACCCTCATTCACTCCGACAGTTATTCCACTTCTCATAGCCTCACAGCTATGGGAATTGGGGAGGAAATTGTTTTCAGCCACAAGTGGCTGCCATTGTAAACGTCAGATGTGTTTGTGCGAAAGAGGCTAGGCTCTTGTTATTACTGCCTCAGTGATGTATTCATTACGTCCAGGCACAGCTAAAGTACCAACTCAAAAAGTGAAAAGAGCATTTTTAACAGCTCCCACCTGAATTCCCAACTCCTTCCCTCTTTCTCTTTCTCTTTCTCTTTCTCTCTCTCTCTCTCCCCCTTTGTCTGTGTGTTGCTAAGGAAAGCGGAAGCCAAACCGGTTCACCTAAATCGTTTCAAATGTATCTCGTTTCCCTCTGTCAGGGAATAAAAGCACAGATTATCATAGAATCATAGAACTAGGGTTGGAAGCGTCATCTAGTCCAACCCACTGCAATGCAGGAATCTCAAAAATCATCCATGACAGATGGCCATGATGATTTTTGCTCGTGATGTTACTGGGCAGGTTATAAGCAATCCTGCTTTCATCACCTGTCTGTTACTGGAAAAGTTCCAGAGCAGACATTCTGCTTTGTTTCCAAAAAGTGCATGTCCCATAGCTTCCTGCTAAGATGCTGTAACTTTTCATACCACAAATGTTTAGGGGGCATTTGTCCAGCTTTCGTTGTGCTGTGGTGGTGTGCCGGATGGAAATAATGCAGCAACATTGGGGTTGCAACACACAGCTAATGAAGGGAAATTAGTGGATGGTTCAGTATAAATCCACCACTCATATATTCTTACTTATACCTGAAGGAGCGTCTCCACCCCCATCGTTCAGCCCGGACACTGAGGTCCAGCTCCGAGGGCCTTCTGGCTGTTCCCTCACTGCAAGAAGTGAGGTTACAGGGAACCAGGCAGAGGGCCTTCTTGGTAGTGGCTCCCGCCCTGTGGAACACCCTCCCATCAGATGTCAAGGAAATAAACAAGTATCTGACTTTTAGAAGACATCTGAAGGAGCCCTGTTTAGGGAAGTTTTTAATGTTTGATGTTTTATTGTGTTTTTAATATTCTGTTGGGAGCCACCCAATTTATACCCCAACCAGATGGATGGGGTATAAATAATAATAATAATAATAATAATAATAATAATAATAACAATTGCTACTACTACTACCGCATCAATGACAAATACAGTCACAAAAAAGGACCTGTCTGGACGTGCCTGCTGTTTTCATTACCAAAATAAAATAACAACAACAACAACAACAACAATAATCCTCTTTTGGGGAAGGGCTGTACCTCAGTGGTAGAAAACACAGCAATGGGAATGTACACACTGTCTGGACCAGGCTCTGCAAAAGGTCCCAGATTTAGTGTCTCCAACTAGATTCTTGCTTGAAAACTTGCAGAGCCACTGGCAGTCAGGGTTGACAATGGCCCAATGATCTGGCATGGTATGTTCCCTGGAAATTATAGGCTTGGAGTTTATAGGTGTTCAGTTCGTTGTGTAATGTCCCATTTTTGAAAAGAAAGAAAGAAAGATCTGCTATATTAAGAAAAGTGAGGCAAATATGAAGGCTTGGCTAATTATCTGAAAGCAACCGTACAAACTGGTATTACGGGATCATCAGCTCCTCCCTGTGACCGTTTAAATCCAGCCTTTGTGGCATTGTGAAATATGCTGCTTTGCTCATTTCAGATCAGATGGGAACGATGCATGAATAAAGGCAGCTAAAATAGCTCCAAATGTACTGCGACTGTCAGGTTATCTGTTTCCATCTGCAGCAAACTGCTGTACCAGCAAAAAAATGCCCACTAAGCTATTATGCTTCATTGCTCCAGATATAGCTTCAGTTACTTAAAGGATATTTAATTACTGAGTTTTCAGGATCTCCCACACTCTTCTTGGTGCTTCATAGCTGCCCTTCAGCCTTATGTTTCAAGATTGTATCTGGCCATTGCTGTCCTTGCCTCCTGTGGACACTTTAACTCCACTTTGCTGCCTGCCTCTCAGTTGTGGCTTGCGTCAACTCTGTTGACTTCTCAGGACCAGCTGAAGGCTCACTTATTTGCCTCTACATTTGGAGGAGTCGCCTGAATTTGTTTACCTAACATTTATTTGTAGATGTATTTCTGTGCCACCATATCAGGGTGGTGCACAACAATAAAACATAAAACACAATTAGGAACCATAGAAGTGTAGAGTTGGAAGGGGTACTGAGGGAAATCTAGCCCAAACCCCTGCAATGCAGGAATCTCCACTAGATCATACATGGCAGATCACCATCCAACCTCTGCTTAAATACATTAAGTGCCCTCTGTCTTTGAGCTCTTTGCTCTCCTACTTGTAAGGCTTGCCAGGTTCTGGGAGATGGTGGGCCTGGAATGCTTTCTAGTGACAACATGTCAGCCAGCTGCTGCTCCAGCTCTGCCTGCTCCTCCTCTCCCATTATTTCCCAACTTTTGCCCTCATCTGTCTCTGTGCTGTGACCTCCCACAAACCACTGTTGTAAATCTATACTGTCTTCCACTTCCTCCTCCGTGGAAAGGTCAGGCTAGGGAGGCAGTCTCCACCATTCCTCCTCTGCCCCGTCCCTAACACCCACAATACTAAATGCCTGTTTTCTTGCAAACCTGACCTTTGTAAAATGGGGAGAAATTCTTCATCCTGTTTATTTGTTGCTTTTTACATAGGAAGGTGCCCTATGTCAGCCCACTGGTCCATCTAATTCAGTATTTTCAACACTGATTGGCATTGGTGTTCCAAGTTTTCCGGTAGGAAGGAGGAGGAGGAGGAGGAGGAGGAGGAGGAGGAGGAGAAGAAGAAGAAGAAGAAGAAGAAGAAGAGGAGGAGGAGGAGGAGGAGGAGGAGGAGGAGTTTGGATTTGATATCCTGCTTTATCACTACCCGAAGGAGTCTCAAAGTGGCTAACATTCTCCTTTCCCTTCCTCCCCCACAACAAACACTCTGTGAGGTGAGTGAGGCTGACAGACTTCAGAGAAGTATGACTGGCCCAAGGTCACCCAGCAGCTGCATGTGGAGGAGCGGAGACGCGAACCTGGTTCACCAGATTACAAGTCTACCGCTCTTAACAGCTACACCACACTGGCTCTCATACTACATAACTACATAACTCCAAATCCTACCCGGAGATGGAGGGGATGGAACTTAGGACCAGTGCTGAATTACCCAACGGGCAGACCAAGCATGCACTTAGGGGCCCCTGGAAGAAGGAAATGTGGTCCTTGGGTTGCAAAAATTCCCCACTTCTGTTCCAGGGCCAGGCCCTTCAATGTTGAGGGGGCCAAGGATGGAGATGAGTGTAGCACAATTCAGGGGCTGGCTCCTTCTGAGCATGCGAGAGGAAGACACACTGCGCTGGACTCCACGCTCTGCATCCTCCTGACTGGATTTACACTAAAATCCTACAACTCCTCCTCCTTTATCACCACCATCATCTTGTTGTTCACAGGCCAGTCCCTAGTCTAGGTATCTGACAATTGAGTTGAAAAATGCACCTGGTAGAAAGCAGCTTTGAATGCAGTGGGACCTCTGAGTAAACATGCCTAAACAGTGCTCTCATAGATATATTTCTGAAAAGGTTTATTACAGTTCCAAAGCTTGTTCCACTGCTTATTTTTGTTCTATTCTAGTGTCCTTTTGATTAACTGTAGGGTCTTCAGAAAATTATACCCACCAGAATACGCCCCCACTTCCTTTAGCAAATTCCAGGATGTACAACCTACACATAATGCCTTCTCCATATAGTGAGAAGTGTGTTGACCTTTGAAAAGTCTATTTTAGGAGCTTTCTATATTCTTCATACATTTGTAGCTGCAGTCTAGCAACTGCTAGCTTGTGCAAATAAAAAAACAATTAAAAAATCGATCTTAATAATACATGCCCTTTTCAGTATTATGCCTAGATAAACTCTTGCCAAATAATCCTGCTATTTGCTTTTGCTTTGAGACTATTTATTTCCACAGCGATTCCACAAAATCTCTTTTTGCTTCCAGTGATCATATGCATTTGTATCTTTGTTAGTCATGCTCTACCACGTAATAATTTTGCTTGCTTGTTTTTCCATTTTCCATCTTCTGTATTTTGACTGGGGTTGTTATGCCCCCTGCCATGGAACAGTTTCCACCTAGTTTAGAAGAAACAGGAAAAGCTTCCTGACAGATTGCTCTGTGAACTTCACATACTTAGCAACTCAAAGAAAAGAAATGGGATGTGTTATCTGAAGTTCATCCAGTTAAGTTCCATTGGTAAAAATAAGTCAAGTGACTTATAAACTTAGGCCACATAATATTTGGGCAGCCCATACAGTATCTGAATTTTGTTTTGTTTTAGAAACAGCAACCTTTAGAAAAGTTTAAAAATTGATGGTTTCGTCAGAAAATGAGACTAGAGAGAAACAATATTTCCTTCAGATAATAATAATTTATCATTTATACCCCATGCATCTGGCTGGGTTTCTCCAGCCACTCTGGGCGGCTCCCAAAAGAATATTAAAAACACAATAGAACATCAAACATTAAAAACTTCCCTAAACAGGGTTGCCGTCAGATGTCTTCTAAAAGGCAGGGATTTGTTTATTTCCTTGACATCTGATGGGAGGGCTTTCCACAGGGTGGGCGCCACTACCAAGAAGGCTCTCTGCTTGGTTCCCTGTAACCTCACTTCTCACAGGGAGGGAACTGCCAGTAGGCCCTTGGAGCTGGACCTCAGTGTCCGGGCTGAATGATGTGGGTGGAGACGCTCCTTCAGAGAGCTGAAGATAGTAACTGATGGGGCATCATTTCTCTTAGTGTTTTCATCTCTAGTAAACTAGGTTTTGCATGATTTTGTAGGGCTTGAAAAACCTCTCAAGCCCGTTTGCTTAACATTGACAGGAGGACAAAAGAATGAAATAAATAAGTGTGTTTGCCACGTACAACAACTAACAGCACTCACACTATCTTCAGTTCTCCCCATAATGATGGACCATCTCTGGTTATGTGTGTTGAATTTCCATCCTCTGCTGTCAGCTCATGATGACCCAAGCTTCCCTTTAGAATTTCCTGTGATTCAGGGGGCTGACTCAAGAGCAGCAAGCCACATATTTGTTGTTGTTGTTAATCATAGAATCATAGAGTTGGAAGAGACCACAAGGGCCATCGAGTCCAACCCCCTGCCAAGCAGGAAACACCATCAGAGCACTCCTGACATATGGTTGTCAAGCCTCTGCTTAAAGACCTCCAAAGAAGGAGACTCCACCACACTCCTTGGCAGCAAATTCCACTGTCGAACAGCTCTTACTGTTCGACACTAATCAATGCAGAGATTGCATTGGCCCTAGGCAACATTTGACACCTGCTCCCCACAGTTCTCGCACTGCCTTCCCAAAGCTGAGGAAGTGAGGTGCTGGACTTTGGGAAGGAGGCGTGTGGGCTCTGTCAGGGTCCTAGATTCCTTCCTCCTCCTTCTCAAACCTAGTTAGCATATTCCTGGTTTTGGGAAGGCAGCATGAGAGCTGGGGGGGGGGGATGTCAAATGTTGGTCTCATTTTGCTACCACCACCACCCCATGTGTGCAACAAGGCAATGTGCAGCTCGCGGGTTCTGGGTCAAAGTATTCTTGTGGGCCACTTAGACTGCCCTGACTTAGGTAATGACCCTCTTTAGAGGGAAATAGGTATACTTTCACTTCCTTCAGAAGGTTGTCAGCCAGCCTATCTAATTTGCTGGATCTGGGCTTCTGCTCTAAAGACCAGGGCTGTCTCCAACTGTCTCCAACTAGACTATGATTGCACAAACAACCCTCGGCCATAATTCACATTTTCAGTACAGATTTCACACTGTCAGTGATTTCCTATGTGGGTAAACAATATTTACATTTGTTAATGGAATGCTGTCAGCAAGACTACAGGAGATGAGGGCAACTGGAACATCAGACTCTTGAACTGAATTATCATGCTTCGATTGTTTTAGATGGCGCACTCTTTCTTTCTGATTAATTTATATGTGTTTTCCAAGCGCCGTGCTTCCTTCAGGGATTATGTTCTCCTTGCACTTTTTGGATAAAGCAATTTTCGTGACAACAGCTTGAGTTATTGTCATGGAAGGGAGGGGACTATGGGCTTCCATTACACAAGACGTGGTTTTATTCTGAAAGTTCAGGAGACTATTTGCAATCAGAATGACCACCAAAACACTCAGTTTCCATTAAACAAGAATATCTTCATCCTCATCAAAGCAGAATTTTAATGATTCAGTTCTTTGTCATGGAAAAGGATTATAAATAGCCCCTTAAGGTTTAGCCTGGCAGAATTAACAGTGTACATTGATTAAACATTCTCCTTTGAAACTAATGGTCCTTAAGTAGTACTTGCATTTTAGTTTAAAGTATGTTTAAATTACACTAATAGAATGATTCCAGTGGTACAGTCCCAGCCTCTAAAGCAACAGGCTTTGTACTCACTCTAATTGTAAAGCACATTTGAAGCACATTCATTCCCTCAAAGAATTCTGGGTACTGTAGTTTGTGAAGAGTTGCTGGGAATTGTAACTCTATGAGGGGTACCCACTTTAAGGATTGGAACTAGGGCTGGGTGATATATTGAAATATCATCCAAAACCAGTTTGAAGTCCACCTCATGATTAGCAGTTTCATAATTTTTGACCTGGAAATATATCATGAATCATGATCTCTCTCTCTCTCTCTCTCTCTCTCTCTCTCTCTGTGTGTGTGTGTGTGTTATGCAAAAATCACAATGTGGGGGTGAAACGTGAAGCCAGCCAAGGCCTCTACGTAGCTTTATCCTCATTTCAGAAAACATATCACAATATTTAGCTGGTGATATAGCACAATGTTGAAGACCAAATATCACCCAGTCCAGTCCTAATTGGAACATGCCATGGCAATTAGGGCATGTCATTTTAGAGAGTATTAAGCACTGCACATTCTGTGGCCCATGGCTTTCAGCACTGGATCCCAACCCTCTGAAAACCAAGTGCTCCATCACAAAAGACTTGAGCCATTTGAAGCATCTCGGTTGCAACAAATAGGTTCTAAGCAAGAATTCACAATGCCAATCGGTAGCGCTACCTGGTATACCATTCAAGGAGTCGATTGCTTTTTATGTAAAAGATTGCACCACCACAGTTAATTATCGGGTTGGTATTTTCAAACAAGACTTTTGGGGTTTTTTGACATAACAACTGCACTCAGTTCAAAGGAAGGTTTGAACAATACTGTATACATAAGGATCTAATCCATTGGGGGGGAGGCAGGCGGGCGGGCGAGATGAGCATAAAAGGCAGCTTATTAAGCAAGTGTGCACATAATTATTATCACTACTGCAGGAAAGCATTTCACATCCTGAGATAAAGGTTGAGGTTTATCTCTGTTGGAAGCGATCAGGGAACTGGAAGAGATACAAAGCTGTGAAAGGTAAATTCACGAGTATTCAAAGTGCCTGACAAAAGGCATTGCACTGTCTACAAAAAGCTGTCTGTTTACTGTGGTGATCACACAGGGTCCCCGGACGTTTCACCGTCTATTGATTCCTGTGCCACCACTTTATTTCTAGCTGCCACCACCCAGGCCCTACCTGGTACAATACTGAGTCCAGTCAGGGTTAAACGGAACATAAACTTCTGTTTATTTATTGCAGTTTAGCAAGCGCGTGGTTTCATGAACAGTATTGGTCCATTACAGTCATGGGGTGCCTATCCAGACCTATAACATCCGCTACCTGCTCTCACTCACTAAACCACCTCTCAGATATTTACTTGTCTTCCTAGCTCCTAACTGTTCCTGACTCAGGTTATTTCGCTACACTAACTCAACCTACCCACAGACTCTATCCCAATTCACTCCCACTCCAACCAACCACCCAACTCCCACCAAACTCCTCCCTTCGCCCCTCCCAGAGCTGGTTTTATAGTCCCTCTGACTCCACCCCCGGGTTCTGATTGGGTAACCTGTTTAACTATTTCACCTCCAGGACTCTCATATGTTAACGTCACACTTATATCAAAGAAGAGAAAATCTAAAACAGCATCATGAATAAGAACAGAGTTATAACTTAGGGTGGCCCTCAGCAACATTTGATGCCCCCAGCCCCAGCCCTCAGACTGCCTTCCCAAAGTTAGGGACGGAGGCCCTGGGCTTTGGGAAGGAGACGTGAGGGCCCTGACAGGGTCCTAGAGTGCTCCAGTCTCCTTTCCCAAAGCCTTGTTAGTGCTTTCCTCCCTTAGCCAGCTTTTTTGAAAGGCAGCATTGGGGGGAGTGTCAAATTTTGGCCTCACTCCCCCCCCAGCCCTTTTTAGGGTGGGGTGTTAATTTCCCCCCATGTATTAAACAAGAATGTCAAGGAATGAGAACAGTCCCATAAAAGAAAAAGAAAAACCATCTTGCTGCACCCTGTTTACATCTAACCCTTCTGGGGCCCAATGATAAGGTCTTTATAACTTCCACTGAAGAGGACAAATTTACCCTCATTTACTTGTGGTTTTTTAATGGCTCAGTCTATCTACTCTATTATAACAGCTGCCAGTGCCCACGATCAGTAACTCTTGCTATATAAAATCCCATGGGAACTGAGGTGATGTTGGGTAGAAATCTCAAGACTCTCATGGCCAAGGCTTTGTTTTTAGAACAGTGTTTTTCTTACCGGATTCTACATTTCAGAATTATCTGGGTAATTGGCCTTTCAAAAAAAAAAAGAAGGATACTAGCTTCCGAATCAAATCAGATGTTCTTAAAGTCTATCTTGGCAAGACAAAAGGCTTAAAACCAAACAAAGCAAGAGGTGGGGGAGAATTCCCTGGTTCAAAGGAAATGTAAAACAACGTGCTAGAACAGGAGCCTTAATGGAACAGGAGATGAGAGGTTCTTTTTAGACTAATTATTAGATGCATCACATAAGATAGTTTATTATACTTGCAGACAAATTCCCTCTAGAATTCTCTGTGGGTTTTTTTGGGCGGGGGGCTGAGTCAAGAGCAGCAAACCATATATTTGGGGGGGGGAGGTTAAGCAAAAATTGTGGCATCAATGCAGAGATCCATTAGGCATTAATCCCTATTTGATGTGGGTAGTTTTAATTTTGTTGTGTTTTAGAAAAGACACAAGATAAGCCTCTGGGACCAAGGCCATCCCAGAAAGCCGGGAAAAGTCAAGGGAGTCTTAAAGCACCATCTGGATAGGCTGTCATGAGGACAGCTTTCTTCCAAAGACAAAACAAGCCGGGGCAAGTGAGCAGCAGCCGCAGTCCACTTGGCGTTGCCAGAGGAAGTTCTTTGCTTCAGTTGCATTCAGAAGAGGCAGCTGTTTTTTTAACCAGGACTCAAGCTATCCCAGTTTCAGGTTAAGAATAGACCTCCGGAATGAATTAAGTACTTAACCCGAGGTACTATTGTATTGCTCCAGATGAATGATAATTTTACAACTGATAACTATGTAAACAGCAATTGGATTTTGAATTGCCCAAAATCTCAGCCCTGTTTTGATATTGGATGTTTATCTTTGCTTTGGTTGTTTTTTAAACATTGTGAAAGGTTTTTAATAGATGCTGGTACAATAAGACATCTAAACTTGAATAAACCAGTATTCAAGGGTTGATTATAGACCTGTACTCACTCTTGCATGCTAGCAATATTGAATATGAACCTATGTTATGGAAACCTCTGTGTCCTATCAGAGTCCATTTAAAAGCAGATTAGGCTTAAGAGAAGCAGATATCATGTTCCATTTCAGTCATGGCGAACCACTAAATTCCACTGGCTACCACTCTGGTTATATTCTATGCTGGTTATATTCTATTCTGTAACAATGTGGGAAGTTAAATTGCATATTTTTATGTGAAGAGATGTTAGTGAAATGAAGCTCTTATTCAGAACGCAAACCAGGAACAAAAATCATCATGATTCCATACCTGGAAAGAAAGAGAATGGAAGGCAAGCTGCCTTGAGACCAGGAGATTGCCAGTAGACAGCCACACTGGCTGCAGTGTGATGATAGCCTTACATTTTTATGCATATAGGAAGATATAAGGATACCTATCATACTAGTTATCATACTAGGACTGGGTAAATCCAAGTTCTATCCTGACTCAGCTCTGAAGCTCACTGGATGATCTTGGGCCAGTCATGACCTTTCAGCCTAACTTCCTTACAAGTCTGTTGTGAAGACAAAATCGAGGTGGGTGGAACCGTATATTTCAGCTTCTTGGAGGAAAGATGGAGACATAAATGTAATAAGTTTCATGATGAGAAAGGAACCTTTTTATACAGCCAGACCATAATTTGAACCAGGGCATCCTCTTCTGAGTGCACCAAGTCTTTTCATCTCCACAATCAGAGGCCAGAATGAACCACTTCCCCTTCCTTTATACCTGATGAATAAATGGTTGGGATTCCAGGTCAAAAATCTTCATGAAATCCTGGCAGGCTTGAGGCCTGGAGCCTTTCTGTTTAGGCTGAAGGCAATTCACTAGTAATATATGATGACCCACATTTCCCTGGCTTTGGTGCATGCCTGGGAATGCAAATTTGCTAAAGGAGATTGCTGAGCAGCTGTCAATAGAGGCTCAGCAGGTCATAAATTTTAGAAGGAAGCCTTGGCCGCCCACTTACTGTGTGAGAAATAGCCTTATTTCTGCTACTTCTCCCCCTATAGCTAACTGGCAAAAAAGCCCCTACCCATTAGCAATGACCATCGGCTAATGTATCATCTCCTTAGAAGAACTCCAAGCAAATTACTGGCTTTTTCATTCCTAAGGAGACAGGAATGATGTAGTGTTGATTCTCCAGGCAGAAGTTTATACGTTTTCTGCAAAATGAAATGGAAGAGGGTGGGGAGGCTGACAGATCTTTGCAGTGTAATCTCGCACTGACAATATGGCTTCCTGTTAATAAGCCTATAAATAAAGCTTCTCATCTTCCCACCCCCTCTGCAAATTTTCATACTTGCTTGCATTTCATACTCTTATCAGGACAGATCTAAATTGCTGTTCGCTAATGATGTGCAGTAATTAAATCCAGCTATCCAGAGCTGGTCTGTGTAAATTGCAAACATCCCCCAAACAGTTGAAATTTGGAGAAGCAGCTGCCATGGAGACACAACAAAATCATATCCCGGAGTTTCCTCCCACCTACCCACCCAAAGGTTGTTTAAATTAAACTCCATAACTACTTTCTAGATTACAATTAGCACACAGACTCGCCATACTCTTCCTCGTGGTTACATTCCACTGAGGTCGATTCCTGGCAAAGTTTACAATTTAAATAAAGGCCAGTGTTGTCGTAAGGTAAGGTACCCTAGAACTGGTCTTTATACTGGTTAATTGTTAATAAATTCTCCTCCCAAACCCTCCAAGCACCCCTATTTTCCAGGGACAGTCCTAGATTTACAGAAGCCATCCCGGTTTGATCTCAGAATGTCCAGCTTTTCCTTCGGACTTTTCCTCTGTTTTCATCAGAGAAATGTTGGAGGGTATGACTTCCAAGGGGCGGTAAGAGAGGCAACCACAAATGTATATATTTATTTTTATTCATTTGTTGGTCTTGCATTTATACCCTGCCTTTCTTCTGTCATTTGCACAACATGGCTTCCTCTCTCTCCTCCCCCCGTGTGCCCCACACCCCTAAAATTGGTTCAAGGGGGATTGGAACAGCCTGTGGGGAGACAGCCCTATTCTATGGGGACAGCCCTATTTACAGTAATCAGATGGCAACAATATTCCAAAGACAGATGCAACCAATTGAGTTCCTGTTAAATATGCATGCTTGCAAATGCCTGTATGCCATGTGGTTATTGGTCCAGAGGGTCTTGCAAACCCTTATTTGCTAACCCTGAGGCTATTTTGCTATAGCAACATCCCCAAGTCCCTGATTGCCTTTGCTTATATTGATGACCGCCATGATTGATGAAATAAGGATGTCACAGTTACGATAGGGCTGCTGTACGTCCTGATGTATGGCAAGAAGGGCAATTTTTTTAAAATAAAAAAATGCTTTGAAAATCCTTTGAACTCCCCCCCTCCCAACAAAAAAAGCTCAACTTTTGGGAATATGGCAACCCTAAGTTTTTTGTTTTTTAAAAAATATATTTGATTAGATTTTCTTCTAACCATACAAAAGTAAAAATCACCATAACAGGCAGACAATAGTAACAAACACACACAAACAACTATATGCCAAAACAATTTCAAATCCAAAAATAGGGATTCTCTGAATCCTGTGACTTCCCTCCTCCCACCCCTGGTTCCTTAATTTTGCTTTTCAACTGCATATCGTTACTATTCCCCCAAAAATTTCATCCAAGTTTTCCTATTATGCCTCTAAAATTACAAGTGTTCTTTAAATCCTGCCAATGTGTTAACTTGTTTACAACACTTTTGCATATGTACAAGAAACGTTTCCCATTCCTTTCTGAATTTCTTGTTGTCTTGATTCCTGAGTTTTCCAGTTAATTTTGCCATTTTGGCGTATTCCATTAACAAGTTAAGTTATGGTGCTTCTTCCCATTAGCAACCCTAAGTTGTGATGCTTCTTCCCAGCCAGTGGCAGAGGAAGAGGGTGCGGTGGGTGCGGTCCACCCTGGGTGTCATCCCTGAGGGGGGTGACATCACACCGCTGCCCCCCTGGGACGCTCGCCACTTGCCGCGGGCAGCAAGCCCCGCCCCCAGGTGCACAGTTTGTGAACCTCTCCAGGTGCCAGAGCAGCTAGCTCCGACTCTGTTCCCAGCCTCCCTTTGGGCAATTCACAGCTCACCCTTTCCTTTCATTAAACAGTTTTGCTCCTTGACAAGTGCAAGGAGACATTTAAATTGCCTTCCTGAAAAGTTACTGGTTTGTGGAAGGGGGCCTCTCATGGGCTGGAGGTGGCATCAGCATAAGATGCAAATCACATATTTGATAGTCTAGGACATGGGTAGGCAAACTAAGGTCCAGGGGCTGGATCTGGCCCAATTGCCTTCTAAATCTGGCCCGTGGATGGTCCGGGAATCAGCATGTTTTTACATGAGTAGAACGTGTCCTTTGATTTAAAATGCGTCTCTGGGTTATTTGTGGGGCATAGGAATTCGTTCATATTTTTTTTCAAAATATAGTCCAGCCCCCCACAAGGTCTGAGGGACAGTGGACCGGCCCCCTGCTGAAAAGGTTTGCTGACCCCTGGTCTAGGAGCTGCTCACTGAAACTGATTTGGAATGCTTCCAGGTGCGTATACCTAGCTACAAACTAGGGTTTGCATTTCACAATTTTGCAAACTAACTCCCACCTATTCTCCTTCACTGCTGCATTGCTGTACCATCTTATTTCACTTTGGGTAATCACCCTCCGGTTATACACACATACCCCACAATACAAATTAGAATACACATGACACCCATATGCACTGAAAATTTGTTGTTGTTTTTCGCAACTATACATTGAAGCAGCAATGGGACATTCTGTTCCCTCTACTGACCTGATTAGCAATATCATAAGGTGATGGTAAACATAATCTGTTTCTTTGTTTGTCTGCAGTCCATCTGACTGGGTTGCCCCAGCCACTCTGGGTAGTTTCCAACAAATGAAAACACAGTAAGACAGTTATGTCTTCTTTTTGGTTAATACCAGCAGGGTGCTGCTCCTGTTCAGACGTCTGATGCCAACCTCCATTAGCAAATATGCCAAGCTGAACAATTATTTTTGTAAACCTGTTTTGGGTGGGGAGCAGGGAGAGACAGGTCTGATTCTGAATCTAGTTTGCTGGCATTTGTAACAGTGCTGTAACACCAGGAGTCCTTTCCATTCCAGACTGTTATTTAACCCCCTTTTCGCCAAGGACTGTATGAACAGTTATTAGTGTTACAAGAGCTCCACCTGCATTCGGGGACAGGGACAACAAAAAGCTTTATGAAACAGGCGAGGATTTCCGCAGCCAAAATGCATGCATCCGCTCTCGGATTTGTGGCTTGAGATGATAAATAGGAAGATGGGAAGGGTCTCTGTACCAAGTCAGGACATTTTGCTCACCTGGCCTTGTTTTGCCTATTTTGATTACAAATTGCTCTCCAAGGTCCTAAGCAGGGGGCTTTCTCATCACCTACCAAGTAGAAATGCCAGAGATACAATTTGCTTTTCTTGTTTGCTTTTATTAAAGGTAAAGGACCCCTGAAAGTTAAGTCCAGTCACAAACAGCTCTGGGGTTGCAGCACTCATCTCGCTTTACAGGCTGAGGGAGCCGGCGTTTGTCCACAGACAGTTTATCCAGGTCATGTGGCCAGTAACAGAACGCCAAAACCAGAGCAACACACGGAAATGCCATTTACCTTCCTGCCAGAGCAGTACCTATTTATTTACTTGCACTTTTTTGGCATACTTTCGAACTGCTAGGTTGGCAGGAGCAGGGACCAAGCAACGGGAGCTCACCCCGTTGCAGGAATTCGAACCACCGACCTTCTGATCGGCACGCCCAAGAGGCTCAGTGGTTTAGACCACAGCGCCACCCATGTCCTTTGCTTTTATTAGTATTTCTAATTACTATTTAGGTGGTTGTTTGCAAGCCACTTAGAGATTTGTTTGTTTTTTATTGACTAAGCAGTATATACCTTTTGCCAAACAACAAAAATAAAATAAGTGTAAAGTAAGGAGGGAAGACGACAAGCTATGCCAGAGTTCAGCGAAACATAGTGTGATCAGTGTGAATTGGCTTCTTTCAGATGAGAATAGAGACGAATGAAAGTGCTTAGTTTGCCCAATTTTCCAGACTAACAAAAAGGCAGCGCTATAATTTAAAGGTCTATAAAGCTCAGAAGCTCGCACATTCATTAGAGGAGCTTGTAATTTAAATAGTCAAGTCCTAACTTATTTTCTGGGAACAATACATCAAATTGCCCTCTGCGAGAAAAAGTTGCAAGAGCCTACCATCTTTTGGAAGTAGTTTCATGTCCGTTTACCTAGGAGCAAGTCCCATTGATCTCATGGGGCTTACATCTGAGTAGACATGGATAGGTTTGCCTTGTGTGTGCTTTTACAATAGATCAAATTTATAATAAAGTTATCAATATAAAATTATTCGATTAAAAAAATGAAAATAATAATCTACTGCGGATCTCTAAGAAACGGTAGCCAGTTTTGCGTCTTTGCTGTCATATTCTTGTTCAGCACCACAGAAATGGCTACTTTTATCTCAGAGGCATGACTTTTGTCAGAAAATTGTTATGCGGAGTTATGACAATAATTCAATATCTATTTAATTCCCAGGAACTGGTAGTTAGAAACAGTGCTTCTTTTCTGGGGTGCACAGGGGTACACATACCCCTAAACATTTTGTGAAGCTAAGTTTGGCCTCATTGAGGGGCAGTATTTCAGTATGAGTAATGTTAAGTTGTGGGTGAACATATCAGACAACACAGCGATTCTTCAAACAGCTCTTGTTTATTCACAGGCCAGAAGAGAACAGAACTGAAGGGATCAGCCAGCCGGCTTGTATAGAGCTCCACTACAACGCAACAGTAACAACTTTCTGTAACTATCCAATCACTGAACGTCACTTTCAATTGTCAATTGCAATTCCTAATTTGCAAATGTGGACCTGAGAGAAAACTATCTACAGTATCCCCTTGCTGGCCCAGGGTGAGAACTTCAGTACATAACAAGTAGGAAAATGAGAGTACCCCTAAATATATTTTTTAGAAAAAAAGCACTGGTTAGAAGAATGCTTGTCACACCACTACTCAGAATCTTCCACCTGAGGCGGCTACCTTACTACAGTGGTGCCTCGCAAGACGAAATTAATCCGTTCCGCGAGTCTCTTCGTCTTGCGGTTTTTTCGTCTTGCGAAGCATGGCTATTAGCGGCTTAGCGGCTATTAGCGGCTTAGCGGCTTAGCGGCTATTAATGGCTTAGCGGCTTTAAGAAAAAGGAAACAAACTCGCAAGAACTCGCAAGACGTTTCGTCTTGCGAAGCAAGCCCATAGGGAAATTCGTCTTGCGGAACGACTCAAAAAACGGAAAACTCTTTCGTCTAGCGAGTTTTTCGTCTTGCGAGGCATTCGTCTTGCGGGGCACCACTGTATACCTAATGATAGGTATTGCCCTCTTCAAAATATCCCCCAAATACGCTATGGGAATAGTGATTTGCCAGGGACAATAGCCAGAAAAAATAAATAGGAATAGCCAAAGTATTTCATGGAACCTCTTCTGTTTACTACAATGTTTGGTTCCTCCATTCTTGACCATGAAGAAGAAAATATCCCCAATCCTTAAAAACGTACTTATTTCCCATCCTTAGAGCACCCAAGGGCACCAGAGAGGGTGGAGCAGGACAACTGCTCCCATGTTTTCTCATGACACTTTCCCCCCTGAAGCTTTTGCTATTGGCCATTTTGGGAAATCAGGTTGAGAACTGGAAGGATCCTAGCTCATGCCATGACTCATAGTACTCATACTACTCATCCTTGTGTTGAAGTGTCAGGCATACCATGAGATGGCTCTGGGCCCACAAAAGATTTCACCCAGGAGGTGATAGTATGCTCCTTTGATACCAGACACCAAAGGCTGACGTCATGCCATTCCACTGTCCGCCTGAAACTACATTTCTTCATCTGCCCCCAGATTCCTGCTGCCAACTCTAGTTTATTTGGGAGGCCAGGCAGCAAAGATATCCAAAGCTATCCAAACATTCTCTCAGAATGCCAGTCTGGTGTTACTGGCACCAGTCCTCCGAGATCTTCTTCCACCAACAACTTGCTTATAATTCAAAGTGTTTCCTGCTAATACTTGGTCAATGTCTGCATTGCTGGAGTCCTGCTGGCCTGGTATGGGAGGAAGGTAGAGTGCACTCTTTAAATCAGGAATGGATTGAAAAGTTTGATCTAAGAAAAACACGTAGACCTATATTAGATTAAGGACTGGTTAAGTAAAACAACAAGTTCCCCCTCCCCCTTTTTGTAACGTACAGTGGTATCTTGGGTTACAGATGCTTCAGGTTACAGTCGCTTCAGGTTACAGACTCCGCTAACCCAGAAATAGTACATCAGGTTAAGAACTTTGCTTCAGGATGAGAACAGAAATCGTGCAGCAGCGGGAGGCCCCATTAGCTAAAGTACCTCAGGTTACCTCAGGTACCTCAGGTTAAGAACAGTTTCAGGTTAAGAATGGACCTCCAGAATGAAGTAAGTTCTTAACCTGAGGTACCACTGTATCTTTGTTGTTGTTCTGTTTTCTACATGGGTACCATTTCTTGTTTCTTCTTCTTATTTGTGTCTTCTCTTGCTCTGTGCTCTCTGTGGTTTCAGGTAGGAGTCTTTCAAAGCCCTACCTGGAGATGCTGGGGATGGAAGCTGAGACCTTGAACTGTAGTCACAGAGCCACAGTCCTTCCTATATGCCCTTCCAGCTTAGTCTTTCACCTCAGAGAGAGCTCTGTAGGCTCCTAACCAGCAGGAAGGCCTAAACTTGGATAAAACCCAGTCAATGAAACAGTGAGTGTGAGATGGCCGAGTCTGAAGGCATCATAACACAAGTGTGCTCGGATCTGTCTGGCAGCATTGGTCTGCCACAACAGCTGCTGGTAGAAAGATCATGTTGCTTCTTCCATGGGGAACAAGCATTTGAAACTTGCCCCCATGAACTCAGCCGGGGATTGTTTGGCATGAATTAAAAGCAGCAGGTGCCTAGATGAAAGGAGATTTAAAACAGTTACAGCCTTTGCTATCACCAGCAGCCACAAACAATTCTGCTGTAACAAATCATTAAAGGAAGTCTAGAATGGGGTGGGGGATCTGTGGTCCTCCAGATGTTGGTGGAGTAGATGTTCTATCATCCTGAACCATGCTGGAGCCCGATAACATCTGGAGCAAGTGCTCTGGCACTGAGCTACAGCCTCAACCAGTTAATGCCACAAATGCCTATGTGGAGCCTGAACTCCACAGTCAAGATTCCACACATGGCATATTCCAGCCTTTGACAGTCTTCCAAAGGCTGTAGACTCCAGCTCCCATCAGTCCCAGCCAACATAGCGATGGGAGTTGCAGTCCTAGGTCTTTTGACTCTGTCAGGTTTGTAGTACAGTGGTACCTCAAGTTACATACGCTTCAGGTTACAGACTACGCTAACCCAGAAATAGTGCTTCAGGTTAAGAACTTTGCTTCAGGATAAGAACAGAAATCGTGCTGCGGCGGCGCGGCGGCAGCAGGAGGCCCCATTAGCTAAAGTGGTGCTTCAGGTTAAGAACAGTTTCAGGTTAAAAACGGACCTCCGGAACGAATTAAGTACTTAACCCGAGGTACCACTGTATTGACATTTCAACAATTGTTTTGACAAATCTGTGCTTATTAGAAAAGCCTTTTGCAGTCAAATGCTCTGCCACATTTCATAGGTGGTGGATCATAAGTATGCAAGGGTATTTTGGGAAATGATATATGATGAGATAAAAAAAAAAAGATGTTTAAAATGAGTATACCAAAAAACAAACTAACAAACCCTGAAGTGTTTTTGTTAAGGATTATAGGGACAGAAATCCCCCTAAATATGTTAAAGTTGTTTATGTTTTGCAGCAGCTAGGATTGTATATGCACTGAAAAGGAAGGAAGAAGTTGTTACCAAAGATGAATGGATAATGGACTATGCAGAACTGGAAAAATTAACAGCAAAATTAAGAGGATCTAATGATTAGTGTTTTACAGAAGAAAGGATGCCTTTTTCGGACTACTTAAAGAAATATTAGAGTATGATGAACTCGTGAGCAGGATTTGAGCCATGAGCAACAGAAATAATTAGATTATAATATTGTGATTATGAGTTAATAGATAGAAGATAGCTGAAGGGGAGAAATAACAACTCCATTGAAAATGGGGTGGGAAGATGACAAAAATAAAAGACGTGATTGTATTTTGATTGTTAAAAATACTGAAACTTAATGAAATATAATTGGGAGGGGAAAGAAATGCCTTTTGCAAATGCTCATTTGGAAGAGAACTGTATCCTTCTCAACAGACATCCTTCTGACTTTGATTACCGGATCAAATCTGAGGTTGTCATCTCTGAGCGCATCAACATGGCCCACACTGGGCAACACTTCACTGACGATGAGATGCATTATCTTACATCCAGACATTGCAACACAGTAAACAGGGAAATTACATGGTACCCCTAGCTGATAAAGAAGCTAAGAAGGCAGGATTTGTATTAGACTACGACTGGAAAGTGTGTTGGAACATGCCAGCAAACATGTGGTAAGATAGCATTTTCTAAAACATTCCATGGATAACAATTAGATTTGCCACAGTGGCCTAGAGGAGTCTACTTCTCATTGTTTGCACGGCTCTGTTTACGAAGAGTCTGGTCACAAATTTTAAATCATGGCTTATGGGTAAGTATTTCATCACACTGAATTATTGTCTGACTTCATTCATTATCAGGATTTTACATCTTTACTCAAAACACTCAGTTATCGGGGTTGCTGTCTCCACTATTCTTTCAATCTTTGATCTGTGGCTGTAGATTAGTAAAGGTAAAGGGACCCTTGATCATTAGGTCCAGTCATGACTGACTCTGGGGTTGCGGCGCTCATCTCGCTTTATTGGCCAGCATGACTAAGCCGCTTCTGGCGAAGCAGAGCAGCACACAGAAACTCCGTTTACCTTCCCGCCGGAGCAGTACCTATTTATCTACTTGCACTTTGATGTGCTTTCAAACTGCTAGGTTGGCAGGAGCAGGGACCGAGCAACGGGAGCTCACCTAGTCACGGGGATTCGAACCGCCGACCTTCTGATCTGCAAGTCCTAGGCTCTGTGGTTTAACCCACAGCGCCACCCACGTCCCTTGGCTGTAGATTAGGGTTTCCCAAACTTGGGTTTCCAGCAGTTTTTGAACTACAGTTCCCATCACCCCTAGCAAGCAAGACCAGTGGTCAGGGATGATGGGAATTGTAGTCCAAAAAGAACTGGAGACCCAAGTTTGGGAAACCCTGCTGTAAATCAAGGGCCTTCAAGATCAAAGACTCACCTTTAATCTAAAACTGCAATGGGGATTTAATTTAAAATACTACAGCCGTTTCTTCTATAGCAGGGGTAGAGAGCATGGTGACCTGCAGATCTTTTGGATTACAATTCCTCTAAGTCCTGAAAATTGAGCAGGCTGCCTGGGGCTGGTGGGAGTTGTATGTCACAATGACTTGAGGGCACTGTGTTGGCTATCCGTGTTCTATACCAGCCTGCCACTCTGCTTCCCAATCCTAACCCAGGGCTGGGAATAATACATATTTGCTCCACTCTTCAGAGAACTCTAACACTGCACATGCCACTTATTTTAGTGATGCTTCTCCTGCTACTTGAGAATGAATTAATGGCCTAATGTGTGCAGTCCTTAATGATGTGTCAGTGTGGTGCTAGCCTGTTGTGCAAAACAAAGAGATAGGTTGGGGGCTTTATTTCTCTAGATCAGGGGTCAGCAAACTTTTTCAGCAGGGGGCCGGTCCACTGTCCCTCAGACTATATTTTGGAAAGAAAAAGAAAAAAAAATGAATTCGTATGCTCCACAAATAATCGAGAAATGCATTTTAATTAAAAGGACACATTCTACGCATGTAAAAATATGCTGATTCCTGGACCATCTGTGGGCAGGATTTAGAAGGCGATTGGGACTGATCTGGCCCCTGGGCATGAGTAGAATGTGTCCTTTTATTTAAAATGCATCTCTGGGTTATTTGTGGGGCATAGGAATTTGTTCATTCCCCCCCCCCCAAAAAAAAAATAGTCCGGCCCCCCACAAGGTCTGAGGGACAGTGGACCGGCCCCCTGCTGAAAAAGTTTGCTGACCCCTGGTGTAGGGTGCCTGTATTTTGCTAGCTTCCCATGTACCCTACCTGCAGATATATATATATACATATACACACACATACATATACACCCACACCCACACCCACACACAAACACACAAGTCTTCAATCCTCTATTCTTCCAAGGAAACATATTCTCCAAATCTGGCTTGCAATTCCCTACTTCCAAGGAGCAGGAAACACAGTCACGCACAGAGAATATCCTGAACATTTGTTAACTATGACAACAACAAACTTAATCTAGTTTGATGTCCCAGCTAATAAAAACAAACATTAGCCAGTTCATTTCTTGCCAGCTTTGTAGGGATGCTGTTTTTGACACACATACTAATAATCCATTGCCAGCTTTCAGTTGATGTGTAACTGTGGATATAAGCCTCGCTGACCACATTTGATGGGATCATTCACCACTTTCTTATTATGATCTCTTCTCAAACTTGGCGTGTCAGAGCACACACGTTTTGCAACACGGCTAATTATTTAGAAATCGGATACGTCAGGTAAAAACACTGTGTCAACAAACCCAGTGGTTTCTTATACAGGAGAATCCTGGGTCTCTGAAAAAGAAAAAGTGGGGAGCCTACAGAAAAACAGAAGGAATAGCACAATAGAGTCAGAGAGCAAATGGAACCTTTGATTCATTTAATTATTTCTCAAAAACCTGGCCAGCACCAGCAGCATTGATAGCTCTAAGTCAATGAATCAATTGTGTGATGCTTCTGGAGCAAATTTTTTCTCTCTTTGCATTTTTCACTTAATAAGAGGGCAAGATATGACCTCTTGGCATTTCTGGGTGGATACATCTGATCCATTCACTTCAAAGATAACAAGTATTGTTCTTTTCATATTCTAAAACATTCTGCATGTGTTTTCCTTTGCACATGTGCTTGCCAGAGAAAGATAGGATTCCTGTGCCTTTTAAAGTTAACACTGTCCAACTAACCAGTGGTTAAACCACTGATTTCAGTGGGCTGGATGCAAACCAAACATGCAGAAGGTGCCAGGTTCAACATCTCATATCTCCATGTATGCTGGGAGGGCCCGTGCCTGTAACATAGCTGTCAACTTACAGATTTGAAAATAAGGGACCAGCAGCCTCGAAAATAAGGGATCAGCAGCCAAACTAAGGGATTTTGCTTAGCTTATACATCAATCCGCCACTAATGGAGCCATGCTGCTTTGGCTGCGACTGTGTTTTGCAGGGGGTTGGACTAGATGATCCTAAGGGTTTACAACTCCGACCAAAGAAGAGTGGCAGTCAAAACTGATGAACGACGTCGAGATGGCAAAGCTTACAGGCAGAATTAGAAACCAGGAAGAGGACCTCTTTAATAAAGAATGGGGAAAGTTTATAATTTATTTGAAAAGCTATTGTAAAGAGTTACATACATTGGTAGGATTGACAGAAAACTTGTAGTAAAAATTTGAACCATGGATGGACAAATGATTTATAAAAATAGAGTTATGAAAGGGATGCAGAGGGGGAAATCACTACATTAAGATGGTGCGCTGGTTGGAGGGTATGCTAAGCAGCACGTCGGGGCTGCCGTCGTCCCAGCGCAAGGAGTTCCATCGGCCCTTCCCCGCCCAAGAGAGAGGGAGGGAGGGAGACTCTCGTCCACACCGCCCGCGAGCCTGGCTTGAGGCGGTTGCGGCGCCTCCGGCTTCCCCTGGCAGCACAGCGGAAGTCTCGCAAGAGAGGGGCTGCCCGCCCGCCGCCACCCATCTCCTCATGACACGCCCCTGAGGGGGAAAAGGGAGAGACAGAGACGTGGCAGCTCATGTGCGTGCTCTCTCTTGCTCTCTCAAGGCGGAAGACCCCAAGCCGCTGCTTCCCTCCCGAGCCGGGCGAGCATGAAATCCAGGAAATTTAAGGGACATCATCAATCCGGGACAGCAGAAGGGACACAGTGCTGGGATAAGGGAGTTTTCCGCCAAATAAGGGACAGTTGACAGCTATGGCCTGTAACATTGTAGAACAGCTGCCTGTCGGTATAGACAAGGGTTTCAAAAACTGCTTTTGGACTCCAATTCCCATCACCCCTGGCTACTGGCCCTGCTAGCTAGGGAAGATGGGAGTTGTAGTCCAAAAGCAGCTGGAGACACCAAGTTTTGGGTGGACTGGTGTAGACAATAGTGAACTAGGTGGACCAACGGTCTGATGCTGTACAACTTAAGTTCCCAGGTGACGATAGCTACTTTACAACTGAGGATTGCTTTGGAATCTTTGCTGAATCCATAGTTCCATGTGCGTCTTGGTCCAAATTTGCCTCTGCCTGACTAAGCTGGGGTGTAGAGTAGGAGGCAGGAGGGTGGGCTAAACTCTGTGCCATAGACTGGCCCACAGGATCCAAGCTTCAGGCTGGTCACCTAAGGAATATGTATGAACAAGCAGCAGAAGCTGTTCACAGCAATCAAGATGTTTCCTATGCATTACTTTACCCATCTGTATTCACAAGAGTGTTTCTATTTACTCCAGCACATCGGTTTAGTGTCAACATTATGTACTGTACTGCATGAAACATACTATTTCTACCTTTAATGTTTTAAAAATGAATGAATAAATAAACAAACTGCACTGTGCATAAAGAGGAAAGATGGTACTAAACAGTCTAATAGACCCAATCTAAATTGCACTGCTCATTTGCTCTTATAATATATAATAGCATATAATTTGATCTACGGGGCTATTTGTCTTTCAAATCTCAAGAGGGAATATTTAATTTTCATAGTGCTTAATACTTTTATTCAAAACAGAATGATGAACATTATACATTACAAACACAATTCATTTAAAGTGCTTCAATATTTCCCCCTCCATTCATTCAGGTGTATATTCAAAAGGCAACAGAGATAAACTTACTGGCTTGGCAAGTCTCTTGATATGGCTTAACTTCTCCTCAAGAGATATTTATTTTGTGGGCCTCAGTTACCCAAGAGAGAACGAGAAAGACATAGGATAGGTTCATATAAAAAGAGAAAAACAATTTTAAAGCACTTTCGTCAGCTGTCTAACTGAATTATCAAAATATAGAATCGAGTTGGAAGCAATCCTCTCGTTCGAGTGTGCAGAACCTTTGGCTCTCCAGTTGTTGATGATGATTAAATTTCAATACCGCTCTTCATCCAAGGATCACAGGCTGGTTTACAACATAAAAACACAAAAATCTGTAACATAGTAACAAAGAAAAACAATAACCCCCACCACACAAAGTTTAAAAGGCCACATAGACTGCTTAATTAGCCAAAGGCCTGGGAGAAAAGGAATGTTTTTTTCTGGCACCTGAAGATATGTAGTGAAGGCATCAGGTGAGCCTTCCTGGGGAGAGCATTCGACAAGAGGGGAGCCACCACAGAAAAGGCCTGTTCTTGTGTTGCTGCCCTCCAGACCTCTGACAGTGGAGGCACATGAAGATGGGCCTCAGATGAGGATTGCAGGGTTGAGGTCGGTTCATATGGGGAGAGGTGGTTCTTGTTCAGTTACAACTCCCATCATTCCTGGCTACTGACCATGCTTGCTGGGACTGATGGGAACATCTGGAAGGTCAAAGCATTCTCCATGCCTGATCTAGCTGAATGTCTTGGAAGAAATCCACCACTAAGTTGTGGCATCTGCTTAAAATCCTAAAAGTATGTTCATCTTAATGTTTAGTCCAAAAATAACCCTTCTTTTGCAATTTGAACCCATTGGTACAGGTCATATTTCTGTTCCTTTTCCTGACCCTCTTTCAAATAGCATAAGCATCTATATCAAGGGCTTGACATCTATAAAGCTGCAGCTTTTAAATAAACTCACAAAATGCTCATGAACGTTGGCAGAGATGGATTTACGGGGCTTTTAGCTTACACTGTTCCATATACAACTTAATCTCTCCTCACCCAAAGTGATAGCAAGAAATGCAAAAATTTCGGCTTGTAAAAAGGAGTCTGCACCTTAGCCCTAGGAATGGCGCTGCAGAGACAAAAACCAGATGCCATGATCAAAACTCCCACATTCCTCCACCCTTTTCCTGCTACGTAACAAGCTGGTCCTGAAACTCTGGGGGCTATTGAGCATAGTCTCCAATACACCGCAACAAACTATGGTCAGAAGAGAAAATCTAGCGCTTCTCAGGAAGAAGCACTTGGACAACCCATACACATATAAAGGGTAAAGGGACCCGACCGATAGGTCCAGTCGTGACCGACTCTGGGGTTGCGGTGCTCATCTCACTTTATTGGCCGAGGGAGCCGGCGTACAGCTTCCGGGTCATGTGGCCAGCATGACTAAGCCGCTTCTGGCAAACCAGAGCAGCGCACGGAAACGCCGTTTACCTTCCCGCTGGAGTGGTACCTATTTATCTACTTGCACTTTGAGGTGCTTTCAAACTGCTAGGTTGGCAGGAGCAGGGACCGAGCAATGGGAGCTCACCCTATCGCAGGGATTCAAACCGCCAACCTTCTGATCAGCAAGTCCTAGGCTCTGTGGTTTAACCCACAGCACCACCCGCGCCCCATCTACACATATAAATACCATAAATATGGGGCAATATGGGTCTGGGGGGGAAATGCTGTATGTGCCCTGTAGCCAATCAATCCAGGGGGTGAAGGGGTTTTTTGGCATATTTTCTAGAAAGTTGTCTCAAGGAGATATTTAAACCAAGATGATCAAGGGTCTGGAAACCAAGCCATATGAAGAATGGTTGAAGGAGCTGTGTATGTTTATAGCCTGGAAAAGAAGAAGCTAGGAGGAGATACGAGAGCCCTCTTCAAATATCAAAAGGGCTGTCAAATTGAGGATGGAGCAAACTTGTTTTCTTCTGCTCCAGGACTCGAACCAATGGCTTCAAGTTACAAGAAAGGAGATTCTAACTACACATCAGGGAAAACCTTCTGACACTAAGAACTGTTTGACAGTGAAACGGAATCCCTCAGGAGGTTGTGGACTCTCCTTCCTTTGAGGGTTTTTAGCATAATTTGGATGGCCATCTGTCATGGATGCTTTAGCTGAGATTCCTGGATTGCAGGGGTTGGACTAGATGACCCTTGGGATACCTTCCAGCCCTACAATTCTCTGATTCTAGGGACAAGGAGAAGCAGTTAAAACAATTCCAATTAAGAAAAAAAAGTTATTTTACTTTACTCACCCACTAAGTCTGCTCCCTTTATCCCCTCTACCTCTCAAATAATCAATTTGCCCCCAATTATGTTGTATGAACATATTCCAACAGTTTGAACTACAACTGTAGTACAAAAAAACGAAAACAAAAAAACGAGATAGCACTCTCACTTTCAACAAAATTCTAGCCTTGCTCTTGAAACTCCCTGAAAAAAACAAACATAAGACATCTTTGATCAGATCCCAGCTGCTCTGCGGTCAGAACACACACAAGCCGTTCATTGATTTGCTGCTTACAAATCTGCTCTCTTTGCCATAATGAACCAGCAGGCAAGCTGTCAACCGAGGGTGCTGGGCCAAAGCCTGCTCTGCCCAACCAGATGCAGAAGGCTGGTGGAAGTTCTTCCTGAAGAAAAGTCTGGCATAGTCTGTGTTTCAGAACAGGCTTGGTTCTTCACTGCTGGTAGATTCGTTTTCTTGAATGTACTGGAGGATATCAACTTCGCCCATGGTCTGAGCCTTTACTTCAGTTGGCTTTGTTTTGGGGGCTGAGGAGAATGGGGGTTTTGCATCAGTTACTGCTGGCTTCTTTGGTAACGCTGGCTTAGGTGGTAGCTTGGGCTTGGAGCTTAGTTTCCACATCTTCTCAAAATCCTCTTCCACTCTGAGGAGGAAGAACAAGTTCAAAGACGTGAAGCAAATCTTATTCCGATTGGGAGGGAATATTTATTTTTAGGTTAAAGATGAAACTTCTACTTCAAAACCTTACCAACAAATAATAATAATAATGATAATATAAATTTTATTTATACCCCACCCTCCCCAGCCACAACTGGGCTCAGGGAGGCTAACACCAGGTATAAAACAATTGATTAAAATACAACTTAAAAACAAGATTAAAATATGACATTAAAATGCAGCCTCATTTCAGTAGAAACTCAAATCAAAAACTTTTTGGGGATGAAAACGTCATATCTACACCAAGGCCAACTATCCAGACTGGTCCTACGTGGGCCTGGAAAAGGCCAAGTAAGTCCTCAAATAGGATTTCCATCACAGAAGGAGAAAGGAAAAAGGATAGAGGGGTAGGGGATTAGGTTGATTCCAAGCCAAAGGCCAGGCAGAACAAGAGTACTGCTGCTACGTTAGACCTTTCACGCAAGCTTCACTTTATCACGTAAACCCCGAAAAATAATTGGCTTATTTCCAGTGCCCTCAATCTATCCACAGAAGGATTTCTGCTTGTGCAAAGGACCTTCTCCAAGGTGCAGATTTCAGTTTGGTCACACTGTGTGCAGAGGCTTGGAGACATTGTAACCAGTGCTATTTTCCTAGAAAAAGAGGTGTCAGGGCTCACCACGAACTTCTCCTTTGTTCTCTTAGAATGGCAATGGCACCCACCAGAGAGGTGCCAGAGCTGTGAGCTCTGGCTGAAAAAAGGCCCGGGCTGTAACAATGGTGTAGAACGGAAAGTGAGAGGCACTAAATTTTGGCAACACGCACGGTGCCACTGAAATTTGAGACTCCAAAATCCACCAGTGTTTCTCCTCTCTCCCCACCCCCACCTTCCCCAAATCCGCTCCAGAGGGTTGAGAAGAAAGAACAGATTGAGGGGTATGAGGGGGAAAGTTTTCCATTACACTTAGCACTACTTTGGATACAACTCGTGACTCCTATGAAAGAATGAGGTACATCAGACCCAGGCCAATAGAGAACAATGTTTTCTGATATTTTATGCATAGAACACAAATGGCAAAGCAGTTACAGTGGTACCTCAGGTTAAGTACTTAATTCATTCCAGAGGTCCGTTCTTAACCTGAAACTGTTCTTAACCTGAGGTACCACTTTAGCTAATGGGGCCTCCTGCTGCCACCGCACAATTTCTGTTCTCATCCTGAGGTAAAGTTCTTAACCCATGGTACTACTTCTGGGTTAGCAGAGTCTGTAACCTGAAGCATTTGTAACCTGGAGCGTTTGTAACCCGAGGTACCACTGTATCTGAAAAGTTTAAGAAATAGAAACAAAAAGTGTATCTCGTTGTTTATAAGCATTATAAAGAAACATGGGTGTTTGCTGTCTATTTTTAATTTTAAAGGTTTATAAAGAGCACAGAAACCCACATTCTATTTTTAAATTTAAATATGTTAAGTTTGGTTTAAAAAAGGAAAGCATGTGTTAGAACTTCTTGTCATAATACTGTGATGGTTTAATAGCAGCTGGGTTTGCATGGAAAACATTGGCACTTTCTAATTAGGTCAAATAAGCTAGAAACAAGAAGTTGGTTGCCATGCCAGTTCCAAAGATTCAGCATCTCCACCACCATTTGAAAAGAGAGCAAGAAACAATTATATTTGTCGTAAGAAAATACCAAACGGTCACACCTCAGGGATCAGGGAAAAAAAGAGTGGTTCTAATCTACACCACAAGTTTCCCTATTCTGCATAATGATGGATGAGGTTGAATCCCGACAAGACAGAAGTAATGTTTTTAGTGGACAAGGGGTAGGCGGATGTGGGGGACTCCCTGGTCCTGAATGGGGTAACTGTGCCCCTGAAGGACCAGATGTGCAGCCTGGGAGTCATTTTGGACTCACGGTTCTCCATGGAGGCACAGGTCCAGGACAGCTGTCTACTAACTCTATCTGGTCTGCCAACTGAGACCCTACCTGCCCCCAGACTGTCTTGCCAGAGTGGTACATGCTCTGGTATCTCCCTCTTGGATTACTGCAATGTGTTTTACGTGAGGCTACCTTTGAAGTTGACTCAGAAACTACAACTAAACCAGAATGTGGCTGCCAAACTGGTGACTGGAAGTGGCCGCCAGGACTATATAACACCAGTCCTAAAGGATCTTCACTGGCTCCCAGTACATTTCCAAGCACAATTCAAAGTGTTGGTCCTGGCTTTTATTGCCCTAAAAACAGCCTTGGCCCTGTATACCTGAAGGAACATCTCCACCCCCATCGCTCAGCTCCGAGGTTCATCTCCTCGGAGGCCTTCTGGCGGTTTCATCGTTGCGAGAAGAGAAGTTACAGGGAACTAGGCAGAAGGCCTTCTCAGTAGTGGTGCCCTCCCTGTGGAACACCCTCCCACCAGATATCAAGGAGATAAAGAACTACACAACTTTTAGAAGAAATCTGAAGGCAGCCCTGTATCAGAATGTTTTTAATGTCTGATGTTTTCTTAAATTTCTATACACTGGAGCCAACTGCTTCGGCGCCCACAATAATATATTTATGGGGGCTGCCCCCCCCCAAGTCAATGGGCAAAGTTGAAGCCTTTCATTGAGGGCACCCACAATATTCGACACAAGATGGCACCTAAGTTTCTATATGTTTTGGAAGCCGCCCAGAGTGGCCTTTTTCTTACTTTATCAAGCTGGAAGAATCAGTATAATGTGATGCATATTCATCTGACAGATGAAGAAGCTGTTTGCAGTGGTTTATGTTTAATTCAAAGGTTGCATAAGGTGGTGTTTTGCCCATACAGACAAAATGTCTATCTTTGATTACTGGGGTGAGACAGAAGAAAAACAATAGATGGCAGTTAATGACTGTGTGTGTTCTTCCTTCTCAAATATTCCACTCCAGTAAAAATCAGGCTGTGCCCTGAAGACATCATGCCTTAGAAGATCAAATGTGTTGCCAGTGCGTAAGACACAATGTGCAACTAAATTTTTACCTCCGAGTAGATTAAGGTAGGTGTTGCTGATGTGACTTGTTAATAAAAGTACTCTTTGTATAAACAAAGGAAGGCCCACAATCACATATTCCAAGGGACCTCACACAGTGGATTCCCCACCCCCCACCCCACTCACATTAGTAAGTAATCATTAAAGCTTTCGGAAAATCACTCAAAACATGACTTTTGGCCTGGACATTTTGCATGCAAGTGCATTCCTGTAGTTAATGAAATGTGAGTCTGTAAAATCTCCCGGATTGCTAATAAAGTGTGCAATTTATTCCAGTCACCTGAAATTCTAAATCATGTTATTGTATGCCTTTAACCTGCAAATGATTGCTAAGCCAAAACTGACCATAAGGAGTTGTGCTACAGATGATGAGTAAGGTTGGTGCCACAATGGTCAAAACTATTAACAATGGGTATTGTTACTCAGAGTAGGCCCACTGAAATCAATAGACCTCACTTAGTCGTGTTCATTGATTCCAATGGGTTTAACTCTGAATAAAACTAAGTTGCATACTACCTCATTCACTATGAATCCTGAGGCCTAAGGGTGGCATCCAGTGAACTTATCCTGCTCACCCAACAACTTGTACAACAGAACTTCCTCTCCTTCTCCCTTTGCACCATGTGCCCCACAAATACATTGGGGGTTCCCAAACCCCTCCAGAGCAGATTTACAGGGTGCACAAAAGGGGAAAGTCCCATTACACAAGAGGAAGTCCTTGCACCAAAAGGACAACTTTGTTGGATACACCGTAGCACTGAATACACCTCAACGCTCAGGCTTCATATACAAGTTATTTGCATCATGCGTTAAAAAAATACAAATTCTTAGTAAGGGCTAGATCAGATACCAATTTACAGATAATGAAAATCAAGGTCTCGGGCTATCGTTTAGCCTGTTGACATTTCCGAATGCGAACCCTTCCAGCATAGGAGTTGCTACATGTCTGTTGCTCTGCAAAGCTAGGGAACACTGAAGACGCTACGACTTCTGATGCATCCAAGATTAATACCGTACCTCAAGAGCTCTTCGGTGTCCTCCTCAAGGCTACCGCTTAATGCATGTTCCGTGCTTGCACAGGCAGTTGGCAACAGCAGCGAGTCACCCAGAGTCACCAATCCACCAAGGTCTGGATCTTCAAACAATTTCAGATCTGATAATTGAGCAAAGAGATAACAGCTACATTTGACTTGTACACAGCAGTAGCCTGAATATCGGATCCTCCAAGTGTCCCTGTTTTCCAGTCCCAGATTTATAGAAGCCATCCCAGTTTCTGATTTGATCCTGGAATGTCCCATTTTTCCTTACGATGTCCCTATTTTCATTTGAGAAATGTTGGAGTGTTGGGGACGCAGGCAGCGCTGTGGGTTAAACCACAGAGCCTAGGACTTGCCGATCAGAAGGTCGGCGGTTCGAATCCCCGCGATGGGGTGAGCTCCATTGCTTGGTCTTTGCTCCTGCCAACCTAGCAGTTCGAAAGCACATCAAAGTGCAAGTAGTTAAATAGGTACCGCTCCGGCGGGAAGGTAAACGGTGTTTCTGTGCGCTGCTCTGGTTCGCCAGAAGCGGCTTAGTCATGCTGGCCACATGACTCGGAAGCTGTACGCCGGCTCCCTCGGCCCATAAAGCGAGATGAGTGCCGCAACCCCAGAGTCGGTCACAACCGGACCTAATGGTCAGGGGCCCCTTTACCTTTACCTTTTTATGGAGATATGAGACCCACAAGTAACTATACAACCTTTAGAAGACAGGGAAGTTTTTAAATGTTTAATGTTACAAGATATTCTTATATATGTTGGAAGCCACCCAGAGTGGCTGAGGCAACCCAGTCAGATGGACAGGGTATTAAGTAAAATAATAATAATAATAATATGCCCCTATTTTAATCAGAGAAATGTTGGAGGGTATGGAATATTGGCTTTCCTGTCTTCCCACCCAATGGGTATAAGTCACCACTGATGACCTCATTCAGCTTGATTCTGAATGCGTCCTCCCCACTGCTGGTCTGTAGCCACTGGAAGAATATCCCTAAGGGAATGCAGCCCTCATAGGGAGAAAAAGATCGAGATCGGGGTCTTTGCTTTTAACTCAACTCAACCACTGGAGTCAACACACATATCTAAATGAGCGTACTAAGGCATTTTCCATCTTGGAATAAATGACGGTATGCCCAAGATGGCATAGAACGATTTGGAGTTTTGCAACTAAGCTTTGCGAAACTCTGGCACGTATTTTCAGAGCACACATCAAGGAGCTGACTAGAAATACACTTACTTTTTTCGGCTGCCAATATCCTCTTGCTGCCGCTGAATGAAAACCCTTTAGCTGAGCCAAACAGTCCTTCATCGGGAACAGCTTCTTCGTCAAAAATTGTTAACTTGGGCTTCCCATCTTTGGCTGGAGGAGGCGTGGGTTTCTTAGTCTTTTTTGATCTAAAGGTTTAAATGACAGCAGAAAAATCCAGCAGACACTGTTAAGAGTGTTTCTTTTTTTTCTTTTCCAGAGGAACAGCCACCCTGTAGACTTACAAATTGAATTTTGGGGAGGGGGGGAGATTTATGGCCTGGAGGAGGTGCCCTTTAACATTCTCCCCCATGTCTCTAATCAAAAGCAGCTATTAGCTGCAGAGAGGGAAACACGCTGGCACAATTCCACTCGACAGCTGCTTTTCTAAGAGAGTGTGTGGAGGGGGGGAAATAACAGTGGTAATTCTTACTGTGCTGGAAGATAAGAAGAAAGCAGTGCAGAACCCCGCAACGTGCTCCTAATGGTAGGAAAAGAACTGGCACCCAAAATTGTAATGGAAGACCATTCCAAAAAAAGTGCCTTCTCTGTGCTTTCTGGAGAGGGAGCCATGGAATAAAGCTCATGTGAATTCTGCAAAGGATGTTATCTTCAAGTAGGCTTTGCATAGTACTGATCCATCAGGCTGTTTGAACCAGAAGGGATCAAAGCTAATGGCCATCCAATGTCAAGCCTTAACAAAATTCCCCCCAAAGCTTGTGCTCATTCCAGTCAACGTCATATTAGATTTCAATAGTGATCCACCCTTGCCTTGGACACAACGGCCACAGAACTTCTTGAAATGTTGCTATGATCACACTATGCTCTCCTTATTTACAGAGATGGCACATCTTTCTGATTCTTTGTAAATGTTACCATAGCCACTTCCACTTCCCAAACCTGAAGCTACTGGAGGTTTCAAGTGCAGAAGAAATGGCAGATTAATATTCTACAGCCCTTAAAACATGTATTTGGGAAGGTGGAAGTTGTTGATTTTCCTGCTTTGTTCTACAGTGGTACCTCGGGTTACATACGCTTCAGGTTACAGACTCTGCTAACCCAGAAATAGTACCTCGGGTTAAGAACTTTGCTTCAGGATGAGAACAGAAATTGTGCTCCGGCAGCACGGTGGCAGCAGGAGGCCCCATTAGCTAAAGTGGTGCTTCAGGTTAAGAACAGTTTCAGGTTAAGAATGGACCTCCGGAACGAATTAAGTACTTAACCCGAGGTACCACTGTACTTATTTACTTGTCTTTATCCTATATTTTGTTCTGTGAACCGCCCTGAGATCTTATGATGAAGGATGGTGTATAAATCTAAATAATAATAATAAGGCAGTCACAGACACTTTAGGACAATGGAAGTTTTTTTTAAAAAACAACCAACCAATAATCCATCTGCAAAGTCGAATAATTAGTGACACATCTATTTTTAGATATGCTGAAATAATAAAGACACTCGCACCCCAATTAATACATTTTAGCTACATTTCTGTGTGTGTGTGTGTGTGTGTGTGTGTGTGTGTGTATCAGCGTTGGCAGTATCTGCAACCATGTTTCATCCTGCCGATTCCCTTCTATGGAAGGGAACCTCTCATGAACTGCTTGGTGACTAACATTTTACCAGCGACACGGTTCTCCTGAGGTCACTTCAAAACAAGGAGACACCGTTCCCACGAATCTGCATTGAGCAAGTAACTGCCTTCTCTCCCAACCCATTGCAAAAAAAGAGTATCCATCAGCAGTGTAAAATGTACAAATGCAAAATTATAGGGATTTCTGGGAGAGTTGAACGGTGAAGCCAGCAGCAGCCAAAGGGGGATGTCTGTCCTGCTCCAAATAAGGGTGACTGCTGAGTCAAAATCCAGTAAGAGGGATTAAACTGAGGAAGTGAAATTGATCAGAAGTGCCACCGAGCGCCCAGCATGACGTCACCACAAAGAGCCAGGAGAGCACAATGTTCCGTGGGAACAGACAGAAGCCCTCGCAATTCGCCCTGGCGCTGGTTTATTAATAGCACTGTTTGCAGCTTCCCTGAAGTAGCCCTTGCTTTTCACAAAACTGGGCCTTTGTCAAGCTTACTTCAAGAGGCTTGTTGCTGGTGGAGAGGCAGAAAGTTGGCTCTGCCAACATCCCAACGTCGTTTTTACCATTATTGGCTCATTGGTGCTATTTTCTGGAAGCAAAATAGTGATGGGTTCACAGAAGCCATTCAAGGTCTAATGCAGGAATTCTCAAACTTCTTTTTCTCTGGGTCACACTTTCAGAATAAAAATTTGCTCACACCACACAGATTTGTTTTAATTGGTAAGAAATACAGTGGTACCTCTGGATGCGAATGGGATGTGTTCCAGAGCCCCGTTCGCATCCTAAAGCGAACGCAACCCACGTCTGTGCGTGCGCGGGTCGCGATTCGCCGCTTCCGTGCATGCACGTGACATCATTTTCAGCGTCTGCGCATGTGCCAGTGGCGAAACCCGGAAGTAACGCATTCTGTTAGTGCCGGGTCGCCACGGAGTGCAACCCAAAAATGCTCAACCCGAAGCTACTTCAGCCCGAAGTATGACTCTACCTTGGAAAGTGAAAAGGAACAACTCTTAGCAGTGATTGATTTAAAAGCACAGAACACAACTACTTTATAATATGATCATGGGGCCTCCAAATAGTATAAAACAATGCAATGGCAAGAACATGCCCCATTCATTGGGGGGGGGGGGCAAAAATGTTACACAAAACTCTAGCTCTATTTTTAGCACTCAATGTTTCTTGCCCATCCCCCACTCTCCTCCAAAAATTTGTCATCTGCAAGATGCTTTATGAAACATGACAGGCCAACCTTGCTAGCTGGAAATTCTATGATGATTTCAAGCATTCCCTCAAATTGTTTGTGTTCACAACTAAACAATTGTTCACAAGAAACTGACTGGGATGGGGGGAAGTTTCGGGTTCCAGCCTTCCCTAAGCTAGTGCCTTTCGCATGTTGTACCTGAAGGGCACCGGGTTGGGAAAAGATGCCTTAACATGTTGAAACATGGAAGCCCTGTGTGTCAGTTTCACATCTAGATGACCCTTGAAGTCCTTTCCAGTTCCATGATTCTATGTATATCAACTCTTCTCAGGATCATAAACATGACAAAGGATACCCTTGCAAATAGCCACTTGCCTGGTAACCAGTGGTGACTCTTCAGGACACCAATACAGATGACTAATGTAGACGAATTGCCTTTGTGGGCTTATTTGCAGGAACATTTGCAAAACACTGAGAAGCATGAGGAAATGCCCATCGCAAACAGTCAAGACCAGACTTCTGCTAACCTACATACACTTTCGCTGCAATGAATAAGCCTTTCAAAAGCCAAGCCAGTTATTCATTAAAGGCTCAGCAAAAGAGGCCACTGAAATCCACCCCCCATTAAGGTTTACCATTGTCAACAGAACCCACTCTGTGAATCGAGTGATTCAACATTTCCTGTTCCTTGGGCAGAGGCTTGGGAAGCTGGTGGATGAGGTAATGCCCATTCCAAATTCTATTTTGAGAGCTGAGTCATCCTATTATTGCAAAGTCCCTAAGACAAAAGGTGCTTCAATCTGCCCCGTTTGCTCAGTTCCAAAGCTGCAGAAAGAAGCAGCCTTGAATTGGACTTAGCTGTGGCACTAAACCTTCTTAGCTTTTTTTAAAGACTGCTATCCCGTTCCACATAAACTACAGATTAGCTACCAAACCCGTATCTGGGCTCTTCAATTTCCAACTGCCAACGCTCCCCCATTTCATCCCCATGGTTTGTTTTTTTAAAATGAATTTCAAATATATCCCTATTTTCCATCTGTTCATTCTTCTAAATATCTAATATGTCATATAAAAGCGATACTACGTACTACTTGTGTGATGCGCATAAATAGGATATAATGAACATACAGAAGAACACACAGAATATATTTTGTTATCTTTGCTTATAATAAAACTTAAGTTCTCTCTTTTTTTCAAATAGTGCAACAGACAACCCTTCACCCAGTCTTTATTTACCATTTCCATTTTTCTTTAGAGTTATTGTTAATATGACTATTGCCATCAGCTCCCACAAATGTCAAACCAGTTCTCTTTTGTTCAATTTGAGCTCATCTTTCCATTATTTTGCATGGGACTCTCTCCCATTTAAACACAATATCTCTGCTTTAAAGAAAACCCTACGCTTTCGGTAGGATTAAAGCCTCACCTTTTCCCTTACAAGACTAGCATTTCACATGTAGGAACCGATTTTACGTAAGGGAGTATTTCACAACGTGAGCCCTGTAGCTCACCTTGAGCCTGAAATGTCCACACAGGTAAGTGTGTCTGGCTGTTAACCAGAAGGCTGATGGTCCAAGCTCACCTAGGGACAGCTTGTGGGATGTAATCCTTTGGAGCAGTCAAATACAACATTCCTTGGTTCCCTAGAGTGGACACAGACAGGGGTTGTTACTCCAGCCAATATAACTTCCTATTTCACTGGTCTGGAACATCCTCCCCCTGCATGTGACCAAGCAGATGGGCATGACCCTGGCTGACTCCATAAAAGAGCCAAGCCATGCTGCCATTTACTCTTGATGCCATTTTCTTCTCTTAACGTATTTTGCTATCTGCTGGCTCTCAGCCAGCAGCACATGGGCTCTATCCCCATATGGGATGAACTCCCACTTTCTTCTGTAACTACAGTGGTACCTCGAGTTAAGTACTTAATTCGTTCCAGAGGTCTGTTCTTAACCTGAAGCTGTTCTTAGCCTGAAGCACCACTTTAGCTAATGGGACCTCCCGCTGCTGCCGTGCCGCCGGAGCACAATTTCTGTTCTCACCCTGAAGCAAAATTCTTAACCAGAGGTAATATTTCTGGGTTAGCCGAGTCTGTAACCTGAAGCATATGTAACCCGAGGTACCACTGTACTAACTAAAGCCTGCCTTCAGGGATCATACTGTGAACTGAACGTGAGTAAACTTCTTGTTATTTTTGAGGAAAGACTCTTGTGTCTTCATTCTTTTAAAAGAGATCAACGGGGACTTAACAGGAATAATCCAATCTGGGCAAGCCAGAGTGGATTGCTTAACTAAAGAGATTCAAACAAATCTGCAAACTAGCTTTCTGCTACGTGACTCACTAGTGTGAGTGAAGGAAGGATGATATCCTCTCCTACAATCCTTTACATTCCCACACAGCTGTGGGCAGGATTCCTGCACTGCAGAGGGTTCCCTTCCAATGCTACAATTCAGTTCAGTTCTGTAGTACAGCTTTGTCTCCTCAGCAGCTGTTTGTGGAAAACAGGCTTTACAGGGATTCTCTGTATTTTCAGAACAGCAGCACAGGCCTTGGCGATTCCGTTTTTTTCCACCCAGTGCAAAACTTTCCCAAGCTGCTTGCAAGGACATTAGCTCAGGCTTTATCTAGCCCTCACATCACCATCATGTCATCTGGTTTCCCACAGCTGCCAAGCTACAAAATGTGTGATTGTTGCTAAATATACTATGAAGAGAAGGGGAGGCAAAGGGGATGCAAAGACAGCTGTGGACCTGAAGCGACCAGCGAGCATTACTGCTGCCCTACTCTACATAAGCAGATGGTGTGGCAGTCCTGGGGTAGATGCACACACAGGAAGAAAAAGCACTATAAATAAGTCAGAAATTAAATGGTTATAACAACAACAAAACGCTATGAAAAAAATCGCACAGAACTTTTTGCTCTCTGGAGCCATCTGGTGTTGCAGGCTTATAACGCATTCAAAATGTCGTTTTTTGATGAATGTGGCTGAGTGCCAGGACGATGTCATTATAGCAAAGGCAAGGTAGATACAGCCTTCAGCACGGGTGAGGATTGGACAGGCTGTTCAGCCATTTACGAAAATAGAACCACACTCATTAAGTGGGGAGGACTTTGTACAACTATTTAACAACTACCTTACCTCGCATCTGAGAAGAGTCTTAAACTGCACATTTAAATTATACTGGAGAACGAACCCCCCACTCATATGTCTCTTTTGTATTAAACTAAGGGGATTTGCACAACAGAAAACAAAGTACCTAGTTCAACGGCTGCCAGATCAAAGTACACTGCTCTGCCAACACATTTGGAGGAGCAAGGAAGTCAGGAAGTGACTCTGACACAAAAGGGTGCGTCACAGGGTTGACAAAAGTTGTCTAAAAATCTGACAAGCAGCTGGGATTCAAAGCACTTGCAAAACTTGCATCACTTGGCACTCGCTCAATGGCCGAGCACGCCTGAAGGCTTCGGCCTGTAAGCCAGCGATTGTCAAAAGCGGGGGGACCCAGAGGCTTTGCAGCTGTGTATCCTTGAAGATGTGGAACCCTTCTGAACAGGTGGCCATACAAGTTGCATGCTTCGCACTGTGCCTCAGGACGGAGATAAGTTTTCTTGTCATTATGGAGGGTGCAATCCAGGCTAAGTGAGTTCATTTATTTATTTAAACCATTTACAGGCCCTGCTCCCTCACCTGTTTTGAGGCAGCCTACTCATTGACAAAAATCAGTTAAGAGGGTGACCACCCATGCTTGCAACTAGGAGGGCAGGACTGGAAGTCAAGTAATTCAGGTCCACATCAAAAGCAAATTAGTAGATACATACATCGTTTTACTATAGGGACGCGGGTGGCGCTGTGGTCTAAACCACTGAGCCTAGGGCTTGCTGATCAGAAGGTCGGCGGTTCGAATCCCCTTGACGGCGTGAGCTCCCATTGCTCGGTCCCAGCTCCTGCCAACCTAGCAGTTCAAAAGCACATCAAAGTGCAAGTAGATAAATAGGTACCACTCTGGCGGGAAGGTAAACGGCGTTTCCGTGCACTGCTCTGGTTCGCCAGAAGCGGCTTAGTCATGCTGGCCACATGACCCAGAAGCTGCACGCCGGCTCCCTTGGCCAATAAAGCGAGATGGGCGCTGCAACTCCAGAGTCGGCCACGACTGGACCTAATGGTCAGGGGTACCTTTACCTTTACCTACATCGTTTTACAGTGGTACCTCTGGTTAAGAACTTAATTCCATCTGGAGGTCCGTTCTTAACCTGAAACTGTTCTTAACCTGAGGTACCACTTTAGCTAATGGGGCCTCCCACTGCCACCGTGCCACCGCCATGCGATTTATGTTCTCATCCTGAAACAAAGTTCTTAACCCGAGGTACTATTTCTGGATTAGCGGAGTCTGTAACCTGAAGCGTCTGTAACCCGAGGTACCACTGTATTTGTATGCTGCCTTTCCATAGTTAGAACCATGGCCCCCATGGCAATATTGGGGTTCTCTCATATGGCCATTGGGTCCAACACATTAAGCCCACTTTGTTTAGGGTATGTTTAGCCTGGAAGAGAGGAGACTGAGAAGAGATATGAGAGCCAGCTTCAAATAGCTCAAGGACTGTCACATGGAAGATGGAACAAGCTTGTTTTCTCCTCTCTGGAGGGTAAGACTCAAACCAATGGCTTCAAGTTACAAGAAAGGAGATTCCGACTAAACATCAGGAATAATTTTCTGACAGAGCTGTTTGACAGTGGAACGGGAGGTTGTGGACTCTGCTTCATTGGAAGTTTTCAAGCAGAGGTTGGATGAGCATCTGTCACGGATGCTTTAGCTGAGATTCCTGTATTGCAGGGAGTTGGACTAGATGATTAATTGGCTTAGACTATCTACCGACCAGTCACAAATATCTCCTTTTCAGGGAAGGTAGTGACAAGGGTCATGGAAGGCCAACTATACATATTCTTGGATGATATGAATCATCTAAGCAGTACATATGAAAAGGATCTAGGAGTCTTGGTTGACCACAAACTTGACATGAGCCAACAGTGTGACGCGGCAGCTAAAAAAGCGAATGCAATTCTGGGCTGCATCAATAGGAGCATAGCATCTAGATCAAGGGAAGTAATAGTGCCACTGTATTCTGCTCTGGTCAGACCTCACCTGGAGTACTGTGTCCAGTTCTGGGCACCACAGTTCAAGAAGGACACTGACAAACTGGAACGTGTCCAGAGGAGGGCAACCAAAATGGTCAAAGGCCTGGAAACAATGCCTTATGAGGAACGGCTAAGGGAGCTGGGCATGTTTAGCCTGGAGAAGAGGAGGTTAAGGGGTGATATGATAGCCATGTTCAAATATATAAATGGGTGTCACATAGAGGAGGGAGAAAGGTTGTTTTCTGCTGCTCCAGAGAAGCGGACACGGAGCAATGGATCCAAACTACAAGAAAGAAGATTCCACCTAAACATTAGGAAGAACTTCCTGACAGTAAGAGCTGTTCGACAGTGGAATTTGCTGCCAAGGAGTGTGGTGGAGTCTCCTTCTTTGGAGGTCTTTACCAGAGGCTTGACAACCATATGTCAGGAGTGCTCTGATGGTGTTTCCTGCTTGGCAGGGGGTTGGACTCGATGGCCCTTGTGGTCTCTTCCAACTCTATGATTCTATGATTCTATGATCTAGCCCAAATTAAATCTGAGTTTGGGCCTGGTGATGGGACTGAATCAGCCTTGGTCACCCCGATGGATGACTAAGAAGAGGACAAGCAGAAGACGATTCTGTTCCTCCTTGATTTCTCTGCAGATCTTTATACCATTGACCACTCCATCCTCCTGGACAGGCTCTTTGAGATGAGTATCAGGTGCATAGCAGTTCTGTTCTCACATATGGGGTTGCATGCAGAGAATCATGTTGGAAGAGTGCACTTTGGACCCCTGTCTGTGGGGTACTGCTATAGGGTATCGCTATGATTATACACCCAGTGCTGTTTAACATCTACATGGAGCAGTTGGGAGAGGTCATTAGAAAATACAGGGCAAGATGCCATCACAATTCTGATGACACTGTGCTTCCCTCTCTCAGTTAGAAGCTTTTCTATGGTCCTCTGAACCCTGAACAAAAGGCTTTTAAGAAAACCGATCGGCCAGAGCCCAAAAAGCAGGTTTTCTGTTTCTTTGGACATTGGGATATTATTATTTTAACTACATACCTTTCATTTCAGCAGAATATCCAGGAAAACATAATGCCCAGTTCAGAAAGACCTTTTTCCTATCCAAATAAGGACACTCTCTTTTGTATATGCCTGCAGCCAATGACCATTTCACGGAAAAACAATGCTTTATCAAGGTTCTCAGCAAAAATAGCAATCCAGCTTGTGGCGTGTGTGAGTGTGTTTTAAATCCAGGCGTTCTGGAATTTCAGATATCCAGAGGGACAGTTTCAGTTTTGAGCAATATAGAAGTTGTTAAATGAAAATGCTTAGAGTGCATAATGACTAGACAGAAAATGATAACCACTCAGGAATCTTTTAGGAATCGTAAAATCATTGCAGTATGGCTATATACCTTAAGCAAAAAACAGGGGGGTCCCATAGCAATTCTTAATTACCAAGTAACATTTTGTTCTTATTCTGAGTTGCCAAAAATAAAAAGCATTCCTTCTTCCTTCCTTGTATTTTCCATTTTGCAGTGGAACACATGAGGAAATGCCTTCGTTTTGGGCCAACATGGATGGGTGCAGATTTTGGAATTAACTGAATACTTTTTGTCAGGGATGTGCAGAAAAAACAAAGGAAAGCGAAAGAAGTGAAGACACACTATAGCCCAAAGTTTAAAACTTCAAAGTGCTATTTACACATGCTTAACATTGGCTGGGATTTGCCCTAGTTATGAAGATCACGCTTCTAGAGAATCCAGAGGATTAATCAAGAGCTCCTGATAGCTCCATCCTTGGGTCTGAGCCCCACATTGCGCAAAAGATTCCTAGATGATCTAGGTGCCTTCTTTGATTGCTACCAGCACTGAAGACAAGCAAATATCTTTAGGCACCTGTCAGGTGCTGGCGTAGTTGCTCGAGAGCAAACAGGCAAGACCCCAACCTGTCTTTTCCAGGCTTTATTATCTGTACAAACTATTTTACAGTGCGGAGTGTTGCAAGTCCATGTCTGCTCAGTCGCCAGCCGAATCTGGGAGTGGGCGGTCCTCATACCTTCCCCAGCATAACAGTCGTGTGACCCCCACCCTTCTCCTCCCCTCTCTGCACGCAAACCTACTGCACAAAGTGGGCGCTGGCAAAGGGGGACTTGCCTCCCCTCCGCTTTGCTCAGGCTCGGTGTTGCGGCTCTCCCTAGCATCTTCTGATCTCTGCGCCCCTTCCCCACTGGAGGCGGGGCTTCCCTCCTCACCAGAGGAAGAACTGCTTTGCAAGATCTTCGGAGGCTCCCTGACAGCACCTGAATTGGAAATGCTGTAAATGGAGATCTTCCCAATACAATTGAGTTGTTTCTCTCTCCTTTCTCAAGCCCTTCTTTTTTATTGGGCACCAACACAGCTACTACAGCTCAGAAGTACACACTAGGACAGTATGGCAGAACAGATTAAGTTTGAATTAATGATGGACATTTTGCATAAGGAGCACGGTAAAATTAAGAAGTCATACTTGATAACACCAAGTGGGTCTCCATCGTCATCCCCGTCCTCCTCTTCCTCTTCCTCTTTTTCTTTTCTCTCTTTAACACCCTGCTCTTCCGAGGATTTGAACAGGGAAGGGGGTCAGGCGTCCTTTCCTCTTTGAAGAAATCAAAGGCTTCGTTTTCGTCGTCCTTGTCTTCCGCATCAGGGAGGTTTTTACTTTTGATGTCCGTGGCGCTGGTGGATCTGGTTCCTGTAGAAGCACAACATGGAAAACTGAATGCAGAGGCTTCAAGAGAGGGTATTCTGGTCCCGTGCCAACGTCACCAACTTCTGACTGTTTGGCAAACAAAATGGAGAACTATTTCATCATCAGCATCATCATTAATTAGACTTGTTAGCCACTTGTTGGCCAAAGGCCTCCAAGTGACTTACAACACATTTAAAACATGAATATAAATACTTATACAACAAAAATAGAACAAAACAACCCTCATAGCAGCTGCAGGAATCTTGGCAGCACATTAGAAAACATAACAGCATCTCAGTCTACTAAAGGCAGGTGGGGGAAGGTGCCAGGCAGACCTCACTGACAGCACTGTATATGGAATTATTATTATTATTATTATTATTACCCCGCCCATCTGGCTGGGTTTCCAGACATTTTAAAATTTCCCGATTACAGGGCCTCAAAACAGTACATTTGAGCATCATAGAGTTTGTCTGGCTCAGTTGTTAGTTGCCTGTCATTTTTAGCCACTCTGATGTGGGATTTCAAAGAGTGCCATGGACACATTGCAATAAACCACCTGGAGATCTCAGGAAAACGAGATAGGCTTCATTTTTGTAACCTTGCATCATGGCGCCATCTTTAATAAAATATCCGGGGGGAGGGAGAACAAGTAAGCCCCACCCCACACAATCAATCACATGACAGGGCACACCCACATCATTTTAATGGCAATATCCATCAACTTTGGGGCCCCAGTCCCCTCAAATGTTTTAGGGGGGGCAAAGAGACCTCAGCCCCTAGGAGTTGGCTCCTATGCCATGTATATACACCAATGGGATGCGGGTGGCGCTGTGGTCTAAACCACTGAGCCTCTTGGGCTTGCTGATCAGAAGGTTGGTGGTTCGAATCCCCGCAACAGAGTGAGCTCCTGTTGCTCTGTTTCAGCTCCTGCCAACCTAGCAGTTCGAAAGCACACCAGTGCGAATAGATAAATAGGTACTGCTGTGGCGGGAAGATAAACGGCGTTTCCGTGCGCTCTGGTTTCCGTCATGGTGTTCCATTGTGCCAGAAGCGGTTTAGTCATGCTGGCCACATGACCCAGAAAGCTGTCTGTAGACAAACGCCAGCTCCCTCAGCCTGAAAGCGAGATGAGCGCCACAACCACATTGTCGCCTTTGACTGGACTTAACTGTCCAGGGGTCCTTTACCTTTTTACCTTTATACACACTAATGGCAGTGTCATAAATTGTTGAAAGAAATGAATGCTTTCCTGTAATTCAGATAGAATTTTAGAGTTGGAAGGGACCATGAGAGTCATCTAGTCCACCCCGCTCCAATGCATGAAGACGTTAGAGCCCCAGACCAGCAGTGTTTTGGAGGCTGCTATGCAGATGGTCACCTTGCCAACAAAGGTCCGTATAGTTAAAGCCATGGTTTTCCCAGTAGTGATGTATGGCAGCCCTGTTTAGGGATGCTTTTAATGTTTGATGTATCACAGTATTTTAATATTCTTTTGGAAGCTGCCCAGAGTGGCTGGGGTGGCCCAGCCAGATGGGCGGGGTATAAATAATAAATTATTATTATTATTATTATTATTATTATTATTATTATTATTATTATAAGTGAGAGCTGGACCATAAAGAAGGCTGATCGCCGAAGAATTGATGCTTTTGAATTATGGTGCTGGAGGAGACTCTTGAGAGTCCCATGGACTGCAAGAAGATTAAACATATCCATTCTGAAGGAAATCAGCCCTGAGTGCTCACTGGAAGGACAGATCCTGAAGCTGAGGCTCCAATACTTTGGCCACCTCATGAGAAGAGAAGACTCCCTGGAAAAGACCCTGATGTTGGGAAAGATTGAGAGCACAAGGAGGAGGGGACGACAGAGGACGAGATGGTTGGACAGTGTTCTCGAGCTACAAACATGAGTTTGACCAAACTGTGGGAGACAGTGGAAGACAGGAGTGCCTGGCGTGCTCTGGTCCATGGGGTCACGAAGAGTCGGACATGACTAAACAACTAAACAACAACAACAACATGCAGATGGTTGCCTGCCACCCAGTTTCAACCCCAAACAGAAGCTTTAGTTTCTGCTACTCTCAAAAGTAACCAGGCGCCTAGTCTTCCCACAGTGCATTTGAAGTGGGAGTGATGAACTTGTAACTCTCCACAACAACTCCCTTCCCACCTGCCCACACTTGGCATGCTGACTAGGGCTGGTGGGAGTTGGAGTTCCTCCACATCCTAAGGGCCAGAGGTCAGCCACCCAATTTTAAGCCATGCATACATATAATGAGCAGCTGTGCAGGTCCACCACTGGCAACATCACTACAACAATGGCAGTGCGCATCCTGCAATTCTGCTATCATCTGGTGCAAACATAGTGGCTGCATTCCATGAAGAACTCAGTGTTTTGAAAATGCCAGGGGGTTATATAAAAAATAAATCTGGCATCTATCTCATTGTGTGGATAACGCCTAGAGAAATCTCAGTGGAAAGATCCTGAGTGATTCAGACAGGGATTTTACACTTTACATCGCTCTCTGCCCTCCGTATAGTGAGCAAGCTGTATTGAATAAATTATATAAAACAAGAAAATACACACACACAAAATTAAGGCTGCAAACTCTTACTGGAACACTTGGGTTACCTTAGTGTAGAATTCTGGCCTTTTAGAGAGGTTTCAGAAGGAGACAGGATTAACACTGGTTAAGAAAGTGAAATATTTGGGGGTTAACATGACTGCCAAAAATGTGAATCTATTTAAGGATAACTATGAAAAATGTTGGACTGAAGTGAAAAAGACTTAGAAATATGGTCAAATTTGAAGCTTTCACTGCTAGGCCGTATCGCTGTGATAAAGATGAATGTATTGCCAAGAGTGTTGTTTTTGTTCCAAACGCTGCAGATTTTGGACAAAATGGACTATTTCAAGAAGTGGCAGAGAGATATTTCCAGATTTGTCTGGCAGGGCAAGAAGCCCAGAATAAAATTCAAAATACTAACGGATGCAAAAGAAAGAGGTGGATTTGCCCTGCCAGACCTTAAACTTTACTATGAATCAGCCGCATTTTGTTGGCTGAGAGAATGGCTGCTTCTTGAAAACACAGACATTTTGGATTTAGAAGGTTTTAACAATGTATTTGGGTGGCATGCATATTTGTGGTATGATAAGGTCAAAGCACATAAAGCATTTAAAAACCATATTGTCAGGAAAGCATTGTTTAATGTCTGGACAAGATATAAGGATCTACTTGAAAATAAAACTCCAAGGTGGCTGTCACCGATGGAAGCGAAGGCTCTGAAAAAGCTCAATATGGAGGCCAAATGGCCGAAATATTGGGAAATTCTGGAACAAGAGGGAGATAAATTGAAATTGCAGAGCTTTGAAAAATTAAAAAACAAAGTGCGAGATTGGCTTCACTATTATCAAATAATGAAGGCATACAATTTGGACAAGAAAATTGGCTTCCAGGTGGAAAAATCAAAACTGGAAACAGAACTGTTAGATGCTAAAGTTAAGAATTTGTCAAGAATGTATAACTTGCTGTTGAAATGGAATACTCAAGATGAAACAGTGAAATCTGTTATGATTAAATGGGCACAAGATGTTGGACGTAACATTATGATGGCTGACTGGGAACAGTTATGGACCACAGGTATGAAGTTCATGGCATGTAATGCCTTAAGAGAGAATATTATGAAAATGATATACAGGTGGTACATGACCCCAGTCAAGCTTGCAAAAATTTATCATTTGCCCGATAATAAATGTTGGAAATGCAAAGAAACTGAAGGTACATTCTTTCACCTTTGGTGGACGTGCCCAAGGATTAAGGCTTTCTGGGAGATGATCTATAATGAAATGAAAAAGGTATTTAAATATACCTTCCTGAAGAAACCAGAGGCCTTTCTCCTGGGCATTGTCGGCCAATTGGTGCCAAAGAAGGATAGAATTTTCTTTATGTATGCCACAACAGCAGCAAGAATTCTTATTGCAAAGTACTGGAAGACACAAGATCTACCCACCCTGGAAGAATGGCAGATGAAGGTGATGGACTATATGGAACTGGCGGAAATGACTGGCAGAATCCGAGACCAGGGAGAAGAGTCGGTGGAAGAAGATTGGAAGAAATTTAAAGACTATCTACAGAAATACTGTAAAATTAATGAATGTTAGAATGATGTTGGAATGAAGCTAAGGGGTTTTTAGCAGCAATGTTATAAGGAGTATGTAAAAATGGACTGTTAACAGATGAGAATATACAGTTATTACATATTAAGACAAAGGTTTAAGATAAAAACAAAGAGGGAAAGGATTTGCTGAATTAACTTACTGAACTGGAATACAAAAAAGGGGAGGTGTGAGGAGGTCAGGGAAACAAGTGAATGAAAGACAAGATATGGAAAGATTGATTTGTTTTTAATTGTTTTTACTTTTTTCGTATTTTGTACTCTCTTTTTTCTTTTTTCATTCTTTCTTCTCCCCCCCCCCTTTTTCTTATTATTACTATTGTAACTTCTTTTTTTATTTCTGAAACTTTAATAAATATCTTATTAAAAAAAATCGAATTCTGGCCTTTTTAAAAAAAGAAAATTACACAGCCCATGTTGCCTAGACAGTTTCTCATATTAATAACAAAGGTGTGATTTTTTTCTTCTTAAATCACATTAACATGTCTAGGTCACGGGGTGCTTTTACAACCAAATCTCACAACGAGGCAATGGAGTATTTATGAAATTCAAGACCAATCTGAGCACAGGGTTTGTAGGAAAGCAAATCTAGCAGGTTTGCAGAGGTGCTTAGCCATGAGAATTTAATACCTTAAGGGGGAAAAGTGTCTTGAAAATTGATAGGAAATGCAGCTGATTTTGTGAAATTTCTCTGGTATTCAAAAGCTTAAAGGGTCACTGGATATTGAATAAATGACATGTTACCATTACAGAAACATGCTTGGGAGTTACCTAGGAATTCCATTAACTCGGGACTTGTTGCTAGATCTGTGTCTTTGGAAATGGATCTCATGATCTCATTGAACGCAGCTCTCCGTTCCCGGATGTCAAACTCCCCAACAAACAGCACTTTCCTTGGCAGCGGTGGCAGAGAGGATTGTGGGTAACGTGTAGCCAGCTTCTGATAAAACTCCTCAATCTCACTGTACTTCTTTGAGACCTGTAAGCAGAATAGGCAGAATTTGTCTTTGTTGTTAAATGACAAATATGGAAGAAGAAGAAGAAGAGGAGTTTGGATTTGATATCCCGCCTTTCACTCCCCTTCAGGAGTCTCAAAGCGGCTAACATTCTCCTTTCCCTTCCTCCCCCACAACAAACACTCTGCGAGGTGAGTGAGGCTGAGAGACTTCAGAGAAGTGTAACTGGCCCAAGGTCACCCAGCAGCTGCATGTGGAGGAGCGGGAATCAAACCCGGTTCCCCAGATTACGAGTCCACCACTCTTAACCACTACACCACACTGGCTCTCACAGTGGAGAAGCTTGTCACAGCACACAAACTTGAAAAGTATAAATAAATAAATGAAAATCGAAGAAATGAAATGAAATGAATGCTTGCAAATTTTATAAACTTAGGAAGGAAACGGTTACCATGAAGAGCCCATTCTTCCGCTGGTGGCTGCTATATGGGAGCTTCTGAACACAGTTTCTGCCTTGTTTACAGAAGTGTCTTTGTTTGTGGCCCCAGAAATGCTTACAAGGGATTATCTGTACAAGGAGCAAAAAGCTTCTGTGGATTTGCATTGACCACTTTGACAATCTGTTCACACGCTGATTTAAGGACAGGGCTATTTCTTGGCTGACAGAACTAATCAGCAATATTCCGAGCAAGATACTTAATAAGTGATAAATGAGTGATACCTATTCAGAGCATGGGTGGCCAACTGTCAGGAATGCTTTATTGCAGATTCAAAGCTCCTTCCAACTCTATAATTTTAAAGACCGAGAAGAAAACCATAGTAACACTGAAACAAACAAAATCTGAATGGGAACACAGATCCATAAATCTCATTTTGTATTTTAGGATGTAGACCATGGGTAGGCAAACTAAGGCCTGGGGGCCGGATCCGGCCCAATCGCCTTCTAAAGCCAGCCCGTGGACGGTCCAAGAATCAGTGTGTTTTTACATGAGTAGAATGTGTCCTTTTATTTAAAATGCATCTCTGGGTTATTTGTGGGGCATAGGAATTTGTTCATCCCCCAAAATATATATATATAGTCCGGCCCCCCACAAGGTCTGAGGGACAGTGGACTGCCGCCCGCTGAAAAAGTTTGCTGACTCCTGATGTAGCCTAAGCTCACCACCAAACAATTAGGAGCAAATCTGGTTCGAACCAACACCAACTTTTAGTTTCCAAATATGCTTGTATTTAACCTTAAAGGGCAGATCTAGATGGGCAGTTTATTCACACAAACTTTGAGTGCTACCTTGCACTACCTAGTACAAACATTGAATGATTTTCTCACTGGAAAAACTCTGATAACAAATATGATAGAAAATTGCACTGGAAAAGTGTGAGATAATCACCAGAACCTGGCAATTTCATATAATGTCCATGATAATGTATCAGGATGAATGTTTAATAAACTGGTGGTGTTGCAAGCTTTATGCAAACATATTATTTTCAATAAACAGCCACACTGGAAGCTCCCATTCTTATAAATTCATGGAACAGAACTCCTTCACCATCACATTGGATAATAAACAGATTGATTGGTGTAGAAGATCCATTGATTTCAAATAAGAACAAGCTTGGATACCTCAATCAGTAGAGCATGAGACTCTTAATCTCAGGGTTATGAGTTTGAGTCTCGCACTAGGCAAAAGATTACTGCATTGCAGGGGGGCTGGACTAGAAGACCCCTGGGATCCCTTCCAACTTGACCATTCAGTGATTCTACGATTCCAAGCACAAGTACTCAGTGCATCCCCTGTTCTTAACATCACCAGAATGAACTCTGTCTTTCTGGTCACCTCCAGGCCTAGGTAAGTATGCTCTTGAATGGTGTTTGAGTGCCCTCTACTGGAACCACCCATCATATACCGCTCAAAAGATTCAGGCTCTTCTACATTTCTTAGTTTTGCTACAGAAATGACGTCCTTAAAAATAAACCTGTACACACAGAGAACAGTGCATGCTCCCTATTAATAGTCGTTCACAAGATACGTCACAGTAGAGCTTGTCACTGCATCAAGGGTGCTATAAATATGTCCTCAACCCTAAAGTACAACATAGGAAGAATAATAGCTGGGAGAAAGTTTGCATTAAGTTTAGCAACTTAGGCAGCAAAGTGGGTGTCTCCTGGTCTGAAACCATCAAGAGCTAATGGTCTCACTTCTGCACAAGGCAGGGTGGCCTAGGGAGTCTGAGGCCCAAATGCACCTGGCGCCTGGCAAATTTTGAACGCTGCTAATCTCTCCCATAAGGGACACGGGTGGCGCTGTGCGTTAAACCACAGAGCCTAGGACTTGCCAATCAGAAGATCAGAGGTTCGAATCCCCACGACGGGGTGCGCTCCCGTTGCTCGGTCCCTGCTCCTGCCAACCTAGCAGTTCAAAAGCACGTCAAAGTGCAAGTAGATAAATAGGTACCGCTCTGGCGGGAAGGTAAATGGCGTTTCCGTGCGCTGCTCTGGTTCACCAGAAGCGGCTTAGTCATGCTGGCCACATGATCCAGAAGCTGTACGCCGGCTCCCTCGGCCAATAAAGCGAGATGAGCGCTGCAACCCCAGAGTCGTCCGCGACTGGACCTAACGGTCAGGGGTCCCTTTACCTTTACCTTAATCTCCCCCATAGGACTTCTACTGAGTCAGGTCATTGCTCCCTCTAGCTCAGCACTGGTTACAATGCCAGTCAGGGCCTCCCTAGGATTTGAGACAAGGCTCTCTCTACCTGGAAATGCCAGGGATTGAACTTAGAACCTTCTGCATGCCAAACATGAGCCCTGCCCCTGAGCCCTACCCTAGTGCCTAGGAGTTCTCAGGTTCGTTATGGTCATATTCCAGCTTTTACTTATTGCTTAGGCTTAAAATGAAAATAATAATAATAATAGAAGGAATCTTACTAAGTGTGTTGTTGTATATAATTACAAACATATACAAGACTTCAGAGGTTGGTGCCTGGCAAGATGAAGCTGCTCAGATAAGCTTTAAATAGCTCTGGGTAATATAACAGGTCGTGGTGAAACTGAGTAGGTTTTCATGCCACAACTACTTTGGTTGGAAACACCAACAAAACAGAATGTGACATCTCTCACTCATGTGGAGAAAGAATACCTTCTTTCCCTTTCAACTGCCTGCAACAAGCTCAAGAATTAAGATTAGCTACACCGGCTAAACTATTTAAGGTATTTGACCATGCCACAGTGACCCAAAAATATTTCGCAGGATGAAAATGCCATTCCAGTGGGGGACTGGAATGTTTAAATTAATTATCTCCTGAGAAAGGGATGGAAATCAGAGCAGCCGAGGTGTCTAACAAGGAACCAAGGAACCAAGTCGCTTTAATTCGCATGGCTTTGTGCAAGTATAGGGGACATGTGGTGTCATCAGTGCCAGATTACCAAATAGGCAGAGTAGGCGCTGCCCTGTGGGCCCCACACCTTTTAGGGGCCCTGCAACAAGGGATCAAAATAATATTGACTACAATCAAGTATTAGGAGATAATTTGCAAGGCCAGATTTTGACTGCCTAGGGGCCTCCACAGGGTTTAATCCAGCACTGGGTGTCAATAGGACTACACCTCCCATCATGCTTTACAATGCTGGCTAGGGATGATGGAACTTGGAGTCCAACAACTTCCAGAGGACCACAGGTTCGCCATGCCCTGCATAAAAACTGAAGCTGAAGAAAACTTAAGCACTGTTCATTGCAGCAGATAGGAACGTTGCAAGACTCCACTTCCCATTTTCTCTGGTGACTGGGCATATTGGCTGGGACTGATGAAAGCTGGAGACTGACAATATCTGGAGGTTGAAAAATTGCCCATCACTCCATTAGAGGCAAAGGAATGGTTCACAAGCATTTTCCTCACTTGATGGCATCAAGTGATGGCTTGCATGTGTGTGAATGAGTCATGACAAAATCCTCCTTCTCACATTACCTCCATGGAAAACGCTGGTTGAGTGGTGCCATTTCACACATTCGGCTGAGAAATCTCTACTACACTCAATGACTGGATGTGTGAACTGGCTCCACTGAGAACAATTACAGTGGTACCTCGGGTTAAGTTCCAGAAGCCCATTCTTAACCTGAAACTGTTCTTAATCTGAAGCACCACTTTAGCTAATGGGGCCTCCTGCTGCTGCTGTGCCGCCGGAGCACGATTTCTGTTCTCATCCTGAAGCAAAGTTCTTAACCCAAGGTACTATTTCTGGGTTAGTGGAGTCTGTAACCTGAAGTATATGTAACCCGAGGTACCACTGTACTAGGCTCAGTGCCAAGAAGACCTACACCTGCTTAGAAGTCACAGCAGCCCTAGTTGTGTCCTGTACTTTTGCCTTAGACTGATAGATCTCAGGTATGGTATGGTCTACACTTGCCACAGAATGAGTGGTGGTGCCATTTCACACATTCGGCTGAGAAATCTCTACTACACTCAATGACTGGATGTGTGAACTGGCTCCACTGAGAACAATTATACAGGTGAATATAAATTGGGGGGTGGGGGAAGGTAATTCAATTACATACAAAGCATTATTGCCCATTAACACATGCAAATCATTGTTTGACAATACAGTTATCAAAGGATGGGCATGTAGGAACCAGCTTACAACTATCCATTAACATAAACTGCCAAGAAGCTTTTTGTTTCCTCAGTGCTACAGGCAAACATCTTAATTTGTCTTCTAAAATCAAATGCTTTCTTCACATCCAAAGTCTACTGGTGCAAGATATAGATCTACCCCATGAAACAAGAAACCTGCACAAATGGTCGTTTTCTTAAAGCAATCTGCTTCGGATATTTCCCAATATGAGTATTTGTTTGCAGGGAGTGCTTACAACATAAGTAGCTGCTACATTGTTCCACTGAATACTTAAGGCAACTCTTTTTTTTTAATAGAACCAATTTTTGTAGCAAAAGGGGATACAATCTGTCATGTTTTCCTTCAAAATACAGTCATACCTCTTGTTGCATTTACCTCACGTTGTGGCTTTTTGGGTTGTGAACGCAGCAAACCACACTTCCGGGTTTCGCCCCGCGCACATGTGCAGAAGCGTTCTACACACTTTGTGCATGCGCAGAAGCGCTCTATCGCACTCCACACTTGCGCAGAAGCACTGCTCTGGTTGTGGACTTTTTGGGGTGCAAACGGCACCCTGGAATAGATTGTGTCTGCAACTAGAGATACCACTGTAGAAACATAATGCCTTAAATCAGTGGTGGCCAAACTTGGCCCTCCAGCTGTTTTGGGACTACAATTCCCATCATCCCTCACCACTGGTCCTGCTAGCTAGGGATGATGGGAGTTGTAGTCCCAAAACAGCTGCAGGGCCAAGTTTGGCCATCACTGCCTTAAATCCTAGGAGAAATTACCAGACAAAGGTCCTTTAAAGTCCAGGGTCCCTTCCTCCCCACATTGTTCAGAAAGGGGCCCCAAACTACCAATGAGGCTCTAGCCATGATGGTAAAATGTAAAGGTCCCCTGAACCGTTAAGTCCAGTCAAAGGTGAATATGGGGTTGCAGCGCTCATCTCATCTTTTCAGGCTGAGAGAGTTGGCATTTTGTCCACAGACAGCTTTCTGAGTCATGTGGCCAGCATGACTAAACTGCTTCTGGCACAACGGAACACCATGATGGAAACCAGAGCACACAGAAATGCGATTTACCTTCCCACCGCAGTGGGACCTATTTATCTACTTGCACTGGTGTGCTTTCAAATCGCTAGGTTGGCAGGAGCTGAGACAGAGCAACAGGAGCTCACTCCATCGTGGGGATTTGAACCGCTGACCTTCTGATCAGCACACCAAAGAGGCTCAGTGGTTTAGACCACAGTGCCACCCGCATTCCTACACCCGCATCTCTAGTCATGAACATCCTAGATTCACAGTGTCGCTCATGTATCCATATGCACTCTCTCTGTTACATAACAACAGTTCAACAGCAACAACTGTTTCATAGTGGATTACCATAAACTGAATTATATCTTCTGGCTTGTGCTTTGCTGATTTGAAAGCAGGCAGCTGCGTCACGGCGACAATATTATATTCCACATGGCCTGACATCATCTTCCCCCGGATTACCTGGTACTCTGGAACGGACAGATCGATCCCTGTGTGGGTGTTTTGAAGAGGTCTGCAAATGAAAACACAGACAGAGTTCAATCAGAGTTCAATGCCACATTTCAGTGCCAACAGACTCCCAACGCTGACATCAGTTTTTGATCCAGAGTTGGGCAAAAGGTTCAGATCTGGTCAGTTTGGATGGGGGACTCAGTGTTGCAACTCCTGCATTACAGGGGGTTGGACTAGATGACCCTCAGGGTCCCCTCCGCTGCAATTCTACAAATCTCCATTCAGCCATGAAACTCACCGGGTGACCTTGGGCCAGCTGCTGCCTCACTGCCTAACCTACCTCACAGGGTTGTTGTGAGAATTAAATGAGGAGGATCCCACCGAAGAAGAATGGAGAAGTAAGATAGAAGGTGGTGCAGAACTGGCAAAATGAACAGTATTGTAACATTTGAATAAACGGGGAAAAGAATGAATTAAATGAGGGGGAGAACCATAGTGGGGGGGGTACTGATTTTGTTTTGTTACTATGTAATGCATTCTGTGCTTTTCAATTGCAAACTGCCCTGTGATCCCTGGATGAAGGGCGGTATAAAAATGTAATAAATAATAACAATAAAATGCACGCCCCCTTCAGGTCCTTGGAGAAAAAGGGGGGGTGGGACGAATGCACCGAACAATAAATTAACCCTCCACCCACCCAAGGCTAAGATGGAGGGAGCTGGCTGCCAGTTCCACGCGCTCTGGACTTGCTTGTAACCGAAGCAGGCGTCCGGGTGCGCAAAGATCCCCGTGCGCCCTGACGCACCAGCTACCCTTTGGGAAAAGGGGAGCCGCGAGGGAGAAGGAAGGAAGCGCTACTGGAGAGGCAGGAGGCGCAGGCAGAGAGGCTCGTCCTGCTCGGCAGGAGGCGGAAAGGCAGTCCATGCCAGCTGCTGCGCCGGGCCCAAGGCGCACATCTGGATCCCGGGGATAGCTCGGCCAGGAAGGCTCCCCTGAACTCTCCACGCCCCGCGTCCTCCTCGCTTTGGGAAGCGGCAAGAGGCAGGCAGGCAGGCAGAGCAAAGCGAGGCCCCTGCACTGCAAGCCGCCTTACCTGGTGGTGACCAGCACGGCAGGCCCCGAGCTGGGCTGCATGGCGTCGCCAAAGCTCCACCGGCGCAGCGCAGACTTTGCTGGGAGTTGCGCGCAGCGAAAGTGCCGCTGCTGTTGCAAGGCTGGAGAACAGGAGGAGGAGGAGATCGGAGTGTCACGAGTTTCCCTTCCCAAGAGCTGGGCTTACGCTGCCTCTGGCGGCCCCATCCTGGTTCTTCCGGGAAACCCCCGCCCTGCTGGGATCTAGGCGCTTCAATTAAAAGTTTGGCCCTTTGAAAAATAAATCCGCTCCGTAGTCGGCAGGATTCGAACCTGCGCGGGGAGACCCCAATGGATTTCTAGTCCATCGCCTTAACCACTCGGCCACGACTACTCCTAGTGGTGAAGGATTTCTGAACAAGTCTTTTTAAATTCTCCTTTTCCCCACCTCCTCCTCCTCAAGGATTTTTATACAGTTGTTAACTGTATAGAATGGTAGAGTTGGAAGGGAACCTAAATTGGAGGGTAATCTAGTCCAGTCCCCCAGTACCGCGATTCGTATACTGTGTTGCAGAAGGAAATGAAAGTTAACCCCCTTGTCCCCATAAAACGTTTAAATCTGCATTGGGAAAAACCAAAACGCCTCCACAGAGAGCAATTTGCACGGAGCTATTTACTATTATGCCACGACGACCTTGCTTTGCGTTGTGATTCTGGGGTAAGGTTCACCAAACCCTTTGCAATATCGTAGTTGTGCCTCTTCCTTGAAAGCCATGGTATCATGGGCGGAGGCAGTTCCCCCACCCCCCCGTCAAGTAAAACATTAGAAATACTTAACTAACTGACCAATCTGCCTCCCCTAACAAAAGCCCTGCCCCACCCCCGCCCCCTACAACAAAAATCCTGGCTACGCCCACGCGTGGTTTTTCATTCTTTCATTTCTTAGTATTGCTGCGGATCTGGAGGCGTTGCGTTTGGATAAAGCAAGCCACTTTATCCTGATGAGTGTATTATTTGGGGTTGGTCCAGGATCCGGAGGAAGTGGCTTGTTTGCGGACGGCATGGTGGAGCAAGAGAATTCAGAGAGGTCAGCCTCAAAACGCCTTGCCTCTGGTTTGGGAACATTATGCGATTAACACTGTGATTGCATGCCTAAGTTCCACCGAAGTCAATGGGGCTTCCTTCCACTGACTAAGCAATCATCTGATCTGGCTTCAGGATTGCAGTGGAGGCAGCTGAGAGAGAGAGAGAGAGAGCCGCTGCTTTGAGCATCTCCTTTGTGCACTGTCTAGGTATAATGTAGTAAAATAAATGCATTGATATCCCGGCTCCCTCTGGATAACAGCAGCATGTTTTCTGGAATAATATACATTGAAACAGAATGATTGGCAAGGTTTCATTTCATAGTGTAGCACACCAGTGCCCCATAAACTAGGGATGGGAACTGTGTGGGCCTCTAGGTGTTCATGGAACCATAAAGTTGGAAGGGACACTGAGGATCATCTAGATTCTAGTGTAATCCCCCTGCAATGCAGAAATCTCAACCAAAGCATCCATCAGGGTTCCATCCTCTCCCCCATGATTTTTAACATTTTTATGAAGCCGCTGGGAGAGATCATCAGGGGCTTGGGGCTGGGTGGTCATCAATGTGCAGATGATACCCAGCTCTACCTCTCTTTCAAATCAGAACCAGTGAGGGCAGTGAAGGTCCTGTGTGAGTGTCTGGAGGCAGTTGGAGGATGGATGGCAGCTAACAGATTGAGGTTGAATCCTGACAAGACAGAAGTACTGTTCTTGGGGGACAAGGGGGGCGGGGGTGGGGGACTCCCTGGTCCTGAATGGGGTAACTGTGCCCCTGAAGGACCAGGTGCGCAGCCTGGGAGTCATTTTGGACTCACAGCTGTCCATGGAGGCGCAAGTCAATTTTGTGCCCAGGGCAGCTGTCTATCGGCTCTGGTATGCATGTTGAGACATTACCTGCCCGCGGACTGTCTCACCAGAGTGGTGCATGCTCTGGCTATCTCCCTTTTGGACTACTGCAATGTGCTCTGTGTGGGCTACCTTTGAAGGTGACTCGGAAACTGCAATTAATCCAGAATGCAGCAGCCAGACTGGTGACTGGGAGCGGCCACCGAGACCATATAACACCGGTCCTGAAAGTCCTATATTGACTCCCAGTACATTTCCGAGCACAATTCAAAGTGTTGGTGTTGACCTTTAAAGCCCTAAGCAGCCTCAGCCCAGTGTACCTGAAGGAGTGTCTCCACCCCCACCATTCAGCCCGGACACTGAGGTCCAGTGCCAAGGGCCTTCTGGAGGTTCCCTCGCTGCGAGAAGTGAAGTTACAGGGAACCAGGCAGAGGGCCTTCTTGGTAGTGGCACCTGCCCTGTGGAACGCCCTCCCATCAGATGTCAAGGAAATAAACAACTATCTTACTTTTAGGAGACATCTGAAGGCAACCCTGTTTAGAGAGGTTTTTAATGTTTAATGCTGTATCATGTTTTTAATAATCAGTTGGGAGCCGCCCAGAGTGTGTGGGGAAACCCAGCCAGATGGGTGGGGCATAAATAAATTATGATGATTATGACAGAGGGCCATCTGGTATAAATTTAACCTGGTTGAGCACGACTAGTAATCTAACTAACTAACTAACTAAATAATACTAGTGGGGATAATAGCTCTGAGAAAAACCTTAACATCTGGTCATGTATTATCTAGGATGGCAGGGCAGAATTATGCAGATGCAGAAAATTAGAAACAACAACTCACTACTAAATTGAAATCCTATTAAACCTCATTTAAATTCTATTTATTTCAAGCAAGCTTTTGTGTATGGGGCTGATGTGTGTCACATGAAAGCTGTCTCTGAGAGAATTGATATCAACTACCTCTCTGGATGACAGTTACAAAAGCCAGATGTGAACCTGTATAGGGCCTTTTTATTATTATTACATCAGGCCTTGTTTGGTTGAATTGCAAGATTTAAAGTCTGCTGTTTTATAATGTGGTAAGGCTATTGATGGTCTGGCAAGTCTGTTTTGTGTGTTTTTTTAGTCTATGCACACATTCTCAGTGTAGGCTGTATTTATGGCAGAGAGCTGGGAGAACTCGCCCCCGCTGTGTTCTCCATTATCTCTGATGTCCTCCCATCTCCATCCTTAAACATTTCACTTTTATGCCACGCAGGACACGTCAGTTCCAATCAAGGCAAAGTCCTAAGCAATCCCCCTTGAAAGATAAACCTGCCACTTGCCTGGCTTGAGACATAACTCCCGTCTCAAGTTTGGGACGCCCCATTTCTCACAGCCTTTCAGGGGTCTGCCTAAATCACCCAACACATTTAAGGCACCTGCGATGCAGAAAAAGCTCACGTTTCATTGCTTGCCGCAGATTAATACAAGATTCCTGCGCAACCAAGTCCCTGACTCACAGTATTTGCAAGGGAAGGACTGTGTTTGGGGGGTGAGAGAAAAAAAGGGGGAGCCTGACAAGGAGGTGTTAAGGGCTTGACTGAACAAAGATCAGGCGACAAAGTTTAGAATGGAGTATACTAATTTGGACAGAAGCTCAGGGACATCCCATGAGAGAGGGGGGAAACACTCAAGAAGGGTGAAATAGGGAGCTGTTTAACTGAGCCTTCTCACTGTCAAATTATTTTTCTCATTGGAGTCTGAGGTCCAGCGCCGAGGGCCTTCTGGCGGTTCCCTCACTGCGCGAAGTGAGATTACAGGGAACCAGGCAGAGGGCCTTCTCGGTAGTGGTGCCAGCCCTGTGGAACACCCTCCCATCAGATATCAACTATGTGACTTTTAGAAGACATCTGAAGGCAACCCTGTTTAAGGAAGTTTTTAATGTTTGATGTTTTATTGTGTTTTTAATATCCTCTTGGAAGCTGCCCAGAGTGGCTGGGGAGGCCCGGTCTGATGGGCGGGGTATAAGTAAATAATAATAATAATAATAATAATAATAATAATAATAATAATATTTCTCATCCATCCACCACCACTTATTTTTTTCTCTTTCTCTTTTTTTTGCAATCTACCACAGACCCTCCAAGTGCCCCTATTTTCCAGGGACAGTCCTAGATTTACAGAAACTGTCCTGGTTTCTGATCTGATCATGGAATGTTTCACTTTTCCTTAGGACATCCCAATTTTCATCAGAGAAATGTTGGCGGGTATGGAGTTATGCAACCTTTGAGCCAAGGAGATAAGTAACTATACACCTTTACAAGACATTTGAAGGCAGCCCTGTGTGGGGAAGGTTTTTTATGTTTAATGTTTTACTGTGTTTTTATAAATGTTGGAAGGCATCCAGAGTGGCTGGGGCAACCCAGTTGGGCAGGGTTTAAGTAATAAAGCTATTATTATTATTATTATTATTATTATTATTATTATTAAATAGGACGTCCCTATTTTCATCAGAGAAATGTTGGAAGGTGTGCCTATCAACTGCAGCCTGATGTGATAGAGTCCAGGAAAAAACTTTATTGCTTGTGTAACTAGCTCTTACACCAGTACAATCTGAAAGCAGTGACCAAAGGTCTGGATCTTTGCAAAAGCAAGGTTTCCTTGATAGCAATCTCAGTGCGCAGAAACTTGAAGAAGAAATCAGCAACGGGAACGTTTTCAAACATCCCCACTACAGTCGTACCTTGGAAGTCAAACAGAATTCATTCCGGATGTTCATTGAATTTCCAAAACATTCGGAAACCAAAGCACGGCTTCTGATTGGCTGCAGGAAGCTCCTGCAGCCTATCGGAAGGCCCGTCAGACGTTCAGCTTCCAGAAATAGTTTGCAAACCGGCACAGTCACTTCCGGGTTTGCGGCATTCGGGAGCCAAAATGTTTGAGAACTAGGCTGCTTGAAAACCAAGGTACAATTGTAATGACAATTTCTAGCATGGTTGCTGATGGGACACAAACGTTTCCAAAGCCTCGCACGATGGGATTGTAAAAGAAAAACGCAGTTTCACTTGAATTAACACTGCAAAAGTCTGACAAAATAACAAAGTGGTTCTCTGCAGCCGCTTCCCCAAATAGCTTTATTCAATATTTACAAT